GTAAATTTACAAAAACTATATATATATAAAGATCAAATATTTTAAATTATAATTCAAATTTTACTACATAAATGTATCTTATGCGAAGAAAAATAATATATATATACACCTATATCTTAAATTATTCCGGCCTGTTAAATTTCAAGATCCTTATAATGGATCTCCATCGAAGGGTGAAACATTTCCGGGGCACTCGGAAATGAAAACGATACATCTGTACTTTTTTTTCAACTACGAGCTAACACGAAATACTTACATATACAGAAAAATATATATATATATTCTTGATAATTCTAAAAAAAAATTCTCACTATAATGTCAAATGTCGAAAAGATAAAATGATAAAACAATAAATGGAAGAACATCCTAAACACACCCCTTTTTTTATTGGTGAAGAAAAAAAAATATGGTTGTACAATTTTTTTTCCCAAAGGTTTTGCGTACTTTATACCCTTTTGTCATATATAAGAGGTAGATCGTTATTTATTTTTTTTTTTTTGCCGGCAGGTTGTATATTGTTTGATATTCCAAGACGGTAGCGATGATGTTTTACCGATTGAGAATTTACAGAGGGTGAGAGAGACAGGTTGGTTCCCTTTTTAAGCCCAGTGGAGCTATAATGTGCCGCAACATCTTGTGGAGCACTTGACACGCCCCATGTTTTGCCACTTTCACTATTTCTTTGATTCCCTCTCATCCTTGCGCGTAAGCATAAAGAAAACTCATTAACTTTTTCTACTCTGACAATTTTTATCTCAATCAGTTAAAAAAAGAAAAAAGTAATTTCTTTTTTTCAAGACTACGTATTTAAAATATGAAAATTTTCCAATTGTTTGAAGAAAGAATCTAAAAAAATTTTCTATTCAAAATTATTTCTACACGGAGAAAAAATAATTGTTGTGGTTACTAAAAATTAAGTCCCACATAACAGTTCTATTTGTTTTTGGGACAAAAAAAATTGTTAAAATGGAATTGTTATTGAAACTATTCGGATTGTTCGGTGAACAAACAGAATTGTTTGATGAACAAAGAAAATTGTTATGGAACAGTTAAAATAACAAAACTAAATTGTTAAATCGTCAATACAATTTGTTGTATTAATAAAACTGTGAAATGTCTAATACAATTTATTCAGTTTCTTCGTCTTCTAAAATAATCGATAACACATTTCCGTAGGTCATATAACCAGTTTCATTTGCATTAAAATCTGTGGAACATGCAGCTTCTGAATCAAATTCTTTGACCTGAAGCCAAAAAATTATTTTGAGTTGAAATTTGTTGTTAAATAATATTTAATATACATTTTGTATTTTTTAAGGTGAGGTTTTGTTCAACAGTAACCGAGTATAACTTACCGATAAACGATGAAATTGTCTCTTCATTCATTCACTTCACTTTCTCACTTTAACCGGATTCATTATTTAACAGCACTTTCTCATTTAAAAAAAATTAATAATAAAAGCAAAAGTGGCACATGTACCAGAATCAAACTAAGTGATGATCTGCACGCAAGTTTGCTAGATTTTAAGATGACCACGTGACATGGAACAATAAACCTGTCAGCTGAACAAATCCGGATTGTTCCATCAGCAATCGACAAAGAGTTTGCTTCTGCAACTGTACGGAATTGCAAACTAAACAAAAAATTCGTATTGTTGTTAACAACAACATACATTTGTATTTACTACAATTCGAATTGTAATATTAATAATTCGAATTGTAATATCAACAAATCTACTGATAATCGAAAAATTTTGTTTGCACAACAATCCCATTTTTCGCCGTGTACGATTATTCCTAAATTTGTTTTTATTCATAGCATTGAAAGCAACTATAATTTTTATTGTTTACTTTCAAGTACTATGCGATTCTTTTTTTTATTTTCTTTAAATTTCATCCACGTAGACTTTATATCGCCTTAATGTTTTTGAGAAAGTACTAGCACTAAGTTAGGGGCTACTAGTGGGTCCAGTAAATCTTTTAGACTCCAAACCTCCCCTAGCTATTCCTCCCCTTCCCTCCCCCCCCACCTTATTCCCTCGTTACTCGCAGCTTCGCTTCTCTCCTTATTATATCGTCTTTCCACACCATAAAATCGGAAAAGAATTTCATCCCCAAGACAATAGAAACTAATAAATTTGATTACTGATTACATCGGCCAAGTCTAAAGAGAGAGAGAGAGAGAGAAAGAGAGAGGAAGAACCTTTATCCCATTTACACTTTTGCTTTTATTTTATTCTAATTCGTTAAAAATTGTGATGCACTTCAGCAATTCAACTGAGGAGTAAGTTTTCAAAAGTCGATAAATCCATTTTTCAAAAAAAAAAAAAAGTTGAGATAAACGCAGATTTAACATATTAAAGACTTTGCTTAACCAAGATGATTTATAATTTTAATTCTTTTTGCTAAAAAATTTTGGTAGAACTAAAAACAAAACGTCTTGAATCGAGAAAATACTTTTATATAACTAATTTATTACAATTTTTCTTCCTTAAAATTAACTAATGTAGTTATGTGAAAAATGGCATTTGGGTAAATTTCTCGAAATAACAAAATATGGATTTATCAATTTTTGAAAATTTACTCCTTAACTATCATTTACGGGGGATCCTATAGGTAAAGGAATCAAGGTAAAAAAAAAAATTTTCTCCGATCACGCTTAAATTCAGGGCATTTGTGGTACACATAAATGTTAATTTTTGGGTAAAAGAGACACAATAAATGTTTCCTTTAAACGAATTTCTCAGAGAAAGTAATATTTATGTTTTTCAAAATTAGATGCATTAATATTAACATTCGTATGGCTAAAATAGAATCTTATTATATTTAGGTTAGGAAAAACTCTCATAGCAAATTTTTTTTAGTTGATATATATTTTTTAAGGGGTTAGTCGCAGTTAGGAGAGGGAAAAACCCGTGTTTTTTAGGGAATTTTTTCTCTGATATATACGTATATTTTTTTCTAAACTTTTATGAATTGAAAAGTGTACAGTTTTATTAAAAATTTCTCAAAATTTTATTAAAAAATAATAATAAATATAAAAAATACAGCCTTATTGCTGGAAGATGATTTTTAAAAACTGATTTACAGTGACCACCCTTCTTCCTTAAAGAGTTACCTAAAGTTAAAACTTAAAGATTATTGATGGTATCATTTTGGAATGCAACGTTTTGATTCGATATAAGGTATCAAATTGATCCAAATATTTGATTCATTTTCAAGAAATGATCCAGAATATGGGATCATTTTTTGATACCTGAATTGGTATCAAAGTATAACTGTCATGGCTGGCATGCTCTTATTGACAAGTTTATTAATTAATTTATTCACTGCACTGAATATTCAGATATTAAAAATACTTTTATTATGAATTTTAAGAAAGAGAGAAGCGAAAACTTATAAATTGCGAGCAATTAAATAAGAAAAAATTTATTTCCAAATAAAATGAAATACACTAACCTTTATTTATATTTATCACATGAGATTTAAGTTAAGTTCACAATCACAACACTTGAAAATTTTTAATTATTTTTTTGGTTCAAATAATTATCAATAATTTATTTATTATAAATGAACAAAATTTAAGCAAAGCACGCTTGATAAATATTTCTAATGCGTTGTCAATTAATGCAATTAATAATTTCCTATTACACAATATCATAATCGACATATATGACATTTGTAAACAAACAGGGTTGGGAAACAAGAGCACAAAATATATTCTGTAGGAAATTGTTTCTATTTGGTTCTTGTTTTTAAATAATACTTTAATATTTTGCCTACAAAATAAATCAAATATTCTTTATTTTTATCATCACTAGCAACTAGAAAAAAATTGTCAAACTTCAAAAAAATAAAAAGGTTATTTCAAAAAAAGTGTGAAAATCCATAAAATATCTTCGAATTCATTAAAAGTTATTAAAAGATATTAACAGCAACTTTATTATTATTATTATATTTTTTTTTTAAGAAAAACGTTTATACAGACAAAAAAAGTTATACTGTACAATTAAAATAACAATTTGTTCCATAATTGACCCAAATTCAATATATTTGAATAGTTTTAAAAATTTAGATTTTTGCTGAAGAAATGACTGAAAATATCGAGTTTTTTGTTTCCAAATTTTTCCAGTTGACGGTATTTTAAAAGATTAAAAATTTCAAAAGTTTAAATTATAGCATTATTTTTCGAAAACCAGAAAATTCATTTATAAAATTAAATAAATAAAAAAATATCAAATAAATAATCTCAAAAAATGGAAAAATTTTCTTGATTTCGAAAAAACGAATATTTTATTCAACATTTATTAATGTATAAATATCAAATTAATCCACCAATTTTTACTTTAAAATAAAAAAGATATATTTAATAATTTTTAAATTTTTTTAAGGAAAAGGAGATACCTACTATTATCATATGCTAATATAATTGTATTATATGCTGATATTATAGTCTTGCCATATGCTGATAAGGAAGAAATCTCTCATCATCTTACCGACAGAGAATGAAAATTTCATTCTTAACCATTAATGGTAAATTACCGACACTGGTTAAAAATTCCTACATTATCAGTCAATGATAATAAATTTCTCAAACATTATATAATTTTAATTTTTAAGAAATATTTTTTAACAATGTAATGTTATATTTTTTTTTAATATAGTTAATAAAGGAATAGATTGTAAATTTATTTCCCAAGAATCATAGAAAAGTATTTACTTAAATAATCTAAATTCTCAAAATTGTTAATAAACAATTAATTAATTTCATATTAGGTACTTATTAAACTGAACTTTCATAAAAGTTTACAAATTACAATAATTCGTTATGATCAAACAACTATAAAATTAAAACTTTGAAATACTAAAAAACTAAAACTATTATTTACAAGCACTTGAAATAAATTTTACAGTGTAAATAATTACAAAAAAAAATTTATACAAGCATATGACTGGGTTAAATCTTTTTTTTTTTTAATTTTAAAGTAAAAACAGGTGAATTTCAAGTGTTTGAAACCCAAGCACTTTATTTATTGTGGTACAAATAGAATTTTTAAACCTACGACATTTCCATAGCCGCAGCCATATCCTCGGTGTATTTTCTTAATACAGAGAGATGCTCCTTACTTTTCTTGGCAATGATCTTTTTGCGACCTTCATCCATCTTTAGTTTAACTAAAACAGTCAGTAAATATTACAAATTAGTAACAAAAAAAAATAAAAGAACTTGAAATTGAATATTAATGATAAATTAAACATAGAAAAAAAAGATCAGTGCCAATTTCAATTCAACGATTGAACCGGGTTAAACGAATTTATCATGTGCAAGAAAACCTTACACACGAGGCCACAAGTTTAACCGTTTGTTCGAATCTCGGTGAATGGTTTGGATCATCATTTCGAGTTAAAAATTAATAATATATAAATAAACAACAAAATAAATAATAAATAATAATAATAATTATGATAATAAATAGAAACTTTTTACTTATCTATTATTTTGCATTTTTTTAGAATGATACGAGAAGAAAGGTTTTGCAAAAAAATCCGAATCTAATTAATTAACCATTAACTTCTTCAAGATTACAATGCTTTTACTACACTAAATTTCCCTGACTTTTCCCTACCAAATTTTTGAATTTTTCAAATTTTATGATACTGAAGTCCGCAACGTTTTTATAAACGAAAACAAAAAAAATAATGAGACAATTTGTATTACTTTGGCTTGAAATTAAAGTTATTCGGGGTTAACTGGCTACTATGAAAGTATTAATTTCTTAAAAGTTTATGCAAATCAAAATTAGTAATAATAATTCTATTTTAATTTTTCGTTTTGAAAAAATTCTTAAAATAGGACAATTTTAAGTGTTTGGAATTTAAGCACTTTATTATTGTGAAATGAATAAAGAGAATTTTTAAACCTACGACGTTTCCATGGCGGCAGCCGTATCTTCTGTGTATTTTCCTTTGTCTTTTCCCAATGCAGCAAGACGACCCTTACTTCTTCTGTCAATGATCTTTTTGCGATCTTTATCCATCTTCAGTTTAACAATGACAGTCTGTAAATATCAAAATTTGTATTTAAAAAAAAATTTTAAAGAACCTGAATCACAATTCTAATAGTAATTAATTGTACGTAGAAAAATAGAAAGATCAGTGCCAATTTCAATTCAACGATTGAACCGAGTTGAACGAGTTTATCATGTGCAAGAAAACCTTACACATGAGGCCACTAGTTTAACCGTTTGTTCGAATCTCGGTGAATGGTTTGGATCATCATTTCGAGTTAAAAATATTGTATATTTAAAAAAAAAAATGAAACAAACAAATTTTCTATATTTATTTTAATTAAGTATTATTGTGGTTATAAATATTAATTTTTTATTTATTTATTTATTTATTATTGTGCGATTCCAAGTGAGATTTTGACTTTTTCGGAGTAGGTTAACCGATTGCAATGAAACTTTGGAATTTTGTTATATATAGTAAGACTAATCTTTAACGTAAATTTCAGCCTAAAATATTTGTTAGTTTACGAGATTTGCAATAATAACAAAAAATTTAAAACTGCTATATCTTCCGTTCTAATAAACGGATTGAGGTCTACTTTTTTTTAAAATGTCAAGGAAAATGAGAGGAATAAATCTCTTTCAGAACATTTTTTTATAATTTTACAACTAAAAAAATTATTAAATAATAATTGAATAACTTTCGCGCGACTAACTAAAATTCAATCACTTAAACGCTAAAATGATCTTACCTGTGTTTTCTTTAATGTTCCAAAGGATTTTTATTGTAAATGTAAGTTTAACTTAAGAAATTTTATTAATTTATTAGTATAAACAATTGAGATTTCTGCTAGTTGACGTGCAGACGACATTGCGCACGCAGCATTCTCACATAGCCAATTTAGTCCACGAATCACGTCAGTTGGCTATGTGAGAATGCTGCGTGCGCAATGTCGTCTGCACGTCAACTAGCAGAAATCTCAATTGTTTATACTAATAAATTAATAAAATTTCTTAAGTTAAACTTACATTTACAATAAAAATCCTTTGGAACATTAAAGAAAACACAGGTAAGATCATTTTAGCGTTTAAGTGATTGAATTTTAGTTAGTCGCGCGAAAGTTATTCAATTATTATTTAATAATTTTTTTAGTTGTAAAATTATAAAAAAATGTTCTGAAAGAGATTTATTCCTCTCATTTTCCTTGACATTTTAAAAAAAAGTAGACCTCAATCCGTTTATTAGAACGGAAGATATAGCAGTTTTAAATTTTTTGTTATTATTGCAAATCTCGTAAACTAACAAATATTTTAGGCTGAAATTTACGTTAAAGATTAGTCTTACTATATATAACAAAATTCCAAAGTTTCATTGCAATCGGTTAACCTACTCCGAAAAAGTCAAAATCTCACTTGGAATCGCACAATAATAAATAAATCATTTCCCTACAGTTTTGAATATTCAAATGAACGAATTTTTTTGTTACTTTTGGTAAGTACAAAATATTAATTTACACATTAAAAAATAAATTATTTACCTAATAAATATTGAATTTATTTTTTTTTTATTATTACTATTTAATTATTTAAAAAATTTAAAATCAAATTTTACAAAATTTCAATTATTTCACATCCTTGTAATGAAATATCTTTAAAAATTAAATTATTTTCGAAATTTTCATTTTAAAATTAAATAATTAAATAATTCTAAACAATTTTTTCAAAAATTGAATTACTTTTGAAATTTTTAAACAATGCTGAAGTACACAACGTTTATGATAAATGATTTTTAAAGAAATAATTTTTTAGTATGAAGAATTTTATAAATTGTTACCTGAAAAAAATTTTTTGTAGTGTTTAGTAATCAACAACTTATAAAAAAAAAAAAAATTTTAATAAACGGTTTTATTATTTTCATGAGCCAAAAGTTTTGAACGTTCAAATGAACAAAATATTTTTTTCAATCTATAAATTATTAAAAATTATAATTTCAATGTAAAATAAAACAGTGAATTAAACTAATATTAAATTAATAACTTCTTTTTAGATATTTAAAACAATATTCTGTAATAAAATTCGTATTTAAAGAAGTTACAAAAAAAATTTTGTTCATTTGAACGTTCAAAACTTTTGGCTCATTATTTTCAGTATTAAATAAAAATTAATTTCCAATCGTTTATCATAAAAGTTACGTACTTCAGCATCGTATTTTTAATTTTATTAATATAATTTGAAGATGATTTAGAATTTTTGTCATTTGGATTCAAGAAAATCATTTAAAATATCATTAATTTAATTTAGTTAAAAATCAATTTAAATTAATATCGAAACTTTCAATTGCAAATATTTATTTTAAAATGAAATTAATTATATTAAATTATTTATAAACTATTTTAACTAAAACTCTTTGGATATTTTATTATTTTCAAAAATTTTAACGAATTTCCTTAATAATTTACTGATTTTAAAAATTTATATATATATATATATTTTAAAAAAAGTTGTATTATAAATTAAAAAAAATTAATTGATATTAAAAACTTTAATTGCATATCTCCAAAATATCAAATAATTTTCCAAAAATCGAAATTACATTTTTTTTTAGAAATTTGTAATAAATTTTTTCACGCATTCAAAATAATTTAATAATTATTAATTAAAGTTACAAAATTCAAAACACTTTAAAAAAAAATTTCTTTTTGGATAATATTAGTTCAAATTTTTTTTATTTAAAAAAAAAAAAAGTTCTAGTAATTAAAACTTTTGAAGGTATAATATTACAATAATTATTAATTTTTTAGAAAACAACATTTTGAAAAAAATTAATTGTTAAACAATTTTAGTTTTTAATTAAAAAATGTTATTTTCTTTGTTAAAAATATTTCTTTGATACTATTATTATTATCGTTTAAATTATTTGATTTAGAAAAAAAATAATTGAGAAATGAACCTTTGAAAAAAAAATTTGACTTAAATCGAAAAAATCAGTTTTCTTTTTTAATAATTTTTATCAATCCTGGCTTAATTGACATATGTCAAGAAATAATTTAGAAAAAGTTAATATCATATTAAGCATTTGAAAGTATTGTCTAGAAAAAAAAAATTGTAAAACATTTTAAAGAAATAAAATCATAAACATGACATACCTTTGAAGGATCAATACCAACGTAAGCAGTTGCTCCATTAGTTTTTTCCCTTTGAATTCTTTCAATATAAACAACAAATTTCTTTCTATAGACTTGAATTACTTTTCCAACTTGTTGGCCTTTATAATGACCACGAACAACCTAGACAGTTGAAAGCATCATGTACTTTTTTGGGAGATAATTGAAAAATTAATTCACGTCAACTATTTGAGGTTATGTTACCTGTACTTCATCATCCTTACGAATTGGCATTGAGCGTACATTATATTTTTGTCTCAATTCTTTTGACAAAGGTGAAGACATTAGCCTTCTTCTAATATGTGAAGGCGCTGTAAAATGCCTTTTTCGATTTTTCCTCCTCGAGGATGTTACCATTTTGTTGAACTTCATTGTGTTTTTCCCCTACGAATAAAATTTACACTATTTTAACCCCTTTTTTTCAACAATAGAAATTAAACTTTTTTTTTTTTTAACCATAATCTAACATAATTTTATATTTTAAATAGAAAATAAAACGAAAAAAATTTAAAATATCACAACACATGGTTGTTAACTATCAACAATGCTGTTTCAACTATAACACGTGTACTTGGAAAAACTTTTATTATATACACAAAAATATTAACACCAATAGTTTTTTTAATAAAAGATAGAAATTTTTTTATAAATTTTATTCACTTTTTAACTATTTTTAATACAGATTACACTGGATTATTATGTAAAAACTCACCGAAAACAACCCTGCCCGTACCACTGACAAAACCGGAAGAGAGATTCCAATGAATCAACGGAACACTAGCGCCATTGTCAAGAACGACGGGAAGAAGCGGGAAATTTTAAATCACTTCAATTTATAATTATCAATTATTATTAAAAATTTTATAAAAATTATTTTTACATAGTTAACATTTTTACCTTTTAATAAACGTAAATAAAATTATGTATTTAAAAAAAAAAACAAATAAATTCTATTACAAATATTTTTAAATGATATTTTTTTTCATTTTATAATTTATTTTTCATTGAGAAACAAATTATATTACACACATTAAAGAAATTATTAATTTCATCATTATATGTATTTAATAATTATTATTTAAAATTTGCCGCTAATAAGTGAATTTAGATTTGAGTTGAAAAATTATTCTTTAGAGGGCGTTGTTTTTGTCTGATGGTCTCAGGCTGGCTGGTGGTGTGTCGAGGCAGTAAATTTAGCGCGGGTGGGTGTTGTCGTTAAAAATTTTTTACGCGCTCGAACATTTAATTAATTGTGCGATATTCTGTGAAAATCTGTGAAAAAAATGCCGCCGAAAAAGCGGGAGAAGGATTTGGAAGGACAAAAAGCTCCTCGAATGGATATGGTGCAAGCTGATCATGAGCTGTTTCTACAAGCCTTTGAAAGTGAGTTTGCCTTTTTTTTTTTTTTTTTTTTCATCTCATTTGTTTCATTTAAACAACAAGAGTTTCCCTATGAATTTCATTAAATTAATAATAAAATAAATTTTTTTTTTAATAAATCATATTTTATTTTCAATAAATATTTGTTTATTGAATATAAATTTTCATCCAAACATAACCCCCCTATTATCAACCGTGTAAAAATTCAACGGCGTGGGGTCACTTACCTCCCTTCTTTTTCTTCAAAATCCCGCCGTCACCTGTCATAATTATTATGCACTATTGTTTTCATAATATCAGTCAAATTATGTATTACTCATGTGTTACTTTATTATAATTGTTTATTCATATAGCAATAGAAAATTTTGCAGTCATTTAGTATAATAAGTTATGATTTCAATTCCGTGACTGCTTTGTCATATATATATATATATATATATATATACATGTATGAGTGATCATAAAGGAAATTTTCAATTTTGTCTATTTTATTTATTTTAAAAAATTTATTGCTTAAAATATTAATTTGTTTAAATAAATAATATTCGAAAAAAAGTTTTTTTGCTTCGAAATTGTTGATTGACAAAGTTATATTTGAAAAAAAATTGTTTATACTTTTTAAAAAATTATGTTTTAACTTCAGTTATGTAAATATTACATTTTGTACTTGTATGAAGTTAAATTTATTTTATTTCTTTAGACATTATTATTATTTTTTTTTTTTCTTTGTATACTATAAATATTTTTTTACATAATTTAATTTCTTTAGATTATTATTTAAATCTTTGTAAATTTTACTTTAAACATTGTTGATATGAGAAAATAAATAGAAATGAGTTTTTTTTTCAATATTTTAAAAATGGGATCAGAGAGGTTTGACCTGCGAAAACGTAACAAGATTGGTTGCGCAGGCTTCTCGTATCGTACGAGCAAAACCAAATCATCATCTCCCATCTGAATCACAGAAGGATCGAACTTTTAGGTTCACTTCTGGCGACTTTAAACTCTTCAAGTCTCATGTTGTATGTGAGAAATATTCGATAGTTATGATCTCTATTGGCCAAAAGGCAAACTATTTTATATTCTTTCCCGCCTATTTTTTTCAAAAATAATTCTTTTTCTAAATTAAAGAAAAATTTGTTTTTTTTTTTAATATTTATTTATAGTTATTAAATATTTTTTAATTTTATTTTTTTTTAAATTTTATTATTGTAACTTGTAATTATATAAATTAATAATTTATTTTATTATTTATTGTTTTAAAAAGAAATTTCTAAAACAAATATATATCAACAATTATTTATGTGATTTATTTAAAAATAAAATACTAAAATGAAAAAATTTTTTTTCAGAACCAACACAGATTTATCGGTTTTTGCGCACAAGGAATCAAATTTCGGTAAGTTTAAATTGTACAAATAATTAGAGCATGAAATTCTAAAATTTAAAATGTTAACCCTTTGTCATATTCGTAAAAATGTATTAAATATTTTAATTTTATACATATTATTACTAAAAGCAATAAGATATTGAAAACATTTTTTTTGTTTTTTTAATTTCGAAATCTTATAAAAATTTTTGAAATTAATTTATTAACAATTAACATTTATTAATGTTGAACAAACAGATTTGACAAAATGTATATAAATATCTTATTGCGAAAGAATAAAAACTTTAAATTTTGTTTTAATAAAACAAAAATAAATATTTGTTTTTAACATTTCCACTCGATATTAAACAAAAAACTATTTTGCATCTCGTCTTCTGAATTTTTTCTCCCTCATTTAAAAGGAAGCGAATTTGTTATTTAAATTGCCGTATATTAAGTGAATTATTTTTTCGTTTTTTAAATTTTTAAGTGCTTGACATCTACTAAGTAAAATAGTTTTTATGCTTTTTTTAAAGTAGTTTATTATTTGTAAGGTACGTTATTAAATTTTTCGTAAATTTTATAATAATTTTAATTAGTGATTAGAATGGAATTAGAATTTGAAAATTTAATTATATATATATTTATTATTTAGAAAAAAATAAAATTGAAGATAATTAAAATAATTTTATCATTTCAGCCTGTATTTCTTTATAGAAATTTATCTTATATGAGACAAAGAATGTCTAGGACGCATAAATCGCGAAGAGGATTTAGAATCAACTCTATTTTAGACAAATTAGTAATTAAAAATGAACAACAACAAATTCCAGGAATTCGTGGGTACATGACTTTGACATTTTTAGGATTTTACGATAAAAAATGTGAGTTCTTTTAAATACTCATTGTGTATTATATTATATTATAAATATACAAAGAACAAGAAACAAACAAAAAAAAAAAAAAAAAAACAATAATAATTACAGTGGAGGTGCCCCAGGATCCAGTAAAGGTGGAAACTTTGCTTTTAAAAATTTGCCATAAAAAACGAAAAGACGTTAGTTCACCAATAACGCAAGTAGGTAGAAAATAATTTTTAATTATATTTTTTAATGAGATGAATTGTTTTTAGTGAATTTTTGAAATTTTTCTCAGGATTATGTTGGATCAAGGGAAGTGCCAATTAATCCTTCAGAAAATCAACCTCCACCAAAAGCACCTACTATTTCAATACCAAATGAATCTTTTAGTTCAAATAATGGTCATTTAGCAAAGACTTACATGCTTTTGCTCAGAGTCTACTGCACGTCAAATAATGGCTGCCTTATGCATAACTGTGATTTAGACGGTACATTCCTATTTTTATATTATAATTAATAAAAATTTATTATTTTCAGAGTTATAGAATTAACAGGATAGCCACAAGTCAGAGAAAAGTTAGAGGAAATTTTTTTTTTTTTGTTAGGAAAATTTAGAAAATTGAAGAAATTTGCAGAAAAAGTAAAATGCAGATCTTCTTAAAATCTTCTTTATTTTAATTATTTAACAAATTTTTAACTAAAATTTTTCTCTAAAACAATTATTTTTAATAATTTTAATGAAATTATTCACAAATTCAATTATCGTAAACTATTTTTCAATTCAAAACTTTAGGAAATTTAACAATTGTTTACAATTTACAAAAAAAAATCAGCAAATAAAATTACCAAAAATTTTAATTTAAAATCATTAAACATTTAATTATTTTTAAAATTTTACATCTAAAACTTTCTGAAATTTAATAATTTCAATTATAACTCTTCCGAAATGCAATTATTTTTAATAAAATATTTCTTTAAAAATTCAATTATTTAAAAAAGTTTTAAATAAAAACTTTAAAATTGAATTGATTTGAGATTCTTTTTTTTATAGAAATTTGTCCTACTTAATTAAAATTGAGGAATTAATAAAATGGATTAAATATCTAATAACATTAGTTATATAAAGTAAAATAATGTGCCTCAAGTTCTGGACGTTGAAATGAACGAAAAAAATTTTAATGTACTTCTTTTTTTAATTACTGCAGTAATTTTCAAATAATTTATAGACCACAAAAAATTATTTCATTCATTTGAACGTTCAGAATTTTGGGTACATGTTACTTATTAACTAATTAAATTTAATTGAAATAAAAAAAATCGACTTTTTCGACTTTTTTTAGAATGTAAATCGACTAAAACGATTTTTTTTTTGCGTTTTAATGTCGATCCAAGGCCTTAATATTTAAAAAATAATTAAATTTACATTGATTTAAGTTTATGAATGTTGAAAAATAATTATATAGTTTAAAAAAAAATTTTTTTTAACATTCCTTCAGCTAATATTAATTTAGAGATCACAAAATTAGAGATTTTCATATTTTTATAAATGATTCAATTGACTAAAGCTTGAATTTATCAAAAATTTTCCATAGATTTAAAAATTATTTAGGACAAATTTCAATAAATAAAAACTTAAATTAGTTGAAGAATTTGTTGATTAAAATTGTAATCGATCTAAATTTAAATTCATTCTAATTCAAATCAACCATCAATTCAAAAAAAAAATAATATTCAATTTATTAAATATTGAATCTGTTGAAATTTTAATTCAACCAAATTTTTATTTAATTAAATTTTATTCGATTTAAATATTATAGTCGATTCAAATTTTAATTCAATCTAAATTATAATTTTAATTTCAATTGATGTTAAGTTTAAATCAATGCTAATTTTTATTGAACAAAACAAATTTATTAATTAAAATTTGAATCAAATGCAAATTTAATCGATTGACGCTTAAAATTAACGAAATTTCAATCTGTCTAAAAATTAATCGATTTAAGTCTCAAATTATCCGTATTGTAATTAATAAAAATTTTAATTGATATAAGTTTCGAATTTAACGAATTTCAATTTATTTAAGTTCTTAATTTATCTGAATTTTAATTTGTTTAAATTTTAATTGATTTAAGTTTCAAATTATCTAAATTGTAATTTATTGAAGTTTTATATTTTCCGAATTTAATTTTACCCAAATTTTGATTGATTTAAATTTTACTTTATCAAAAATTCAATTTACCGAAATTTTAAACTATTAATGCTTTAATAATTAGATAAAAAAATTTGAATTGCTATAGTAAAAATAGTAAAAGAATGTAAGAAAAAACGTTTTTCTAACTTCAAATTATTAGATTTCTTTTGAAACTAAATAAAATAAATAAAAATTAGTTTGTCAGGGAAAATTGTTTATTGACAGGAAAATTGAAAAAATTCATTCTCGTGGCAATCCTGATTAGGGAAAATTGAAATTGTTAAATGATAATCATATAATTTAATTTAAAAAAAAAAGAATGCGAAAGATCAATAAAATCGATGTTTTGATTTTTAGAGCCAGCTCAAAAGCGTCGTAAAACTGCAACTGGTGCTATTAAGACCGGAGGCGAAGAAATTAAATTGTATGGTTCGGAACTTGTAGTATACGACAAACATAATCGTTGTCTTTTAACGGATGGTGATTATGAATTGGGTTTACAAGAAGTGCAAACAAATGTTAGATCAAGTCCCAAAAAACATAATTCTTGGGAAACAATTCCTGATATAAAAGACTGTAGTCCTTTTGACGTCTTTACTAGAGGACCGACACTTAAATTTAGATTAAGTTGGACCATGGAACCAAGCAATGGTTTCGTTGATAGGCCCGTTGCAGTAAATCCTCTTCCTAATGGAGACAACAAAGAAAATCGACCAGGCAACAGTGAGTTTATAAATTTTTTTTATTAATTTAGAAATTAAATTTAAATCAAGTATTTTATTAATTGTTTAACTTTTTTTTTTTACAAATGTTAAACTTTTCCGATTTTTGGAAAAGGTAGAGGTGAAAATCTTCTCGAAGATTAGTCAATTATTTTTCATATCAAAAGTAAAAAATGTTGATTTTTTTAAACCTTGAATTTTTAAAAATATTTCGATTCTTTTTTTGTAAATAAAAAATAATAATGAATTAAAAAATTATAAATTATACAAAATTATAACAAATACTAAAATTGTATTTAGACTATTCTTCCAAATTAAAAGCATTTATTTAATATAGACGACTTTTTTAAACAAATTTTTCATTTCTCTCAATTTAATAAATTAAAATAATTTTGACTATTAATATATTACATTAACAATAAAATTTAATTATATTGAAATTTCAAATGTACAAAAAAATTCAATTTTCAATTTAAAAATTAAATTAGTGTTAAAATTAAATTATTTTCTTAAATACTTATTTTTTAAATTAAATAATTTTTAAAATTCACTTTTCTTACAACTGCAATTATTTTAAATTTTAGATTTTTCATCGGACATCAATATTATATTTTTTTCAATATTTTATCTTATTTCTTTAAAAATATTGTGACTTACATTTAATTTAAATATTGATTTACAAAATAATTTTTAAACATTTTCTACGTTACAAGAAAACAATTTTAAAACGATTTACTTTTTTCTAAAATTCGTTCAATAAAAAATACAAATTTTTCTATTCTATTCTATTCCATAATTGAATTTTAATCCATTGAATTTTTTTTAAGCAATTGAAAATTTAATAATATTTATCATTAAATTTTTTAATTAGTTAATTTAGTTAATAACAAATAAGGGTAAATTAATCAAAATTTTCTTCTTTTTGTTGAATTTCTATAGAAAATAAAAACATTTAAAAATTTTTATTTTCAAACTACAAAAAAAATATATAAATATTTGTTATATTTAATTTAAAATTGAATATATTAAAATTGAAAATTTATGTTTAAAATATAAAAGTTTATTTGTTCAAAACAAAATTTGAAGAATTTTCTATTTTGCGAATTCCTCAAACATTTTAAAAAAAACTTATTTTCTTGAATTATAATTATAAATTATAATTGTTATAGAAAGAGAACCTTTTGTGAAATACTATTTACTATATTTAACAATTTTGCAATTAACAAAAAAGACGATATTTTCTCAATTAAATAAAATATTCTTTTCTATTTTGAAGAAATTAAATTAAATTAAAATTGTAAGTGAATTGTGTCCATTTTTTGTTACTGTCTGCAATGTAGTTCATAGCTTCTTCTAAACGTTTTACATTTGTAAGATACTTAAAAAAAATGCGATTAACTATCTTCAGTCGTCTCACATTACACTTGGAGATATGTCAACATATTCAAGAAAGAATTTATTGGAAATTTTTAACTTCTTCAAATTTCTCGTCTTAAAATTGAAATATTTTTTTTATTAAATTGGTAATATTTTTATAATAATTATTTTAAATTTCTGAGAATTTGTGATATTTTTGTGCTAAATTTTGTGTTTTTCGATAAATAATATCTTTCCTAATAATGATAATAAAAAAATGTTAAACATATTTTTAATATTTTTTTCTGAAAATTAAAAAAATCGTAACATTTATTTAATTTTAATTAAATACAATATAAAAGGAAAAAAAAATTACATTGTACTATATAATATTTTTGTCCTTTTTTTTCATTTCAGATTGCCCCACGAATCATAACAATAATTTTAGTAGTAGTAATAATAACAATTTAGCACTGCCAGCACCTAGTCCTCTTACACCTGCAAAGATACCTGTGACAAATGAAAAAATTGATGCTTCCAATATATCATTGCAAATTGTTTATCAATTTTTATATAATAATAACAGTCGCCAACAAACAGAAGCTTGCGAGGATCTTCATTGTCCTTGGTGTTCATTAGACTGCGGAAAATTATACTCACTTTTGAAACACTTAAAACTTTGTCATTCAAGATTCACTTTCACATATGTGGTAAATATTATAAATTACATTTTTCAAAAATACTTGTCTTTACAAATTTTTACATTGATGTTTTTTTTTTTTCTTTTTCATTTTTTCTAGCCAATACCACAAGGAGCACGAATAGATGTAGCAATAAATGAATGCTACGATGGATCGTATGCGGGAAGTCCTCATGAATTAATTTCACAACCTTCTGGTGTTGCTTTTTCAAGAACTGGACCAACAAGACGTACAAGTGTGACAAATATTTTAGTCTGTCGACCAAAACGAACAAAACCAAGTCTTTCTGAATTTCTCGAACTAGATGAAAATGAATTTGAGAGCCAACGATCTTACATTACAGGACACAATAGGTAAATGTTTTTTTTATTATTATTATTACACTGTCTGATATTAATTTTTCCCCTGAAATAATTCTTACCAGTTTTGATAGATTTTTTTTTAAATATTCTCTGGCACGTCTAATTTTTGAAAGAATTAATGTTAAAAAGTCAAAACATATTTCAAGGCTGATAAAAATTATGATATTTTTTTTAAAGAAATCAAAAAAATCCAATTTTTTTATTTTTTTAGTCAAATTCATTTTTACTTACCCCACATTTTTCAACAGTTCATTTTTAATTACCATTAACTAAGAAAATAAATCAACAAAAAATGATTTTTTCAATTTTTTTCCTCATTAAAAATCTAAATTTTTAAAACAAATTTTTTTTTTACTATTCCAATATATTGTTAACATTCTTCTGGAGATTTTCTCCAATTTTTATTAAAAAGAATATAAATTTTTTTGACGGAGCTATTTAAACTTAAATATTGTTTCATAATTGCCTAGCATTTGGAGTAGAGTTATAAAATAAATTGTTATTATAATTGTAAAAGGAAGTATAACATATTTTCTTTTAGGAAAACTTTTTATTTAGTACCTTTAAGTTAAATAATAAAAGAAAAAAAATTATTATTTAATAACTTTTACTGAATTCGGAGAAATTCATGAATTTTTCACCCTTTTTTAAAATAACATTTTTACTTTTTTGAAATTTGACAATTTTTTTCTTATTGCCAGTGACAATAAAAATAAAAACATTATTTGATTCTGATAGTTTTGATATGAAAATTTTTTAACAAATATTTTAAAAATATTTTTTATTCAAAAATAATTTATTGATTTTCAAATCTTTATATTAAAATAAAGAAAAAATTTATTTTGAACATAAATAACAGAATTATTAATTGAACATCAGGAAATTTATATTATTTTTTCAAATTCAAAAACATAATACATATTTTTCGAAAATTTATCGATTTATGTCCTAATTATTTTTTAAATTAAATTTATTTTTTTAATTCAATTATTTTGTTAATACAATTACCTATGCTTTTGCATAGTTAATTATTTTATGAATTCAACTATTTTTATAGAATTTAAAAAAAAAATAATAATAAGAGAAAAACTTCAGTATCGCAATTTTGATACTGCGAAGTAAAAAATTGATTTAAAATTTTATTTATAATTGAATTCACATAATAATTGAATTTAAAAGAAAAATAGACAAAAAAATAATTAACTCTTACATAAAGTTAATTAATTTCGCAATAGATAATTCATTTTAAAAGAATTAAACTTCAAACAATTAAAATTTCAATAGCACTGTATTTTTAAATAATTGAATTACTAAATTCTAAATAATAATAATAATAATAATAATAATAATGAATACTAAACATTATTGAATAATTGAATATTTAATAGATTTTTTAGACAAATAATGTATATTGTTAATAAATTGATAGTGTGAATTAATTGAAGAAATGTTCTTTAAAAATTTATTTAAAATGAAAAAAAGAGAAAATTTATTTAGGAATGTTTTCTCTTTACTTTGAAGAAAAAATAATAGGTGCAATTTTAAATTTTATATTCAATTAATAATTCTGTAGTTTATTTTCGATATTATTATTATTATTATTATTATTATTATTATTATTATTTGTTTAAAATTTGTAGAATGTTCTATCATCAAGTTGAATTATATTTAATTCTGAAATTATTTATAAATTAAAATTATCAAAGTACAATTTTGTGAATTTATTTTATACCAGTTTATACAATTAAAAATATGTTTTTAATTTGAAAAAATAACATAAATATTACTTATATACATTTTATAATTTTATTATTATTATTATTTTAAAAATAAAATTCTATTTTAATGAGTTCAAAATTTGATAAAATGTCCTGGAATGTCCTTGAAAGTCTCGGAATTTTAATTTTTGTCCTTGAATTTTTTATATTTTGCTTTTAAATTTTCAAAAATTTATAATTTTGTTAATCAAGTTAAAAAAAATTCATTAAATAAGTAAAATGAAAATTTACTTAAAAAATTAATTAATTTTTTAATAATTTCTGAAAACAATAGTTAAACTAAAATTTTTTTTTTATTCCTTAAGGTCATCCAATTTAATGTCCTGGAAAAATAAAAAATTTGTCCTGGAAAAGTCCTGGAATTTCAATTCAGATTTTTAGTAGACACCCTGAAAGATAATTCTATTGTAATTTATTTTTTACAATATTATTTCAATTTCATTACAAGTTTCATGTATTCATTTGAACAAGACTCCAGCACTGATTTTTTTTTTAAATTCTAAATCAAATAGAGTAAAAAATCCGCTTTTTTTTATTTTTTAACACTAATTTTCTCAAAAATTAAACGTGCTACTGCATTTTTCTTTGTAGATTCTTATTCAAAAAATCTATCTAAACTGGTAAGAACTATTCCAGGGTCAGAATAAAAATAAATTTTTGCCTGACAATTTATATTTAATAATTATATTTTATTAATTTATGATGCTGAAGTCCACAACGTTTTTATAGACGAAAAAAAAATAATGAAACGATATGTATTAGTTTGGTTTAAAATTAAAGTTATTCGGTGGTAACTGAGGCTTTTATATAACTATTAATTTCTTTAAAAGTTTGTGCAAATCAAAATTCAAGATAAATGGACTTAAAAAAATAATTCTAAATTTTAATTGTTTATTTTTAAAAACATTACGGACTTCAGTCTCAATATTAATTTATTATTTTCAAAAAAAAAGTTTTTAAAAATTAAATTTAAAAAAGTAAATTATTCTTTTTTAAGGCTCTATCATCATACTGTGACTTGTTTACCAATATATCCAAAGGAAATGGACATTGATTCAGAGGGTGAAAACGATCCAAAATGGCTACAAACAAAAACAATGATGATGATTGATGAATTTACTGATGTTAATGAAGGTGAAAAGGAATTAATGAAAATGTGGAATTTACATGTAATGAAACATGGCTACGTTGGCGATTGTCAAATTCCACTTGCATGTCAAATGTTCCTTGAAACAAAGGGAAAGGAATTATTAATGAAAAATCTCTATCGTAATTTTGTTCTTCATATGTGTAGTCTATTTGATTTTGGACTTATTAGTCCAGTGATACTTTATCAAGTTATACAAAAATTACAAGAAATGATGAAGGAAGGAGGTGAGAATGGTGATGTAAGAAAAATTTTACAAAAATCACACGAACAACAAGTTGAACGTTGGGTTACAACTGGTGTTTATGCGCCAACTGACAATATTAAAACAAATAGTACATGTGCAAAAATTAATTTCAATAATGATAATTCACATTCAAATACAAGGCGAAAGACAACATTACCCCTTGGTTCGCCACCAAATTCACAAGCTGGTAAATCATCAATTCACAATAATGCAACAAAACATGCAAGTATGATGGGTGCATCAACAAATAAATCATTAAATTTAAATAGCACTATACAAAATTCATTAAATAAAAATGGCAATTCATATACAAATCAAAATGGCGTGAGTAAAAATATTACGTCAAATACAAATAAAGTGACAGCATCATCGGGAACAAGTAATTCTGTTCAAAATGAAAATTCACAAAATAAACAATCAACGGAACCACCAACAAGACGTAAAAGTACAGATGGAACAGCGTCAATGCGCAGAAAATCAATGGCCAATGATAATTCATCGACTAATGAATATCACCGACGAAAGTTGATTCTGGATGCAATTCAGTCAGGTTAAAAATTTAATATTAATAATAATAATAATAATTATGAAAAAAGCGAAAAAAAAAAAAAATTAATTAATTAATTAATAGAAAAAACGACAAAGTCGTTCATTTATATAAAGGACCACGCACGTTAAAACGCGCGTATTGTACGTTTTTGTACAGTATTTGTTGCGTAAAAATAAGATAAAATTTTTCAAATTTAAGTAATATTATTAAGCTAATCTGGATTAGTATACGAGGTGTTTGACACCCTTTATTTCAGTGCAGTTTGTTTACACTGTGCTTGTATTTTTTTTTTTTTTTTTTTTCTGTAATGAGAATATAACGTTTATAAAAAAGGAAAATAAAAATTATCGAGAGTGGGTTAAAGAAAAATTGTATTAAGAACATTTGCTAATAATTTAAAAAAAAAATTGCAGATTGTTCAGATAAAAATATGATTATTAATTTTCGCCTGGAGATCATGTACCCAGACTCGAAATTAAATGAACAAAATATTTTCCTATTTGTATATATATATATATTGAAAAAAAAAATTGAAATCAAAATTTTTCACTAGAATTGTTTTATATTGACAAATATTATTTTTTACTGATTTTAAAATGAATTTTCTTTGTTATCACATGCAAAAATGATTCAAGTATCGTGAATAGACTTATTGATTTTTTATCGCTGAATAGAAATCTAATTTTGAAATTTGCCCTTATTTTTTTTATTTTGTTTTATGGGACAATTTGAAAGAAATTTGTATTTTATAATTTTATGTTTGTAAATTAAAATTTAATATTTGGCATTTTGCAAAATGTTTTTCAAAAAATATTTAAAAATATTAAAATAGTATATAAACCAGTCAGAATACAGAAATAAATAAAAATAATTTTGAAAATTGCCCATTAGATTGAGATATTGAAAAAATAAGTGTAAAATAACCTTGGTTTTTAAAAGTATAAACCTCCAGCTATTTAAGAATCAAATCGAAAAATATATACAATCATTTTTCTTAGTAATTTTTTATTTTTTTTTTTTAATTTTCTCACCAATTAAAAATTATCTAAATTTATCTTCGGATTTGTAATCGGCAACTTTTTTTACATTTTGACCTGAGATTCGTAATCAAACCTAAAGAATAAAATCTGTTAATTTTCAAAAATTTTATGTCCGATATTTTTAGTTTTTTTTTTTAATTTTTACCTTAGATTTGTAATGAGCGATCCCAAAAACAAAAAATAGCTTAAGGGGGTTACCTACTTTTTTTGTTCGAAAAAATTAAGAGATTTTTATCATTTTTTTTTTTTTTTTAGTCATTTGATCAAAATTCATATCAAACCGAATATGTTTCGAGATACTTGTAACGAATTTAAACCAAAAATAGTTTTTTATTTATTTAAATGTTTACGGGCTTAAAAAAAGAAAAAACAAGTCCTTTCGTACCAAAGTACTGAATTAGAGAAATTATAATATAATTCAAAAATATAACATAAATTTATTTATTTTTTTTTTTTAATTTAAACAAAAATAATTAGGGAGCATAGTTACCTTTAATTAATTTGTTCAAGCTTTAATTTAAAACTAATTAGAGCCTTTTAGAATTTTAGCTTTATTCTCTACGTGTGATAATAAAAAATGGAATTTTTGAAATTTTGAGTCTGTTTTTCTTAAAAATTTTTAAAAATCAGATTCATGTTCAGCGGTGAAAAATCTATAAGATAGACATTCAAATGACTCAACTATTGCAATAGAAGAAAAAAGTAATTTTATTTTATTAAACATTTTCAAATATAGAATGGAAAATTTATATAAAAATTTTTAACTTTTTTTCTTAACACTATTATAGTTAATACTAAATTAATAAATTTGTTAAATTTTATTACAACTATTATTGAAAATTATTTAAACAAATAATTGTTTTTTTTCATAGTGCGCCTAGAAAAATATAGTTTTTTTTTTTATAAATTTTACAATTTAGGAAACTAAATAAATAATAATAATAAATACATAACAAATAGAAATAATACAGTGGGACCTCGATTATCCAAACTAATTCAGGTTCATTATAAACAAATTAAATATATATATATGTATATATATATAGTAAATAATAATTTAAATATAAATACATTAATAAAATAAAAATCGATTTTTTAAAGATTTCTTTGGAATAAATTTGGTTACTTTGCCTTGAAAAATTGAATCTATTCGTTTTTTAGCGTTGAATAATGATTTGAATAATGAAATTTTAGAAAAAATTTTAAATATATAAAAAAAATAAATTTTTTAAGATTCAGAAAAACAAAAAATGTTCGGATAAATAGTTTTACGATTCGGATAATCGAGGTTCCACTGTATAAACTAAATTATTTATATTTGAACAAATTATTATGGAATATTTCTAGATGCACTATATAAAAAGTTAGTAAATAATTTAAAATAGTAGTAAAATTTGTTTTATTATTATTAACATTATTATTGACAGTCGTTGAAATGATGATAAATTTCATCTTTATTTATATCATTAAAGAAAATGCGATAAATTATAAAAAGAAACATCTTAACAGATCGAAAATTAACAATTTTTGAATAAAGCAAAAAAATTAGTCAATAACAATAATTATTTGTTTAAATATTTGAATAATAGTTGTAACAAAATTTAATTGAATTTTTTAAATTATATGTTTTTAGTACTAAACAGTCTTAAGAAAAGTTGACAATTTTATCAAAATCTGTGACACACACACTGAAGAAAGAGATCTAAGAAGCAAAAAATTCTGCTAGGGACACATTAGATCTTCATTTTTTCTGCTCTCTCTCCTCTTTAGTCGTATTTATGTCTCCCAACTTTTCCATAATTGTGGATAACATGGAGATAGACCTGGTTAGATTCTCTATTCCATCCTGTTGGTTTAGTTTAGTGGGTTTGTCCTTCAACTTGATTACACTTATGTCCTCCTTGCTGACGACAGCGTTAAGGATTTTTTTTGGATTTGTGTTTTCAACATTGGAGGATTTTTTTAAAATGGCCCCAGTCTTCTTTATGTCCACTTTCTTGACCTTCTTGTTCATGGGATCATCAAATTCCAAGGGAACATGAAATTGATCATCCGTATCATCAAATTCCAAGGGAACATCAAATTGTTCATCAGTGTCCTCGAAATCTAAGGGAACATCAAATTGATCATCCGTGTCATCAAATTCCAAGGGAACATCAAATTGTTCATCAGTGTCCTCGAAATCTAAGGGAACATCAAATTGATCATCCGTATCATCAAATTCCAAGGGAACATCAAATTGATCATCCGTGTCATCAAATTCCAAGGGAACATCAAATTGATCATCCAATCCATCAAATTCCTCGAAATCTAAGGGAACATTATATTCATTATATTCTTCAAAGCCATTTAAAATTTTTATAAATTAGAAATAGTTTAAACAAATGAATAATTTATCCCAATAGTTAACCCACAAAATTTAAATTATCCCAACATAAAACAATTCTGGTGAAAAAAAAATTGATAATTTCAAATCTCTTTTGCAATATAATATGAATATGAAAACTTTTTGAAGAGTGTTTTGAGTGGTCTATGAAATTATTTGACAAAAAGAGACTTTTAATTATCGCCTTATAAAAACGGCACTGAATGTGAAAATGATAAATATTGATTTTTAAAATACTTTTTTCTCGAAACACGGACAAAAACCGGTTAAAATACCAAAGATTTTTATCCTAAAAAATTTCCCAAATTCGAAACATTGTCGATACAAAAATGCAATTGCAAAATTAAAAGTAGAAAAGTAATATAATGACAGGTTCATTACGTCCAGTTGCCGTCAGATGGCAGAAGCATTCAATCGCGTTTTTGTATAGATAATTTTTCAGATTTAGAAAATTTATTTATTTTTATTTCGAGAAAAAAAGAAATTTTAAAAATCAACGTTTATTATTTTTCACATTCAGTGCCGTTTTTATAGGGTGATATAGTTAAAACTCTTAACCTCAGATTATTTCTAGTAAACCGCGTACATAAATTATAAATGAACAATAATGTAAACAGATTTTTTTTAAATTAAATAATTCTTTTACTTTGAAATTTAAAAAATTCAATAACGAAGATCAAATACTTATGAATTGTAAGTAAAGAAATTAATTTTAATTTTGAATATTAATCGTTTTTACGTATTTTATTTTATTTTTTTTTTAATTAAGTGCAAACTCACTCTCGGTGCATTGAAATTTACAATTTATAAAATCCAATAAGTAGATATATTCTCTGTTCATGTAGTAAAAACATTAATGATAAATACTTTGATTTAATATTATTTAAGTCTAGTCAAGAATATTTTTCTTACTATACAAAGCGCGTTTGCAGTGATTTTTTTTAGAAATGTATGTGCTTTTGAGAGAGTGAAATTTATTATTATTATTATTATAATTATTAATTATTAATTTACAAATATTCAATGCATGAAAAATTGAAATATTAAAATGATTGATTGATGCATGAATTTTAAATTGGAAACTGCCTTTTATTTTTTTTTTTTTTTACATTAAGGTTTCTTAAACAAAAAAAATTATTTTTCTGCAAATTTTTTTTCCCTTGTTTTCTTTTTATCGCGTTTAATGCGAATATACTATCAATTGTATCATGTAAAATAGAATAGATGATCGTCTCATTTGTAAAAAAAAAAAATAAATATATATATATATATATATCTGATTTTCTCAAAAGGGGAAATTAACTTTTTTTTCGATGAAAATAATAAAAAAAATAACGCGTATATAAGCAGCGGCATATAAAAATGAAAAAAATTTATTGTTAATTTAGAGATTAAAGCAAAAGTGCCTTCGTCAATTGTAAGAAAACCTAGACCGAGAGTGACAGTTGCCAATTGCAAAGTCATATCGTAAGGCACACTAATTTGGAAAGAAAAAAAAAAATATATATATTATTGATTTAGCTTCACATGTTTAAGTCGTTTTCGAAGCGATGCTTATTGTCGACTGTCTTTCTCTCAAAGTATATAGAGGCGATCTTGTGAAATTCTATATCTATTTATGATATCATTGTAATCAATATTATCAATGTACATGAAAAAATGAAAAAACGGTACAACAAATTACTGCCCACGGTCGATAGAAGAGGTAGACATTGTTCCTTAAATTTTATGTCTGTCTGTCTTTCCTACGTTTATAATATTATTATTATTAATATAGTTACCATCGATTCATTGATTTAATATGATTTATTTTGTTTTTATAAATTATAAAAGTAAAAACAAAAATTTCAAATTATGTTCTGCGATATTCGAAGAACATACTCTTCTTGCGACCTAGTTTATTGTCCATTATCATTAATTAACAAATTAATTTAGAATGTAAATAGTAAAATAACTCAATAAAGCTTGTGGACATAAAATTTTCATTGCAAATTAAATTATTAAATTAATTATTTTAATTTTTAATTTAATTAAAAATTAAATTAAACAAATGATGACGAAGTATTTTTATTACTAACTTCAAGACACCAAAAAAAAGGGTTATGTTAACATAACTATCAATTTTGATAATAATATGTATATTTTAATTTTTAAATTTCTCTAAAAAAAAAAAAATTCATTATTCGAAGTGACAAATTTTTTGTAAAAATTTCCTGCAAGTAATTCATTTTTTTTTCTACATGATTATAAAAATTTCTTTAAAAAAAGTTTTAATTTCGAGAAAAAATTATGTCAATAAAATAATATTAAATAATTAATGATAAAATTTCTGAATATTTTTAACGAAGAATAGAGAAATTGAAAGAAAAAAAAACCATGAACGAAAAAATTACTTTTCACAATGATAATTTTCAATTACAATCAATTATAAGTTTAAAAGCACTTCCATCATTGGATATTAAAGATTCTTTAGAAAATATAAAATTAAAAAAACAAGATAAATATCAAAGAAAAAATATTTTACCCACATTTGTTAAGGGAACAAAATTTGAAAATAGAGCAAAATATAAATTATATCAAGGAAAAAAAATGCAAGATTCAAAAAAAAAATCAAATCCCGAATTAAATATTCATAAAATGCGACAAAAATTATTATTAAATGAAAATGGATTTAAATATTTTGATATTCATAAATTTGGAAAAAAAATTATAAATCATTTTAAAAGAGAAATTTCCGAATCCGGATCATCTCAAACAAATAATAATAATAATAATAATAATAAAAAGGGAAAATATAGAAATAATACTACAAAATTACAATACGAATCAAATAATCAAGAAACAGAGACAAATATTATACATAGTTTCAAAAAATTGAATATTAATGATATAAAAAAATCAACGAGTCAATATCAATTAAATATTCATAAAAAATCAGAAATTTTATTAAAATCTGACAATTCTTTAAGTCACGCTAATAGTGAATATACAAATAATATTAATCAATCAAAGTTTATGGATAATTCAAATTTATTTACACAAAAACAATTAGACTTCAGTTCTGGCGATGTTAAACATTTAAATGATGTTGCGTGTTCATCGAATAATTGTATTGAAAATCAATCTGAAATTTTATCATCAAAAAGAAAATCAGTTCAATGGAATCGTGAAGTCGATGTTGTTTATTATGCAGGCGATCTTAATGGAGGTGAGTTCATTTTTTTATGCATTCGATATTATCAAGAAATAGAAAAAACGTTTTTTTTTAAATTTATTTTCTTTTTTTTTTAGGAAAAATAGTCAAACGTGAAAGAGAACCATTGAGAGAAGAAGCTGATCAACAAGCAAGACATAAAAAATTTATTGACTTAATTCTTGAAAAAAGTCTTTTAACAAAAGGATTTCACTTTTCATATACTTAACAAACATTTTTTTTTTCTTCCAAATGAAATTGAGCCTTCCAATTCTATAGCTCGAAAACGCACGAAGCTGAAGTACGTAACGTTTATGATAAACGATTTTTAAAGAAATAATTTTTTAAAATGGAAAATTATATAATTTTTTGCCTAAAAAATATTTCTTGTAGTTTTCATTAATCAACAAATTATAAAAAAATATTTTTTAGGCAAAAAATTATAGAATTTTTCATTTTAAAAAATTATTTCTTTAAAAATCATTTATCATAAACGTTGCGTACTTCAGTTTCGTAGAACGCGTAAAAGTATTGTCCAACGGAAAAAAAAAAATGAAAAAATAAAAATTCAAAATTTTAAATTTTGAAAAATGCTATCTTGTAGAGAATTAAAAAACACATCTTTTTTCCCTGTACAGTTTTTTAATTGAAAAATTATTTTTAATATTATAATTGAAAAACTAATTTTTCAATTGAATAAATTTTAATCACTTTTTAAAACATAAATCGCTGCCAATTGGCTATTTCTTATCAAAATGAGCCGTAATTTTGCATAAATACAAAGTATCCCCTAATGATACTCACAAAATAAAAAAAAAAATTTTTTAAATGCATTTTGTTAATTAATATTAATTATAGTAGAGTCAGAATTCGCGTTTATAAACTTCACCGATAAAAAGTCTGTGGAGAACTTTAGAGTTCGATAAACTTCCAGTGAGACATTTATTCCTTATGGGTCAGTCCACTGACTTTCGTCTAATAGTGGTTGCGAACAAATTATTAAAAAATCTAGTTTTAATATATGTGAAACTCGATGATTCCCTGAGTTCATTAACCATAATATTATGGTAAAAATTTTATTCCCTTTAAAAATATTAAATATCAAAAGTAGGAGGTTCACAATGTGATTTTGTAACCTTAAATTTTTCAATTTTTTTAAAAACGCTATTATTAAAAAAAACTATTAAAAATTAGATGTTGGAACTCACCAAAAACATAAATCACTTTATACTGCACAGAGGAACGAAAGAATTATTGCAAAAAATTTATTATTTTTGGATGATATACGATTTTAAAAAAAATTTTATTTAAAAATTCTCAAGATTTTTATTTACTTATAACTTTTTTGTCGGTGCTCCGAAAAAATTGAGGTTTCGCACAAAAATTTTTTATAATATTCTTTACCTTCTATTAAAATCTTACGAAGGTGTTTTGCTTCGCTTTGGAGATATTAATTTTCAAAATTTTTTATTTAAAAAGATTAATTAAAAGACTTGTAGTTAACTAACCAAATTCAAACTGCTCCATTTTTTATAAAAATATATTAAAATGTAGCGATTTGAAATTGGTCAGTTAACTTCAAGTCTTTTAATTTATAAAAAAAAATAAAATTTTTTTTAAATTATTATCTCCAAAACGATGCAAAACACCTTCGTAAGATTTTAATAGAAGGTAAAGAATATTATAAAAAATCTTTGTGCAAAACCTCAATTTTTTCGGAGCACCGACAAAAAAGTTATAAGTAAATAAAAATCTTGAGAATATTTAAATAAAATTTTTTTTAAAATCGTATATCATCCAAAAATAATAAATTTTTGCAATAATTCTTTCGTTCCTCTGTGCAGAATAAAATGATTTATGTTTTTGGTGAGTTCCAACATCTAATTTTTAATAGTTTTTTTTAATAATAGCGTTTTTAAAAAAATTGAAAAATTTAAGGTTACAAAATCACATTGTGAATTTAATATTTTTAAAGGGAATAAAATTTTTACCATAATATTGTGGTTAATGAACTCAGGGAATCATCGAGTTTCACATATATTAAAACTAGATTTTTTAAAAATTTGTTCGCAACCACTATTAGACAAAAGTCAGTGGACTGACCCTTATGTATGAAAGAAGTTTTCTGAATATTTTGGGATCGATTCATTGAAAATTGACTGCAATTGACTGAAATAAATAACTTCTTTGTTTAAACGGGCGTCGAGCTGCAACAAACGTGGCAATTGGCAGTGGCGTCTATTCGTGACTCGTCTGCTGCTTGTATCCCCACGCCACTGCCAATTGCCACGTTTGTTGAAGCTCGACGCCCCTTTAAGGCCAGGTCCAAGTGAGGCAGTGCCATCTACATTGAAACTAAAATTTTTGAAAACTTCCAACAGCCTTTTTTTTGAAAACAAGAAGATAAAATGCTTTTTCCTTTATGGATAATTAATTATTGGCAAGAAATACACCAGCTAAAACTTTTTTTGAGTTAAAGTAATGAAAAAAATTTCATGTCAATAAATTAAATATGAGCACTTTTTCACAAAAACTGTAAGAGTACTTTCTCAAAAATTAGAATCAAAAATGCAATTTCCATTTGAAAAATTAATAAACGCTAAAAAATACACCAGCTAAGATTTACCAATCACGAAAATAACAAAAAAAAAGTTTTTTAACATAACATATTTTACTAATTATGACAACCGTTTGGCAGGTTATATATGTCACCAGACATTTCGCGATTTTGACAAAAGGAGGAAAACTGCTCATATTTAATTTATCGACATGAAATTTTTTTCATTATTTTAACCCAAAAAAAAGTTTTAGCTGGTGTATTTCTTGCTAATAATCAATTATCCATAAAGAAAAACGCATTTTACTTTCTTGTTTTCGAGAAAAGGCTGTTGAAAATTTTCCAAAATTAAAGTTTTAATGTAGATGGCGCTGCCTCACTTGGACCTGGCCTTAAACAAAAAAGTTATTTATTTCAGTCAATTTTCAACGAATCGATCCCAAAATTTCCAGAAAACTTCTTTTATGCATAAGGAACAAATATCTCACTAGATGTTTATCGAATTCTAAAGTTCCCCACAAAATTTTTATGTTTAAAAATGCGAATTCTGACTCTATACTATACACTAAAGCGTCAATCGAGAACACGCAGGTCAGTCGAAAACAGAGCATGGAACATTTGAGGGGAAGTGGGGAAACGGGTAGAATTTAGGTTATGACTGACGCCAGTGTCGTACTTGTGATTTTTAAATTTAAGGTGTATTCAGTGCCTTACTAGTGAAAATCCCCTAGATAAAATTCACATTGTTGGGTAAGGCACTTCATACGGCCCTGAGTGTTTTTATTTTCGAGCGATAAATATCGCGTCAATCGAGAACAGCACTATACATTTGTCTGTTCTCGATTGACGTTTTAGTGTATTTAATATTAATTAACAAAATGCATTTTTTAAAAAGTTTTTTTATTTTGTGAGTATCATTAGGGGATACTTTGTATTTATGCAAAATTACGGCTCATTTTGATAAGAAATAGCCAATTGACAGCGATTTATGTTTTAAAAAGTGATTAAAATTTATTCAATTGAAAATTTAGTTTTTCAGTTATAATATTAAAAATAATTTTTCAAAAGAAAAACTGTACAGGGAAAAAAGATGTGTTTTTTAATTCTCTACAAGATAGCATTTTTCAAAATTTTGAATTTTTATTTTTTCATTTTTTTTTCTCCGTTGGACAATACTGCCGTCCCAACAAGAGTAGCAGTAACTACATTTTGGATAAGTCACTTATTGGTGGCAGTGGCAGTGGCAAGTAGGTGACTCATCCTAAATGCAGATACGGTTATTCTTGTTGGGGCGGCAGAATACTTTTACGTGTTTTCGAGCATCGGGCGAGTTATAGAATTGGGAGGCTCAATTAACGAAAAGTATTTTGTAAAAATAAAAATATTTATTTTCTTATTTACATATAGAGTTTATAAATATTTCCTGACATTAGAATTATTTAATCTTTTTTTTTTTTTGTCACTATATTCATATATTGAAAATGAATATAAAAATTGTGTATTAATTCGTCTTTTTTTTGTTGCCGTGTGATTTAACAATATTACGAGAGAAGTCAAAATAATTTATCAATGAGCCAAAAGTTTTGAACTTTCAAATAAATAAATTTTTTTTTTTTTTGCAACTTTTTTAAGTACGAATTTTATTAAAAAATTAAATATATAATAAAAAGTTATTAATTTAATGTTTTATTTTACATTTCTATCATAATTTTTAATAATTTATAGGATTGAAAAAAATATATTTCGTTCATTTTGAACGTTCAGAAGTTTTGGCTCATATTTATCAGCTAGCTAATATCAAATGTATATTCATAGCAAGATTTAAGTGTAACTGAATACTTTTTTTATCAGAGAAATCGTCATAAATTCTTAATTTAGATTATAAAAAATATTAATTAAAATAATTGAAATTATAAAAAAAATTAGTGTAAATTTTCAGGGTTTCTACAATAACATCTTAAATTCTTATGAAATCATAAAATTTTCATTAGAATCATGAAAATCTACTTACATTTAAGGGGAGAGACTAAAATTATTGTGAATTATTAAAATTTCAAAAAAAAATTTTTGACTATTTTCAAAATTTTGTAAAATCCATACAGAAAGTATTTATGAAAGCTATGAAAGTATTTGGTGAAATTTTCTTTTGAAAGAATTTTTAATTAACCAAATTTGCATATTTAAAAGAATCTTTTTTAAAAAAAAAAATAACGTATTGAAAATAACCAAATTCTTTTCTTTTGTCTGAAAGTCGTTGTGGCTATATTTTTAAAAAAAATGTAAATTTAATATATATCTTAGACGATTTTCTGAGTTGATTACGCATATAATATTAATGTAAAAATTTTATTTTCTCTAATAATATTAATTATTAAAATTAGATGGTTTACGATATATGTATATAATTTTATAACCTTAAATTTTTCAATTTTTTAAAAAACCAAATTATTGAAAAACTTTGAACATAAGATATTGGATAACTTACCAAAATTAAAACTCATTTTATTGTGCACTTAAAAGCGATGAATTTATTAGAAAATTTTATTATTACACTAAAGCGTCAATCGAGAACACGTCAATCGAAAACAGAGAATGGAACATTCGAGGGGAAGTGGGGAAACGGGTAGAATTTAGGTTAGGACTGACGCCCAGTGTCGTACTTGTGATTTTTAAATTTAAGGTGTATTTAGTGCATTAGTAGTGAAAATCCCCTAAATAAAATTCACATTGTTGGGTAAGGCACTTCATACGGCCCTGAGTGTTTTTATTTTCGAGCGATAAATATCGCGTCAATCGAGAACAGCACTACACATTCGTCTGTTCTCGATTTGCGTTTTAGCCGTTTTAGTGTATTTATTTTTTTTCATTTATTTAATTTAATAGAATTTTTATTTAACCAAATTTATCTGCTTTAGGATTTATTTTTCCTTTAACCAAATTCTTTGGTTGAATTTCTTTTTCAAAGAATTTTTATTTAAACAAATTTGCATTTTTCAAAATTTTCATTCAGCAAAATTTTAATTTAACCTTTATTTTTCACAAAAATTTTAGTCAGTTTCAAAGTTATACATTTTTCAAAAAAATGTTAGGTTGAAAAAAATATAAATATTGTTATTTTTACATTCCATGTTTTTACTATTGTTTAATTAATTATTTTTATAATTTTTCTTTAATTGTTTTTTTTACATTGAAAAATTAGTTTGTTTATTATTTTAAACATTAAATTTTTTTTATTTTTTTTACTTTTGTTTTTTTTACAATAAATTTTTTTAAAATTTGTTATAACATTTTTTTAAAAAATTTAGAAAATAATAAAGAAACAAAAACAAAATATTTTAATGTTAGAAATAAAAAAAAAAAATTAAAGAAAAATTATAAATATAATTGAAGTAACAAAAAATAAAAACATCGAATGTAAAAAGAAAAATATATTTATTTTGTTCAATTTTGCATTTTTTTGGAAAAAATTTGTGTATTATTGAAACCGATTTCGAAATTTAATTTGGTCGAATTTTTCATTAACCAATTTTACTTTTTGACCCAATTTTTATTTAACAGAATTTTTATTTAACGGGATTTTCTTTTAAACAAATTTTTAATTTGATAGAATTTTCAAATCGATTTTACTTCTGGTTGATTTTTCATTTAACCAAATTTGTCACTTTTTTTCGGTTTTTAATATATCACGAAAATTGTCTTACATATACTTAGAACCTGAAAATCATGGAAAACTCATGAAATTTTTCAAATAAAAAAATTTATAGAAACTCTGATTTTTTTACAAAAATTTGTTAAAAAATATAAACCAAAAAAATTTTTTTTTTTAATCGTTAAAAATGATAAATATGACTCATTAAAAACACAATAACAAAATTTATTCAATTGATCGGAGTTAATGTTATTCAAAAAACAAAATTCAGAAAACTGAATTAATTTAGTATAAAAAATAATTAGTATTACAAGTAATGAAAAAATATATTTTCTAATAATAAAATTAAAATTTCCTTTTAATCTTCATTAAAATCATTTGCTTCAATCTATCGTATCGAAAATATTGAGGAAAATCTAATTTAATTTCTTCAATCGTCCAATTGTAATTTTTTTTTGCGATACATCTCAAAAATTCCTCATACATTGGAGCAACAGAATCTAAATCGGCCAATGTGAAAACAAAACGCTTTTCTAATGCAACATAAGCGATATTTAATGAATTACAATTAAAAAGTTTTTCCAAAGTATTTACAAATCCTTCTGTAATATTATCGTCGTATATCACTGAAATATTTTTTAAATTAGTTTTAGTAAAAAGTTTGTTTATTTTCTACTTTTTTTTTTTGAAATGTTACTCACCATCAGCAGCTAAAATTATTTCAACTGTTTTTAATTCTTCACAAAATTGTTGAGACCAATTAAGATTCAAAAAATTCATTTCCTTGATGTCTACTTTACTTTTAATATATTTTTTATTATTTTTAAAATTCTTTGCTATGAGTTTTAGAATTTCTCCTTCATTAATGTCTGTAAAAAAAATTTATTAATAATTTTTTTATTTTTTTTTTAGTTATTAGAATTTTTTTTTTCGAAACTAAAATTACCTGTACAAATTACTTTCTTGGCTAAAATACTGGCGATAATACTCGTGAAACCAACTCCAGAACCTAATTCTAAAATTGTTTTATTTTCAAATAAATCAGAATTTGATAGAATATAATCTGCTAATAAAAATGCACCTCTCCAGAGTTGTAAACCTACTAAATGTAAATCAGTGGAAATATGATGTTCTGAAAAATAATGTTTGAAAGTAAAAAAAAAATTGTCATCTTGAATCAATTTAGTATCAATTTTTTTTTTAAATATTATATTCATACCAATCATCAACGTTCCTTTTTGTACTCGATCAACTATTAAATCTCCATCTTCATCGTATTCAAGTTTGTCATTTTTGTCTTTTAATAAAAATGATGGATATCTAAAATTGATTTTTGTAATTCTACCTAAAAGTGTAAAAAAATTTTATTAATTAATTTATTGATTTTTTTTGATAAAATTAAAATATAGAAAAGAAATATAAAGAAGTTCTGAACATTTTTTTAGATCTATAAATTTTTTAAAAATTACATTACGGCAATGAAAAATCAAAAATTACATTAATTTAATAAATTATGTTTTTTTAAATGAAAAAAATTTTTTAATAAAATTTGAAGTTAAAGATAGTATCAAAATAACTAATTTGTATCTATTCAATTTTTTCACCCAGTAATTATATAATAATAAAATGCTTGGTCTGTCCTTCTGTCCTAACTTGAAGTTGGCCTTTTCTGATTTCACGTGTTTTTTTGAATAGTAATCTTATGAGGTGTCAAATTTTGACAATTATTCTTTTTCTCATTTTTGCCAAAGTTGTATAATTGTGTTTCCAAATTTCGGAATAAGTTTCTTTAAAATTCCAAATTCGAAAATTCAATTCACGAAGCTGAAGTACACAACGTTTACCAACGAAATTTTTTTTAAGTTGTATATTGATTCAAAAATTGTATACAAATACAAAAAATTTATGATGAGAAAAAAGATGCGCCAGGAAATTTCGTACAAGAGAGTAATTTGAAAAAAATTAATTTTTAAGGTACCAGGGGCCAACGAATACCTATTAAATATTAATTATAAAAACACAGGCCTCGAATCAACTTAAAGACACAAAAAGTCGTTTTAGTCGATTTATATTCCAAAAAAAAATTGGATTTGTTTTTTATTTTTACAAAAATATTTTACAGATTTTTAAATAAAATTTTTTTTTTTTAATAATAATCCTGTTCGAAGGGTTAAAGTTGAAATTTTTAGAAATAATTAAATTTCAAAAGATATTGTTAATTTTCAAACAATTATTAAATTTTACAGAACTAAAAATAATTTATCAAACAATTTTTGGAAAACATTTTTTAAATTTAATTGAATTTTCAAAGATTTAAAATTGAGATTTTTGAAATTACTTGAAACTTTAAGTGATTTTTAATTAAAATTTTAGATGATTTCACTAAAAATTTATTAGAAAATGCGGACAAAATACAATAATTTGAAAATCATTTTTAATTGAAAAATGGTTTCAGATAGTTGAAATTTCAAAGAATATTATTAAAATAGTTAAAAATACATTGAATTTCCTTAGAGTTATAATTGAAATTATTAAATTTCAAAAAAAAAATTTTCGATGGAAAATTTTAGAAATAATTAAATTTTAGATGCTTTTAAATTCAAATTATTGAAAATTCAATTAATTTTGAATTGAAATTTTAGAAAATAATTGAATATTAGTTAATTTTGAATTGAAAATTTGGAAAATAATTAAATTTCAGTTTACATTTTAGAAAATAATTGTACCTTAGTTGAATTTTAGTTGATTTTGAATTGAAATTTTCGAAAATTATTGAATTATAGTAGATTTTGAAATGAAATTTTCGAAAATTATTGAATTGAAAATTTTGAAAATAATTGAATTTCAGTTTAAATTTTGGAAAATAATTGTACTTTAGTTGAATTTTAGTTGATTTTGAATTGAAATTTTCGAAAATTATTGAATTATAGTAGATTTTGAAATGAAATTTTCGAAAATTATTGAATTGAAAATTTTGAAAATAATTGAATTTCAGTTTAAATTTTGGAAAATAATTGTACTTTAGTTGAATTTTAATTGATTTTGAATTGAAATTTTCGAAAATTATTGAATTATAGTAGATTTTGAAATGAAATTTTCGAAAATTATTGAATTGAAAATTTTGAAAATAATTGAATTTCAATTTAAATTTTAAAAAATAATTGAATTTTTATTGATTTTAAATTAAAAATTTTAAAAATAATTGAATTTTAGTTCATTTTGAATTGAAAATTTGGTTAATTAATTTTGAATAGAAATTTTAGAAAATAATTGAATTTTGTTTCATTTTAAATTGAAAACTTGGTAAATAATTAAATTTTAAATTGAAAATTGTGGATAATTATTGGATTTTTAATTGATATTGAATTAAAATTTCGGGTAATAATTGAATTTTAGTTTATTTTGAATTGAAATTTTTAAAAAATAATTCAATTTTATTGTGATATTTTTTTTTAAATTATAAACAATTGTTAAATTTCATAAAAATTTTAATTGAAAAATAATTTTGATATAATTGAATTTGTGATGTATTTCATTAAAATTATTAAAAATAATTAATTTAGTAAAGAATCATTTTAGTTCAAAATTTGTTAAATAATTGAATTGAAGAAGATCTGAAGAAGATCTACATTTTATACTAAAAAAATGTATTTTTTTCAAATGTAAAACAAATGTCGCATTTTATTAAAATAAGTCGATAAAAGTCGTATTTTTGAAAAAAGTCGGAAAAAGTCACATAAAACCGAGGCTTGTAAACATATAATTTTTATTATTATCATTTAATATGTAATAATATTTTAATAAATTAAATTATTATTGATAATATTAATCTTTAATTTCTTTATAACAAACAATTAAATACTCAATTTGGCACGCTTAATAGTTTGAAATTTAGGCAAACAAAATTTTTGATAAATTGAAAATTAAATCAATTCAAAATTTGAATAAATTCAAATTCGAATAATTTGAAACTTAAATCAATTAAAATTTAGATACCTATATATTTAAACTTAAATAAATTAAAATTTGGAAAAATTGAAATTTTTACTTGTGGCTCCTTGAAAACAATTTCAAATTTTTGTTTCATTTTAGCCCCAATTATTTAGTTACAAAAAATTTTTTTTAAAAATATATAAAATATTTTTCACAACATATGTACATGTTTTTAGAATTATCAACAACTAGTTTTATTTGTATAATAAAATTAAATTAAAATTATTTTTTAATTTTACGATTCGATAAATCTGAATTAGTAAAAATTTTAATTAATTTGAAATTAAATTATTCCTATGAATTGGTTAAAATTTATTATATAATGAAAAAAAATTTCTTTATTTATTAAAAAAGTTAAACTCTATTAATTTTTATTAAAAATCATGTGTATCAAAAATGAATTAATTAAATTACCATATCAAAATTATACGTACTATCATTTGCCAAGTCACCATCAGATCTATTTTCTTCATAAATTTCTGATGTTACTTTAAAAGAGGCCATATCTGCAATCAATATTAAATATATAAAAAATTTTTTTGCTAAGAAAATAAAAAAAAAAATATATTCTTCTATTCAAAAAATTGCTTTCTTTTTTTTAAAAACAAAAAATTGTAAATATGTAATTTTTTAGGCTTAGTATTTGTAGTTTATAATTATGTTATCTTCATGATTGATAAAAGCATCCGCATGTTTAAAACGTATTTTTTTTATAGCTTTAAGAAAAATTAAAACTTTCCTTTACATTTCATTTTCCTCATTATTTTAAAAAATAAAAAAACGAATTTATTATGTCTTTAAAAAAATTGTTTTTCTCAATTTTTTTTTATATAAATATTTTAATATAGATGCAAAACAATGAAAAAAAAAAGTTTTACCCACTTTTAAAGGAAAGGAATTGTTTTTTCAGAAAATAAATTTTAACAAAATTAATTTTATAATGAAAATTTTTGAATGGAACACATTTTCAAAAAAAAATTATTAGAAATTTTAAAGCAATTTTTGTGAGTTAAAAATACTTTTTATAATCTTTTCTTAAACATTTTGAGAAAGTGATAATAATGCTCTCATAATTCTTATCGTATTATTATTACAACAATTATTTATTAATAACTTTTTGCATTTATAATTACAATGAGGTGATATATTTTTGTAAAATTTTATATGTTCAACATATGTGTATAAACAATATTTGTTATTAAAGTTTTATCAGGATTACATGTTTGACAATTATTTAGTAATATTCTCGATAAAATTATCATTGTTTTTTTTAAATTATTTTTTAAATGAATTTATTTAAAATTAACATATTATTAATATATATTATTATTATTATAAATTATAAACTAGGTTAAAAAAAATTTTTGTTATTTTCAAAATAAATTTGTTTTGGTTAATCTGTATTCGAAAAGTATACGATAAAAAAACAACCTTATCAATCGTAATTTTAACTAAGTTATTATCTACAGTAAAGTCAATTATTGCACTTTTTTTCGTACATTTCTTGCCAACAGTTTATTTATGTATGAAAATTATATATAGTCAGTTCTATCAATTTATAAATAATTATAACTTTTTTTTTTATATTTATACTATAAATAATTACACTAGAAAAACAATTTATTTGATTCTATTAGATTTTATTTCTCCATTGTGTACTTTTAACAAAGTTTTACAATTTTTTTCTTTCCCACTTGTTTAAATTTATTTGATTCAAATACTCGAATAATTTGAGTATTATTAAATAAATATTTACTTGAACCAAATAATTTTTATTTGAATTAAATAAAAATTGTAATTTAAACCAATAATTTCTGTATTTGAAACAAATATCATTTAATTGACTCAAATAATAATTATTTGATACAAATAAATATTTATTTGATAATAGTCAAGTAATCGTGTATTTTAAGCAAATAAATTTTTTTTTCAATGTATATTTTATTATGATTTATATTTATAAATATATTATAATATTATTTTTCAAAGTTTATGTACTTATTAATTACATAATAATAATATTAATAAATAATTTCAATTAATAAAATTATTAATTAATTAAGAATTAATTATATTTAATTGAATTATAATTATTGAATCAATTGAAATAAAATTAAATGACAGAGAAAGCAGTGTGTCTATATTTGTAAATTTTAATAATAAAAATAGATATTTGTATTATAAATAAAAATATAATTATTGAATTATCGATAACAGTTACTATTGCAAATATAAAACGTTAATTTACAGAATTTATAAAATATATTAATAAACTAACGAGTAAACTATATCTATATATACCTTCTATTAATAAAGAAATAACCTTGGGAACGATAATCAATAATTTTTTTTCTACCTTTAATTAAATAAAGATAATCTCACAAAATATAAACACTATAAATTCATAATTAATAAAATTTTTTTGTTATTAATTTTCGAAATTTTATTAATTACAGTTTTAACACGCGACTAACGTCACTTTTTAAGGGCACGCAGTCACTACTGTTTACAAACTAGATTCTAATATTTATTTTGGGATTTTCTGAAAGGACAGAAGCAATTACATAATGCATCATTATGTTTTAATTTTGTCTATAGTTATATATATATTTTTTCTATATTCTTGTATACATATATATTTTTTTTCTTTTTTTTATTATTTATATTATATAAAACATATTTGCAATTCCGTAATATAAATTATCTTTTCAATTGCATAAATATTTTTGGCAAGGAAATTTAATATCTGCAAAATATCTTAAATAAAATTCAGACAAAAAAATTTGATAAGTAAAAAAAATAACTCCGTCTATACTTTTATATTATGATAAGAAATATTGGCAAAAAAAAAAAAAATTAATTTTACAGACTGAAAAAAAAAATTTCCTTATGTATTTTAGTATATTATTAACTTTGCAAATTTGAATGACAATCATGCGTATTTTATTTACACACGGCATTTGTATAAACATGATTTAAAAAAAAAAACCGACCTACTTTAATTAAAAGATATACAATTTTTTTTTTTTTTTTTGAATAAATAAATTTCTATAATCTATAATAGAAATTTTGGAAAAATTGATAATTAATGTTGAGAATAATATTCTATTTTGCAATCAAATAATATTCGTTAATTTTAGAAGGAAAATAATTTTTTTGTTTTTGTTTATTTTTTTATTATTATTTATTTTGTTTATTATATTTATTTTATTAGTTTCCTTTTATTTTAATTTATTTCACTTGCTTTTTTTATTCAATAAACAATTTTCTAATCGTAACAATTAAAATTAATATATTTTTTTTTTATTACCGAAGAATTTTTTTTAATTCTTATTTTAATATATTAATATTAAGTTTATATTTACATTTCTTTTTACATGTATTTAATTATAAATTATTCATATTTTAAATGTCAATAAATCATACCTTTATGAAAATGAGAAATTTTTAAAAATTGAAATTTTTCGGCAAATTACGACTGTCAATCACGTGATAATTCATGCGCATCATTAAACCTTTTTTTCACTTTTGACAGTTTGACTATTTTTTTTTTTTTTTTGTTAATTGCTCCTAAATATCTGTAAATTCTATCAGCAAATTTTGTTTACTAAACAAATATCTGAAAGCATATCCTTCATTTCACCAGCATAACCTAACTTTCTGAAATTATTTTCAAATATTTTGAATATATATATTTACTTATTGTCTCACAATGAATGTTTAAAAAAAAATAATTAATTAATTTTAGCCGGTATTTTCTGTTTTTTTTTAACAAATTTCACACTAAAAAACGAATAAACAATACAGGGCCGCCGAGACAATAATCAAAGCAGCCGATACAATTGTATATTTTCGCCTCCTGTCGAAAAGAGGCACCACTATCGCTTCAATACAAATGCAAAACATTTGTGTATTACGATATAAAATTTTATGTTTGTATTTCCGCGACAGTGGCGCCTCATTTCTACGGAAGTCGAAACTATAAAATATATTATCAAGCGTTAGCGGCCCTGACTTTCTTCAACATCACAAAAAAGTACGGTTATAATTTCTTGGCCTCGTGCCCAGGGGCCAATCAGCGTCCACCACGATCAACCAAGTTCCACGCCGTTATTAACCGCGTTTCATAAACGAGGAACGCTCACAATCTTTTGATATCTCGTTCATTCCGGCTGGAATCGTCATCGTTTAAACAGTTTGTTGAAAGAAACATCAGTTCAACAAACTCGCGTTACTTTTTTTTTTCACCGGTGTTACAAATAAATACATCGTGTATTTTTGTGAGCGAATCAGTTCGCAAAATTTCATTGAATATATTGTATCCACAATATATATATATATATAAATATAATAAAGCAAGATGAAACCTTGGACAGCAATAATATTCGTGTTACTCAGCATCACCGGAACATTTGCCGAAATCAAGACTGAAGACGATGTCTTAGTCATTACAAATGGAAATTTTAAAGAAGCCACCACTGAACATCCTTTTATTCTTATTGAATTCTGTAAGTTAAATTTTTTCCCTTTTTTATATTTTGATTTTTGTATTTGTCATTTTTGTTCTCCTGTTGCTTCGCATGAGATATTTTAAACATACGAAGGAAATTGTCCTTTTTCTCTTCCACGCATAATAATCACAGAAACCATCTTCCAGCTGTTTGACTTTACACGTCATCAAATTATCAATTTTGTTCTTTACACTTGTTACATCAGTTTTTTTAGTGTAATTTTTTTTTTTTTTTTTGAAACAATGAGAGATAATTATAAAATTTCATTAACATCGTGAGGTGCACTTTTGTAATTATATTTTTTTAATAACGGTATTTGAATATGTTTTACTTTTTTCTTGTATTTTTTTTTCTCTATATTTTTCTGACTTAAAAAAAATTTGTTGTTTCGTGAACATTTTTGATATTATATTCATTTTTTTTTACTGAAAACATTATAAATTTGAATTTGTATTTTTGAATATTTTTTTTTTTTTATTTTTTTCTTGTTTTTTTCTACATTTTTTTGACACGTAAAAAAATAAATTATCTTAAAAAAAGTTTTTTCGATAAAATTTTTGAAATTATACAAAAATTGAATTTTTTTTACTGAAAGCATTATGAATTTGTATATTTTTGAATAATTTGTATTCTTAATTAATTACATATTAAATTAACAATTTCTTTTGAAAATGTTGAATTTTTATTCAACTTTAAAAATTTATTATCATTAAATTTTTCTTTTTTTTTAATTCAGTTTTTCATATCTAGTAATAATAATAATTATAAAATAATTTTTTCATTAATAAAAGATTAATTTTTTTAAGTAATATAATAAAATTATTTAAACATTATGAAATAATTATGAGCCAAAAGTTATGAAAAGTTTTTTTTCAACTTCTTTAATTACGAATTTTATTATAAAATAGTGTTTTAAATATTTAAAAAGAAGTTATTAATTTAATAATTGTTTAATTTACTGTTTTATTTTACATTGCCATTATAATTTTTAATAATTTATATATATATATATTGAAAAAATTATTTCGTTCATATTTTGAACGTTCAGAAGTTTTGGCTCATAAAAAAATTTGATTTCTTTGTAAAAATTTGTATAATATTAATAAAAAATTTTTAGATGCACCATGGTGCGGTCATTGCAAAGCATTAGCGCCCGAATATGCTAAAGCGGCAAAAAAATTATTAGAAATTGAATCAGAAATTAAACTCGGTAAAGTTGATGCAACAGTTGAATCAGAATTAGCTGAGAAATACGATGTAAAAGGTTATCCAACACTTGTATTCTTCCGTCATGGTGAATGGATTGAATACAGTGGCGGTAGACAAGCTGACGATATTGTCAATTGGGTTTTGAAAAAAACTGGACCAGCCGCTCAAGAATTGAAAACTGTTGACGAAGCTAAAGCCCTAATGGAAGAACATAAAGTCTTTGTTATTGGATTCTTCAAAGTAAGTCACTTTTATCAGTATTATTAATTTTTTCAATTTTAATTATTATTATTTAATTTTTATTGAGATTTATAATTTACAAGGAATTTCACGTGAGATTTTTAATTCAACATTTTTTTTCAAAACTGGAAACAATTTTTTTTTTTTTATGAAAAATAAGAAAAAAATGTATATTTTTAACAACGTCGTCAAAAGCAGAATACTTTTGAAATGCGTTTTTCTCTGTTTTACTAATGGACAAAAAAAAGTATGAAATTTTTTTTGGATTTTTAGATACTTCCGTTTTAGTTACATTATTTTTTACTACAAATATTTAAAATATTAAAGAAAAAATAAAAAAAATTCCTAATATATTTTTTATCCGTTAGTAGAACAGAGAAAAACGCATTTCAAAAGTACTCTACTTTAGAGGATAATTTTTGTAATAACACATAAAGATAACGATCACTTTGAGTCATGGAAAAAAAAGAAAAGAAGAACAATTCTTTTTTTTTTTTTTTACTTTTCAACAGCACTGATTCTCTCTTCAGAAATTGAAAATTTTTATTATATAAAATTACAAACAAATTTTATCTTACAAATTATTTAAACAAAAGTAAAAAAAAAAAATAAATTTTTACTTTAGAATTATTTTTTAACTAGTGAAAAATTTCATTTAAATTTTCAACTTTCTCTTCTTTTATTGGTAAATTTATTATTAATTTTTTTATTACTATTGATAGAATAATTTGTAAGATAAACAGTTTTTGTAATTTTCATATTTAATGAAAATTAAAAAAAAAATTGTTCTTTTCTATTGTAAAATAAAAAATAATAATAATAAATAAAAATTTGTATTTTCATAAAAATTTAGAAAAAAGAAATCTGTAAAAAAAATTTTTTAATGAAAATCTCACGTACGCCTCTTATACTTTATAATACGTGCAAATATTTATATTAAGATTGAATATGAATAAACATTTTTTTAATAAATTAAAAATTAAAATTCTACTAATTAATTTAATTTACAAAAGAAATATTTTATCAGGAACACAAGAAATTGAAGAAGTTTTGAAATTAAAATAATATTTATATGAACCAAAAAAAAAAAAAATAAAATGAATAAAGATAAATGTTTACATTTAATTGAGTATTAAAATTTTTGAAGAATCAATTTCACATTTGTGATTATTTGTAATTTTCGTTATATATTTAAGTAAGTTAGTATTCGATTTTTTCTCATCGTTAATTTAGAGCGCATGAATTTCCCATAAAAATTATTAATTAGAATTTTTATTGTAAATTATTTTATTAGAAATAATTATTTTTTTTAGACAAATTTTCAATTTTCGAATTAAAATTTTGCCAAATTTTCTTTTTATATGAATTTTTACATATAACAAAAATTTTTAGCTACAGAATTTTTGTTTAGCAGAATTTTTATTTTACAGTCATTTTCTTTATACATGAGTTTTTATATAAAAAAATTTTAATTTAACAAAAATTCTCATTTAATCAAATTTTATGTGATTCGAAATTTTAAATATGACAGAAAATTCAATTCGCCGAATTTTAATTTGTCCAAATTTTTATTTTTTTTTTATGAATTTTTAGGACATCGAATTTTCATTTGTCCGAATCATTACAAATTTCCGAATAAACAATCGACAGAAATATTTTGACGCAATTTTTTGAAAATTGACGACCAATTAAAAATTATCATGAAAATCGTGATTGATGAATTTTAAAAAAATTGCGCCGAAATATTACTGTTGATTTTTTTATTCGGACAAATGAAAATTTGGCGTCTTAAAAATTCGGTGAATTGAAATTTCTTGTCATTACAAATTCGATTGAATGAGAATTCTGTTAAATTCAAAATTCTCTTAAATAAAAAGTCATGTAAATTAAATGACTATAAAATAAATATTGTGTGAAATAAAACTTCGGTAGATAAAAATTTTGTTAAATAAAAATTCGTATAAAAAGAAATTGTCGAAATACTAATTCGAAATATGAAAATTCGTTTAGAAAATAATTATTTCTAATAAAATTTTTTAAAATGAAAATTCTAATTAATAATTTTTATGAAATAATCATGCGCCCTGTTAATTTTTTTATGAAAAATAATTAAAAATTTTTAATATTTGTATGAATTTGTTAATTTTATTCTTTTTTTTTTTTACAATTTGTGTTACAGAATCAAGAATCTGAAGAAGCAAAGGTATTCTTGAAAGTTGCTGATGCCGTTAATGATATTGTATTTGGAATTTCTTCATCTGAAGAATTATTTGCCGAACATGGTGCTGAAGATAAAAAAGTTATTCTCTTCAAACAAGTGAGTAAAATTTTTATATTAACGTTAAATATTTTTATTATTTGTTATTATTATAACTATTTATATAATAAATGACAATTAATAATTATTATTATTATTATTATTTTACAGTTCGATGAAGGTAAAAGCGTGTTTGCAGGTGAATTTGACCAAAAGGTATTGACAAATTTCGTCAAAGTTGAATCATTGCCACTTATTATTGACTTTAATCATGAAACCGCACAAAAAGTATTCTCTGGTGATGTCAAGAGCCACCTTTTGGTCTTCCTTAGCAAAAAAGCCGGTCATTTTGACAAATATGTGAAAAATCTCGAGGAAGCCGCCAAGAAACATCGTAAAGATGTAAGAAATTTGAATTTGAATTTAAAATTATGAATTAATATTTCTATTTTTAATTTTTAAAAATCAACTTTGAAATTCTATATTAAAAAAGGATTATTTTATTTTAGATTTTATTCGTAACAATTGATGCCGATGAAACTGATCACGAACGTATTCTCGAATTCTTTGGAATGAAAAAAGAAGAAGTTCCAGCAATGCGTATCATTAAATTAGAAGAAGATATGTCAAAATACAAGCCTGACAATGATGAAATTACAACTGAAAATGTTATGCATTTCGTTGAATCATTTGTCGCTGGTAAAGTAAAGAGACATTTGCTCACTCAAGATTTGCCTGAAGATTGGGACAAAGAACCAGTCAAAGTTCTTGTTGGAACTAATTTCCATGAAATTGCACACAATAAAGAGAAAGATGTTCTTGTTGAATTTTATGCACCATGGTGTGGACATTGCAAACAACTTGTACCAATCTATGATTCTGTAAGTATTTTTCTTCTATTTAATTAATTAAAATAAATTTCAATTATTTAATTATAATTTATTATTGTGTAAGAATTTGTCTCATCATCTAAATTTAACAAATTTAATTTTCAATGTTAAATGGTTTTTTTTTCTTTACTTCTGATCAAAATATGTTTCTGAAAATAGGGAAAAAAAATTGTTTGTTAAAGTTATGAAATTTTTAACTTTTTTAAAAAGAAAAAAAATTTCTCGAGATCCAGTTGATAAATTAAAAAACAAAAATTAGGGATTTTTTCGTCTTGGAACGTAGTATTTGAAAATAATTTTTTGTTTTGAACAGTTTTGGAAATTGTTTATTTGATTGAATTCATTTCAAATCAGGCAGTCTAAACATCGTTGGAGCTGAAAATTAATTGTTTTCTTCGAAATTTTGTTTTTCAAAGTTTTTTAAACGACATATATTTTTTTGTATGTCTGAGAATTATTTTTTTACATATTTATAACGAATTTAATTTTTCAAGTCGAAATCTTTATCTTAAAATTAAGGGAAATTTACCTTTTATTGTTTTTTTAATTCTTCATTCCTTGAAGAAAAATATTATTTAACAAAACAAAAAATTTAATAACAATTTTTTTTTTATATATAGCTTGGTGAGAAATTCAAGGATAGAGACGATATTGTTATTGCAAAAATGGATGCTACAGCCAATGAATTAGATGATGTTAAAATTTCCAGCTTCCCAACAATTTACCTTTACAAGAAGGAAACAAATGAGGTAATTAATAAAAAAAATGTTAATAAACTGATTTATTTATTTAGAAAAAGAAAAAAAAAAAGTTCACAGTGTTATAATTTAATTGACTTTTATTAATTATGACAATTTTTTTTCTAGGTTGTTGAATACAAAGACGAGAGAACACTTAAAGCACTTTCCGAATTCCTTGAACGAGGAGGTGAAAAAGACTCCACCAGCGAAGAGGTAAAAAAAAATTTCTATTTTACTTTTTCTTATTAAAAACAAAAGAAATATAAAGTAACATAATTAAAAAAAAAAATTTTTTTTTTTTAATTTCAGACTCAAGAACAAGACGAGGACGACGATGCACCTCGAAAAGATGAGTTGTAAAAACAAAAAATATCAAGAAAGCATTCTTCATTCATCTTTATGCTTCGTAAGGACGGGATTTTGCTGTTCCATTTATTTTTCTAATGGAAATGAAATCCCCCAATTTACCAATCGTTTCTGATGTTTATTTTCATCAAAAAAAAATAAATCGTCACACCTGTATAAATAATTTAAACTCGCACACACGAGGCCTTTCGCGGACCAAAGGGTATAAAAAATCAAATTTTCTTTTTTAAGTTCATTTTTTTTGTAAAGATTTTTTGCAAAGACCTCGCGTGACGTAATAATGCAGTTTATTAAATTTTGTATGTACATGGCTTTTTTTTTTTTTTTTTTTTTTAATCTTAAACACTTTGAAACAGTGTTTATTTGTTTTGTTCGTTTTGATTGTATCGATTTGATTATATATAATCAAAGTATAATCAAAGTGTACTTACACTGCTCTTCCATAAGCGTTAATTATTATTATTATTATTATCATCAATTTTTGGAAACTTTCATTCGTGATGTAGACAGATTTATTTAACAAAAAAAAAAAAAAAAGGAAAAATGTGCAAAAAATGTTTAGGGTAAGGTTCCTCCGTAACCCTTGTGTAATTTTTATTTTTATATGAAACCGCATTTTTAATAGTATATTATGTATATTGTACTAAAAATTCCATCAATATTGTTTTAAGTTTATTAAAAAGAAAAGCATTTTCAACGATGCTGTAGAGAATTAAATTTTTTATTTATTTAAATATTAAACAATTCTATCTACAGCATTTTGTTTAATACAATGGTTGTTATTTAAGAAGATTTTAGACTGGAGTCCGGTTTATTCGAACTCTTAGTTTTGACTGAATAAAAAAAAGAAACGTTTTAAGAAATTTAAAAGAAAAGCATGAAATGAAACTATAAAATTCTTACATGATTCTTAATATATATATATTATATAAATATTATTCTACATTTGTCAGTTACAGTCTCTTTATTAACCCAAAAAAACACCTTTGTATTTTTTTTTTTTTTTTTGAAGATAATTTAATGTGCCTTAAGTTCTGAACGTTTAAATGAACGAAAAATTTGTTTACTGCATTCTTAATTAGAAATTTTATTGCTTTCTGTATTCAAAAATAAATTAATGTAATTAAATAAATTTAATGTTTAATGTATACTTTATTTTCCATTGCTGCAGTAATTAAAAAAAAAAATTTAGATCAAAAATTGATTTCGTTCATTTGAAAGTTCAGAAGTTTTTCGCAGGAATGGCAACTGAAATATTTTCAGGTTCCACTTTTCTGTATTCTCAAAAAATTTCGATTTTGATTTCTAATTTTCATTTTCTCAATAATTTCAATTTTTTTTTTCAAACTGAATAGACGAAAACAATTTATTAAAATTTTATATTAACTTTTTTTTTAGTTACATAACTGTAAAATTTAATTATGTAATTTTTTTAATAATGTATAATTTTATATTAAAAATCGAAAAACAACATTTAGATTTTGAAATAAAGTTTTTTAAATTTTTATAAGAAGGGTTTCGGTTTCAGATAAATTTTTTTTCAGTTTCGGTTGCCATTCCTCTTTTTTAAACAATTTTTATGACAAACGGGTTAACATTATTGTTTGATTATAAATATTTTATATTTTTATTCATACCTAAAATATTATTATTTTAAATTATTAATAATGTTAATTTTTATATTTAGAATAATAATGGCGATATTGACGAAGAAATGCAATTTTTCAACTTGAAGCCACTACTTAATTTTGTGCAACGTGAATTTTTGTTATCGGAAATAGTAAAAAATGTTTTAAATTCAAATTGCGAAGAAGCAAAATTCGCTTTAAAATCATGGCCACAGGAAATGATTCACAATAATGAAATTCATTCAAATCACTGCAATTGTTATGGAGTAAGAAATTTATTTTCCTTTTTTTTAATAATCTTTTTTTTTTTTTTTTTAATTACAAAAATCTTTTTCATAGCCTGAATCGGAACATCATCATCAAATTAATGAAATTAATAAGACAATTATACAAAAACAAGAATTAAAGGAAAAATTAAAAACAAATCTTTTAAAAGAAAAAAGTCGTTCTCGAAAGGTGGATGTTGGAGAAATTTACATGACAAAATCAAAAAATTCAACAAATACTCTTTTAAGACGCAGCAGTTCAATATCACAAACAAGATTGGGAAAAAAGCAGGAAAATAATTGTCAAAAAAATAATGATAAAAGTCAAATTGAAAAATCAAAACGACGATCTAATTCTAGTAATCGACAAGCAGAAATAAATTCAAAGAAAAAATTACCTGAATTATCATCATATAAACAGTCGAAAATAATGCCAAAGACTAATAGTTCAAAAACAAATTTTGTTTTAGCTAATAAATTAAATTTTACAAAAAATGCCAAATCACCGGAAAAAAGAAATCGTCTTCCACCTTTAAAGGTGTCGGAAACAACATTGTCCAAAGATTTCATGACGGTATTGTAATTTTTTTTTCCTATTATTATTAAAAATAATGTTTGTAAGTTTTTTTTATTTTTATAATAATTATTATTCTTTCTCAAATAAATTTTTTTTTATTATTAAAAAAATTGAAAATTTTAATTATATGTAAGAATATAAAATTGCAATCTATTTAATTTTCTATATACTGAATGAAATAATAAAAATATATTTTTCAAGAAGGTTCTGATTCAACAAACAAAAGATGTAAATAATGTGAAATATGAAGAAAATCAAAAATGTCCTCTTCATGATAATAATGATGAAACTACAAGAATTATTGATGAAAATGTAAAATTTGTAGATGCTATTGATGGACTTGATAGACATGGAGTGCCTTCTTGTATTGTAAAAGTTTTAAAGGATTATCATTCACATCTAACAAGAAAGTTTACAGCATCAGAAGTGAAAGATAAAAGAACTCAGGAATCTTCTAATAATTTTCTTTCAAAATTTAATAATATGGTATAAATATTAAAAACAAAATTAACTCAACTTTTTTTTTGCAAAAAAAAATTTTAATTTATAAAATTAATTTAATTTGTAAATAGAAATCAAATTTAATAAATTTTTGATTTTAAAAAATTATTAGGGTCAATTCACTGAGAATTGTTGATGACATATTTGTAAAAAAAAATCTAATTTTAATTATATTAAAACTAGATTTAAAAAAAAAAATTCTCAGATAATTTCCAGTGGATTGACATTTAAATTTTATTTATAATTATTTATAAATATTATTGTTAAATTTTTCTTAAAATAATATAGATGTCTTTTAAATATTTTTTTAAACATTAATTTCAGTGTATTCAAAGGCAAAAAGAAAATTCCAAATTTGAGAAACTTCCGATTCTAGTTAAAGGTTTTATGGAAATTCTCGGCGAACTCTATAATACAGATTTGAAAAATGACCGAAAAAATGAATTTAAAGCAAAATATTCTAATTTGAATGTAGAATATAAAAATGTTTTTATTCATAAAAGAGAAAAATTGAAAATTTCCGAAAATCGTGAAAATTTCCTCGACAAAAATGGATGGATGTCGCTTGGAATTTGGAATGATTTATGCATTTCAAATTTTGAAGGTATTCAATTATTAAATTGAAAAATATTCCAATAAAAAAAATATTATTATTATTATTATTATTAAATAAAAAATATTTTTATTGGAAATATTTACGAAATGATGTCAAAAAAATTTTTTTCTCTAAACTCTAATTATAAATATTTCAGAAATGTCAAAAGTTCTCTGCATTCGTTATTCAAATAGAGCTCAACTTACATTACTTTTTGATGTAATTCAACAATTACAAAGAACAAAATATCGACAAGTTTTAGTGAATTATTTGCTTTATAAAGTAATTCCATATGTGAAAAATTGTTTAGAACCAGCTAGCAAGGAATTTATAGAAGCCTATAAAATGTCTTTTACAATCATTCAAATTCTAAATCCAAAAGTTCCCGTTCTTGTGAAAACGGATAATTAAAATTTTTCTTTTTATTTCCAAATATTTTGTGTTTGAAAAAGTATTTTTTGTAATTTGAAATAATTTTTTTTTTACTTTTTTCAAATTAATTAAATTTTCTTTTTTTTAAATCTTCAATGCGTCTACGCTTCCATAGTGATTTGATTGATCTAACAATATTCTACACACGACAACTTTGTATTTCATTAGTGAAACATATTAAACAACTATTTGTGATTTTATATATCCAATTAGAAGAAATAAATCTTATTTTTTTATAAACATTTATTGAAATTTTTAATTCTTTAATTTAATAAATAAATAAATTATTTATTGTTAATTTAATAAATTATTTATAGTTGATTTAATAAATTATTTTTAAAAAAAATTTTTTTTAATAAAATGGAACCAATACAGTATTGTTATGAGAAAAAAAGGTGTCAATTTGGAAAGAGATGTAATTTTTCCGAACAAGATAAAATGGAAGTTGATATTAAATCAGATGCAACTTTGGGACAAAATTATATTCGAATGGATCCCATAACTGAGGGTACACAGGATGGTAAAATTTTCGCTATTCATGAGGTTTGTTTTTCATTATTATTCAAATTTAATGGAAGGAATCTGTGAAATTTCAACTTAATGAAATTAATCATATTTTCGGGATATCAATTTTCTTCTTGACAATATTTTTAGTATTTAAAATTATAATAATATATTAAAAAAATTAAAAAACAAAAAATTTGTCAATAATTTTAAAAATAAAACTCGAAAAATTAAAATTTGAATTTCTCTTCTAATTTCTATTATTTTTCATTGCTGATTTATTTTTATAAGCTTTTTTTCATGATTCTGAATAATCAATTGTATGGATTTTGAAAAATTGTGCACACAAAAAATAAATAATTTATTCAATATACTTTTTTATTTTTTATCGCTGTAGTAATTTAAAAAAAAAAAAATATGGACCAAAAAAATGATTTCGTTTATTTAAATATTCTGAATTTTAGACACAATAAATTATTATAATTTTAAATTATTAAAAAAAAATAGTTTTTTTTGTTAATAATTTAAAAAATTATTTTTATTATTTTAAAATAACATATTTTATTTGTTCTTTTGTTTTATGAATCCTCATGATAAATATTATATAAAACATAATTTATTGAAAATATTATAGATTTTCAATATTTTGTATATAATATTTCATAATATTAATTATTTGATATTATTAATTATAATTTATAATATTACCTAATTATATTTTTTAATATATTTTTAAAGATATTTCATTATTTATTATTATATAAGTACGATATTTAATGTTTTAAATTAATTTACAGATAAACACAACAACTGCCACTTTTAAAGAAAATGGAATGCATCATGTTGAAGGTGGATGGCCAAAGGACATCAATATGCATGATTTAGAACAGACTGTCCGTTATAGACGTAAAATAGAAAAAGATGAATTATATATTCATACAATGCTACAAATGCTGCCAGTAATTTTATTAAATTTACATAAAATATAAAAAAAAAATTTCCATATATAGCAGAATTTTTATTTTATAGCAATTTTAACAGTATTGTAAATAATAGCTTTTTTTTTTTGTTTCAAAATTTAAATATTCAATCATTTTGCACTATAATAATTTTTTTTAATAAATAAATTTAATCTATTTAATAAATTATTAATAAATTAAATAGTTTAATTTTTTAATAATTTTTTTTAGATAATTACTATAATTAAATATAATTTTGAATAATAATATAATAATATTTTTTTCACAGACCGTGGAACTTTGTACTTTACAAAATAATGCCTGCAATATTTATGAACAATATTTTAACAATAGTGAATCAACTCCTCTCATTCAAAAACCATTTTCACGAACTGTCAATGTTTATCGTGATCCACTTCCAATGAAGAGACCAATCACTCATCTTTCTTGGTCACCAGATCAAGGAAATCGAATAGCCGTTAGCTATTGTAATATGACTTTTAAAAAGTCTTCCACTTATAGTGCCATATCTTATATCTGGGATGTTGGTTAGTTTTTAAATTAAAAAAAAAATTAACTTACCAGACGTTTAGAATACCACTTTTCTAAAAAAAATATTCGTTTTCTTTTTTATATTTTTAGTTTTATAATCAAAATTTCAACAAATTTTTTTATTGCATGATTTTCAAATAAATAATACAATTTCCATCAAATTATCAAAAATCGATTTACAAAAAGGAACAAAATAATGACAATTCGATTAATTAAAGAATCAATTAAAAGTAAATTAAAATGGAAAATTTGATCAAATAAAAATTTTATCAACTTTTAAATCAGTTGCTTTAATGAAAAATTTCATCAACGAAAAATTCAGTATAATGAAAATTCTATATAAAATAATAATTTGATTAAAAATGCAAATTCAGTCAATCGTAAATTTTGTCAAATTAAAATTTAGTTAAATAAAAACAAAATTTGATTAAAATTAAATTCAGTTTAATATGTAAATTTATGATCAAATAAAAATTCTATCAACTTCTAAATAATTATATGCAAAATAAAATTTTTCAAAAGAAAATTCAATGGATGGCAAATACCTATAGAAAAATAAAAAAAATTGTGTAAAATAAAAATTCGTTAAATATAAAATTTCGTCAAATAATAATACACATTAAAATTGTACCAAAAAAAAAAAAATTCGTTTAATAGAAAATTCCATTCAATAACAATTCGGTAAAATAAAAATTAGATTGAAGAAAAATTCGATGAACTAAAAATTCTGTATAATAACAATTTGATTAAAAATGAGAAAATAAAAATTCGATAAAACTCAAATTTTGTCAAATTAAAATTTGGATAAATATAAAAGTCAATGATAAAAATTTGATCAAAAGTTATTTCAATTATATATAATAAATAAATTAATTAATTAGTAAATAAACAATAAATATGCATAATTATCAAATTTAATAAAAATAAATTTTCATGATTTTTTAACAAAAAATTCCATGACATTTTCTTGAATTACATAGAAATTATTAAAATAAAATTTCGGGAGAATTCCAAGTTTTTCAAAATATATTTTTCTTTTTTAGAAATTCTTTTTAAATTAGAATTTGTAAAATTAAATTTTTCTATATTATATACTTAAAAATAAATTTTTGTCACAAAATCAATGTATATATATATTTTGAAACTATTTCAGAAAATCCAAATAAACCGTGCATGGAATTAAAACCATTTTCTCCAATGGTAACATTAGAATATAATCCTAAGGACAGTAATGTTCTAATAAGTGGATTAATGACTGGACAAATTGCTGTCTGGGACGTAAGAAGAGCTTCTGAACCGACTGACATAAGTTTAATTGAAAATAGTCACAGAGATCCTTGTCATAAAGTTTTATGGATAAATTCAAAAACTGCAACAGAATTTTTTAGTGCTTCAAAAGATGGACAAGTATTATTAATTTTAATAATTTTTTTCAAAATTATATAATAATAAAATACTTGGTCTGACCTTCTGTCCTAACTTGAAGTTGACCTTTTCTGATTTCACGTGTTTTTTTTGAACAGTAATCTTATGACGTGTCAAATTTTGACAATTCTTTTTCTCATTTTTGCCAAAGTTGTATAATTGTGTTTCCAAATTATAGAATAAGTTTCTTTAAAATTCCAAATTCGAAAATTCAATTCACGAAGCTGAAGTACACAACGTTTAGCAACGAAATTTTTTTTAAAGTTGTATATTGATTCAAAAATTGTATACACATACAAAAAATTTATGATGAGAAAAAAGATGCGCCAAGAAATTTCGTACAAGATAGTAATTTGAAAAAAATTTATTTTTAAAAATTAATTTTTAAGGTACCAGGGGCCAACGATTACCTATTAAATATTAGTTATAAAAACACAGGCCTCGAATCAACTTAAAGACACAAAAAAGTCGTTTTAGTCGATTTATATTACAAAAAAAATTGGATTTGTTTTTTATTTTAACAAAAATATTTTACAGATTTTTAAATAAAAATCTTTTTTTAATAATAATCCTTTTCGAAGGGTTAAAGTTGAAATTTTTAGAAATAATTAAATTTCAAAAGATATTGTTAATTTTCAAACAATTATTAAATTTTACAGAACTAAAAATAATTTATCAAACAATTTTTGGAAAACATTTTTTAAATTTAATTGAATTTTCAAAGATTTAAATTTGAGATTTTTGAAATTAATTAAACTTTAAGTGTTTTGTAATTAAAATTTTAGATGATTTCACTAAAAATTTATTAGAAAATGCGGATAAAATACAATAATTTGAAAATCATTTTTAATTGAAAAATGGCTTCAGATAGTTGAATTTTCAAAGAATATTATTAAAATAGTTAAAAATAATTGAATTTCCTTAGAATTATAATTGAAATTATTAAATTTCAAAAAAAAAAATTTCGATGGAAAATTTTAGAAATTATTAAATTTTAGATGCTTTTAAATTCAAATTATTGAAAATTCAATTAATTTTGAATTCAAATTTTTGAGAATAATTAAATTTTATTTGATTTTAAATTTGGAAAATAATTGAATTGAAAACTTTGGGAAATAATTGAATTTTAATTGATATTTTGGATAATAATTTAATTTAAGTTCATTTTTGATTGAAAATTTGGATAATTAATTTTGAATAGAAATTTTAGAAAATAATTGAATTTTATTTCATTTTAAATTGAAAACTTGGTAAATAATTAAATTTTAAATTGAAAATTGTGGATAATTATTGGATTTTTAATTTACATTGAATTAAAATTTCGGGTAATAATTGAATTTTAGTTTATTTTGAATTGAAATTTTTTAAAAATAATTCAATTTGAATGTGATATTTTTTTTTTAAATTATAAACAATTGTTAAATTTCATAAAAATTTTAATTGAAAAATAATTTTGATATAATTAAATTTGTGATGTATTTCATTAAAATTACTAAAAATAATTAATTTAGTGAAGAATCATTTTAGCTCAAAATTTGTTAAATAATTGAATTGAAGAAGATCTACATTTTATACTAAAAAAATGTATTTTATTTACATTTTTTTTCAAATGTAAAAAAAAATGTCGTATTTTATTAAAATAAGTCGATAAAAGTCGTATTTTTGAAAAAAGTCGTATAATCCAAGGTCTGTAAATATATAATTTTCATTATTATTATTTAATATGTAATAATATTCTAATAAATTAAATTATTATTGATAATATTAATCTTTAATTTCTTTATAACAAACAATTAAACACTCAATTTGGCCCGCTTGCGCGCGTTTTTTTTTGTTAGTAATTTAATAATCTTTATGAGAAAAAGTTATTAACGTAATGTAATAATAATAATAATAATAATAATAATTATTATTATTATTATTATTTATTATAAAATAATTTTAAAAAATTAATAATAAAAATTATTATTATTATTATTATATTATTATTATTTTTATTATTATTAATTTTTTGAAATTATTTTTGAAAATAATTAAAAATAATCACAGGTTAAATGGTGGGATACAAGAAAACTTCAGAGTCCAATAGAAACTTTAGTGATGGATTTAGTAAAACCAGAAGAACAAAATATCGATAGAGCAATTGGAATTTCAAATTTACAATTTGAACCTTCTCTTGGAACACGATTTATGTGTGGATTAGAAAATGGTGATAATAATATAATAAATAAATATAATATTTTATTGTGTTGAATTAAAAATTATTCGTATTTTTATTTAACTGAATTTTATAAAGTAAATTTTATAATGAACCTAATTTTATTATCTGCTATAAAAAAAATTCAATTCAATATAGAAATTATAATATATGAAAATTTTCGGCTCATTATAAAATCTATACTTTATAAAATTCTGCTAAGTAAATAAAAAAAAAAAAAAATTTTCGATATTTTTTTAAATCAACAACACAAAAATTCCGTCAGGTCTAAAAATGTAGAAAATATTTATTCAATACCAATTTTTAATTCTATCTATAGGTATTGTAATATCGGGAAATAGAAAAGGTAAAACTCCTCTAGAAAAAATTGCAACTCGTTTTAAAGCTCATTATGGTCCTGTCATTAGTGTCGAAAGAAATCCAACTTTTGTGAAAAATTTTCTAACAGTGGGCGATTGGACTGCAAGAATTTGGTCAGAAGACTGCAGAGAGTCATGTATTGTTTGGACACCGTGAGTTGGCTACTTTAATTAAATTTCAGTATTTTTATTATTTAAAAAAAAAATTTTTTATTACTATTTTTATTATTATTTATTATTATTATTATTATTGTTATTATTATTATTGTCATTATTATTATTAGTTAATATATGTATTTTTTCAAAATGAAATAAAATTATTTGCTTCATATTTGCGAGAATAATTTTTTTCTTTTTCAGAGGACATAAAGATCTTTTAACAGGTGGTGTTTGGAGTACAACTCGATTTTCGGTATTTTTCATCACAAAAGTTGATGGAACTTTGGATGTTTGGGATTTAATAGTTCAACAAGATTCTCCAGTTCTAAGCGTTAAGGTCAATTTTTATTTTTTTTTTTTTCTAAATAGGCAGACATTTTTTGAAAATTTAATAAAATTATATACAAAATAGGTTTGTGATGATATTTTGACGAGTATTAGACCTCACGAGCAAGGTCAATTGGTTGCAGTTTCAAGCAAAAATGGAATGACATATTTAATTGAATTTTCTGATGTTCTAACTACAAATCAAAAGAATGATAAACTTCTACTTACTGCTGTAAGGATTTCCAAAAATTAATAATATTAATATCCATTTTTTTTTTGTTTGTTTAAATACAAAGTGTAAATTAATAAAAAAAAATTTTTTTTTTAGCTTTTGGACAGAGAGACAAGAAGAGAAAAAGTTATAGAGGCAAAAAATAGAGAACAAAGACTAAAAATGAAGACAATAAGACCAGATTTGGCTAATGAGTCACATGAAACTAATAAATGTGAAATTCAAGAATCAAATAAAGATTCTCATATAATTCAATGTGAACAAGATTATGAAAATGCCATTCAAGCGGTATCTAATTTTATTTTTTCATTTTAATAAAAAATTATACATTTTTATACATTTTTAAAAATTAGAATTAAAAAAATATTTTGCAAAAAATTAATATAAAATTTTGAATTTGTAATTTAAACTAAAAAAATTCTTTTTAAATTAAAATTAAGAATTTTTTTTAAATAAAAATTTTCATAGAGATTAAAAAAATTATAAATTAAATCAAATAATTAAAATATAATTTTTTTTTAAAGGAAATAGCTCGACAAATATCTGCTGAAAATGCTGAGGTAAATAACAATAATTTACAAAATGGACCAACAATTAATTGAAATAAAAAAAAAATTTCTACCTATAAATTTAAATTAATTTTAAACTTTGTATTTAGTAGAAAACATTTTAAATAAAAAAGTAAAATTCAATTTTTCTCATAATACAATTATTTTCCATTATGAAATAAAATTTCTCCACAATTAACGCTTAAAAAAAAATAATAATAATTTGTTTTCTGCGGGTAAAAAAATATCTGACAAACAGTAGAAGAAAGTTATTTTAGTTATATATATAAACACAAACCGTTACTTTGACGGTTGCAAAAATGAAAGTTTTAAATAAATTTAAATATTAGTTATAAACAAAACTCTAGAGAAGCATCAATTTTATTACAAGCTCAACAAAAATGGATTTCCATCAACTAATATATAAAATCAAATTTTAATTCAAAATAATAATTAAATAAAAGGATTGAAACAAAATTAACTAGGTTAGTTATTTTCTAACTTTATTGTAAATTATTCATTTTCTTTTAACATAAAATTTTATATTTAATTATTCTTTTTTTTATAAATTTATTTTTATTTTTTTTATTATATTGGGGGAAATTTGAAATTGAAAATTTTTAATCATATTTTATATTTATTAAAAAAAAAAAAAAAAATTACAAAACTTTTATGAAACAAAGTTTTGTAAATATTGACAAAACAATATTGAAAGTGTTTGTAAACATTATTAAAAATTAAAATTCTTTCTTTAAATGTAAGACAAACTTAAATAATCGGTTATAAAATGAATGAAACTATAGTGACTAATATAGAAACAAAACTCCAAGTCGTCAATCGATCGATATTCAAGGCGATTACCTATGCGAGTGTAACAACAACGTGCAAAGGGGTCGGAAACGTTAGTGAAACGCAGTAAAGAACACCTGTCTAGTTTTCTTTTAACTTCCAACAGTACATGACATGTGAGCACATAGTGAAAATTTAAAAAAAAAATACATTTTCCAATTTTTTTAGAAAAAAAAAAAAATATTAAATTTTTTCAAATAGAAAAAAAAACTAGGGTAATTCATTGATTTTTCCACTTTTATGAAAATCGTTTTTAAATTTTAATTTTCAACAAATAACGAATTGACTAAAAAAAAAGTTTGTTTTTATTTTTCAAAATTTATAATTCGTGCAAAAAAAATAAAATTGAAATTTTATGAAAATATTTAAAAATATGGAGTTTTAGTGGAAATTTTCTTTTCCTTGAAAAAACAATTTTCAGGAATAATTATTGTACAATTTCTATTCTCAGAAAAAGTTTGTTGTATATTTTTTTTACCTATCGACGTTTCTTATGGAAATAACTCTCATTTACTAATACATTTGCATTGCATATGTTTCCTGATTTCAATTTCAATTTTCCCCTAACAGTAATTTTACAAATTCTCAAAAAAAAAAAAAAAAATTAAATTTTTTAGTTTAGATTTTAAAAATGGAAGATAGAACAGAATTGAGTAGAAGATTGAAAGCACGAAGAAATGAACAAATGATGAGAAGTCGAACACCAAAAAGTATTGTCAAAAAATCGGAAGAAAAATTGGATGATCAAAATGATTCTGATTTACAGAGAGCATTATTTAAAGATAATCGATATTCGCGAAGAATTTCAATAAGTGAAAAAAGTCCAAAATCATCAGTTAATGAGAATAATATTGAAAGTGCCGTGGACATAGAGCCATTGATGGATTTGAATAATTTTCAAAAATTGGGTAAAGAAATTGTTCGTCCTGCACGACCGTCATTAAAACGAACAATAAATGTTCAATCATTGGATATTGAGTCTGCCGAAGATTCATCATTAAAAACAGAATCAATGAATGTTGTTGTCGACGTTCATTGTGAAAATGAAGTTAGACCACGAAGTTCTCGAAGAAATTCCCAAAAATCACTTTCACCATTTCGAAAAACTGCATTTATTAATACAGAAGAAAATGCAGAGAAAAATCAAAATGACAACATTTTTAATAAATCGTTCAAGAAACAAGAATTTAAGTCCGAACAAAGTAACAGGAATTCAGGTGAAAAAAAAAAATTTATTCAATATTAAAATTTTCGTGTAAAAAAAAAACGCTGGGTATTTTTTTTTATTAAAGTCATTAAAATTCAGAAAGAAAATTAATTTTTAATTATTATATTATATTGTGGACATTTTTCTGAAGAGTTTCTATTCAATAAAAAATTTTTTTTTGCTGGAGTTACAAAAATTTTAAATCGTGGTTAAAAAAAACAAAATTTCTTTATTTATAAAATATAAATTAATAAAAAAAAATCATTTTCATTAAAAAAAAAAAATAAAAAATGTAAAATATAATTTCTCATTGTTATTTTTTTTTTTTTTGAAGATCGAATACAAGAACTCATAGAATTACCATCAAAGCTTCAATCGCAAGATGTTCGTTCTAAAAAAGCAACAATAGATTTGACAAGAGATGAGAAATTGGCAAAAAAAAATAATCGAGGAAAAAAAGATGAAAACAAATCTTCTGAATCTTCTGCACAAGGACCACGACCACGAAAACGTTGGTCGATATTGGAAACAATTTATTTGTCCGATGATGTTAAAAAAGGAAAAAAACCATGGTCAGAGGAAGTTACATCCGATGCTTTTTGGCAAGAACAAGCAAAATGTTCATGGGATACTTCATCAGGAAAAGAAGATACACCAAAAAATTCATCTCGCAAAACTCTCACAAAGGTATAATTTTCAGTTATAAATATTATTTTTTTTCATTCTGATAAAACAATATACGAAAATAATAAAAAAAAAAAATAATAAAATTGTTCATTTTTGTTTATTTTATTATTTTTTTAATTTTATTGTTTTCGTATATGATGTATTCGACGCCAAAGTATAAGTCCATCTTCCATGAATTTTTTCAAATTTTTTTAGCTAGCCGTTTTCGAGTTATGGAATTTTGAAATTTGAGGAATTTTCATGTCTTTTAATTTTTTAATAGTGATAACTTTCTTTAAAATGCATCAATTTTAAAAGTCTTTTTTCTCAAAATGTGTGTTTTTAAACGAACTTTTCAAAAAAAAATCGAAAATTATTTTGATAGTAATAATTTGTTAATAATAATTTAATAATAATAATAATAATAATAATAATATAAATAATTTAATAATAATTATATAATAATAAAATGCTTGGTCTGTCCTTCTGTCCTAACTTAAAGTTGGCCTTTTCTGATTTCACGTGTTTTTTTGAATAGTAATCTTATGAGGTGTCAAATTTTGACAATTCTTTTTCTCATTTTTGCCAAAGTTGTATAATTGTGTTTCCAAATTTCGGAATAAGTTTCTTTAAAATTCCAAATTCGAAAATTCAATTCACGAAGCTGAAGTACACAACGTTTACCAACGAAATTTTTTTTAAACTTGTATATTGATTCAAAAATTGTATACAAATACAAAAAATTTATGATGAGAAAAAAGATGCGCCAGGAAATTTCGTACAAGATAGTAATTTGAAAAGAATTTATTTTCAAAAATTAATTTTTAAGGTATCAGGAGCCAACGATTACCTATTAAATATCAATTATAAAAACACAGGCCTCGAATCAACTTAAAGACACAAAAAGTCGTTTTAGTCGATTTATATTCCAAAAAAAATTGGATTTGTTTTTTATTTTACAGATTTTTAAATAAAAATTATTTTTTTTAATAATAATCCTTTTCGAAGGGTTAAAGTTGAAATTTTTAGAAATAATTAAATTTCAAAAGATATTGTTAATTTTCAAACAATTATTAAATTTTACAGAAATATAAATAATTGATCAAACAATTTTTGGAAAACATTTTTTAAATTTAATTGAATTTTCAAAGATTTAAAATTGAGATTTTTGAAATTAATTGAAACTTTAAGTGTTTTGTAATTAAAATTTTAGATGATTTCACTAAAAATTTATAAGAAAATGCGGACAAAATACAATAATTTGAAAATCATTTTTAATTGAAAAATGGTTTTAGATAGTTGAATTTTCAAAGAATATTATTAAAATAGTTAAAAATAATTGAATTTCCTTAGAGTTATAATTGAAATTACTAAATTTAAAAAAAAAAATTGTCGATGGAAAATTTTAGAAATAATTAAATTTTAAATGCTTTTAAATTCAAATTATTAAAAATTCAAATTTTTGAGAATAATTAAATTTTTTTGATTTTAATTTGAAAATTTTTGGGAAATAATTGAATTTTAATTGAAATTTTGGATAATAGTTTAATTGAAGTTCATTTTTGATTGAAAATTTGGATAATTAATTTTGAATAGAAATTTTAGAAAATAATTGAATTTTATTTCATTTTAAATTGAAAACTTGGTAAATAATTAAATTTTAAATTGAAAATTTTGGATAATTATTGGATTTTTAATTGATATTGAATTAAAATTTCGGGTAATAATTGAATTTTAGTTTATTTTGAATTGAAATTTTTAAAAAATAATTCAATTTTATTGTGATATATATATTTTTTTAAATTATAAACAATTGTTAAATTTCATAAAAATTTTAATTGAAAAATAATTTTGATATAATTGAATTTGTGATGTATTTCATTAAAATTATTAAAAATAATTAATTTAGTGAAGAATCATTTTAGTTCAAAATTTGTTAAATAATTGAATTGAAGAAGATCTGAAGAAGATCTACATTTTATACTAAAAAATGTATTTCATGTACATTTTTTTTCAAATGTAAAAAAAAAATTGTCGCATTTTATTAAAATAAGTCGATAAAAGTCGTATTTTTGAAAAAAGTCGGAAAAAGTCGTATAATCCGAGGCCTGTAAACATATAATTTTCATTATTATTATTTAATCTGTAATAATATTCTAATAAATTAAATATTATTATTGATAATATTAATCTTTAATTTTTTTATATCAAACAATTAAATACTCAATTTGGCGCGCTTGCGCGCGTTTAATTTTGCTAGTTTGATAATAATATCGATTAAAAAAAAATATCGATTTTTTTTGAAAAGTACGTTAAAAAACACAATTGGAAAAAAGACTTTTAAAATTGATGCATTTTTAAGAAAGTTAAGAGCATTCAAAAATTAAAAATCATGAAAATTCTCCAATTTTCAAAATTCCATAAATCGAAAACGGCTTGTTAAAAAAATTTGGAAAAAATTCATGTATGCTAGTTTCAATTAGTATTAAAGGAAAAAAATTTTCAAAAAAATCGGAGATGCAATTGCAGATGGCAATACACTTTGGCGTGGAATACATAATATATTAATTTATTCTATAATTTTTGTATATTTTGTCTTTTGTATTATTTTTGTATTTTATTTATTTTGCTACTCTCCTTTTATATAATTTCGTTTTTAAAAATTTGTAGTCTTGTTCTATTTTGTTACATTCTTTAAATTTGTCTTTATTTTAATATTTTCTATTTCATTGTTAATTTATTTTTTTGTTTGTTGATTTTGATTAATTTGTATAATTAAAAAAATTTTATTTATTGTTTGCCTCACTGAAGAGAAAATCAGTTGTTATTTCGAAACGTTGGAGGAAATTTTATTAAAAATCAATTTGTCCGAATTTTATCATTTTGTTACATAATAATATTCTAATAAATATTCTATTAAAATTTTGATAATTTGTTATTATTTTTTTGATTTTTAATATCTAAAAAAAAATTTTTTTTTAAGAAGGAGCAGATTAAAAAACCAGTACCAGCACCTCGTTCAAAAAGTCAAAAATCGATTACAGCTTCTAATATGGCTTTTGACAATGAAGCATTTTCATCAGAACACGAGGAGGTTCTACGAATCGAGACAAATCCAGAGAATAGAAAAATAAAAATGAGTTTAGAAACAGTCGGTGTAAAAATAGGTAAATATAAATTTTTAATTAGTAAATTATTTTTATAAATAATAATTTATATTTCACTTTTATAAAATTTCATCTTTAGATGAAAAATCATTATCAAAAAGACCTAAAAGTGCATCAAAGTCAATTAATCGAAAAACAGAAAGATGTTCATCGGAAAAATCAGAGAGTTCTGATTTCGATTCAGATGATCGTTGTTTACGCCGACGAAGTAGAACACCGGAAAAAAAATTAATTCCCAATAATTCAGAAGATGAACCATCATCATCATCAATTTTAAGGAAAAATAGTTTCACAATAACAAAAGTAATTCGAGATTCAAAACAACGTCGAAAGAGTGGCAGCGAGGACACATCAAACATGGACAATGAATCCAGTATTTCGCAAACTAGTAAACGAAATATAAAAAGTCGTCGGAATTCTGAGGAGATTTCATCTGACGTTGAAAATTCTCAGAAATCCTCATCTAAACATAAAATGCAAATAATACATTCAAAATATTCTGGTCAGGAAACATCGTTGTCAACAAACGAAGAGAGCGATATCGACCAGGATCAAGTAAATCAATCAACTCTGAAAAAAATGGCAAAAATTAATAAAAAAAATCATAAAATCTCCCATGATGAAAGAAATAATCAAATTGAAAATATCAATGATAAACGACAAATTGAGAAGAGAAAAAAAAGTGAATCATGTAGAAGTAGAACGAGTTCTTCCACTAGGGGAAGAGAATTTTTAGGTGAAGAAATGGGGCGAAAGAAAAAAAAGAAAAAGAAAAAAAAGAAAGATGAACAAAAAGAAATTAAATTTATATCAATTATTATTCATGGTACTGATGTTTTAGAAATTGATTATATTACAAGGCATCCAATGGTGAAGGTTCATATTGTCAATGCAAATACGGGAAATTATTTAAAAAATATTGAGAATATGGAAAAAAATGAAAAATCATATTTACAACCTGTAATAACGGGAAAATTTGATATTAAAGAACACAGATCAATTAAGCCAATATGGGAGGAAGAATTAATATTTGAACATGATTTTGATGATATATTAAAAACTGAAGATGAGCAAGTGTTAATTTTTTTCGAAATTCTTGATCTTTTATCTTTCTCTGAAGCTAGTTTAAATTATAATCAATACGGTAAGAGCTTTATAAGTTTCAGTAAAATTAAATATTCACACTATTTACAACTAAATTTTTTCAAAAATTTTATTTTTTTAATTTATTAATAATAAAATAAATTCTCCATTTTTTTTTCAAAAGGAAGCGAAGGTTGCTGGCACAAAATCGCCTGGGCATTTTTGAGACCAGTTGGAACTGTTGGACTATTGCATATTAATAAAAAAGTTAGACTCCAATTATTTAGACCGCGAAGAAGTATTAAAAAATTAGAAAGAAAACAATGCGAGGTATGTTATATTTTCTATTCAAAGAAAATGAAAAAATCATTTTAATCGCATTATATTAATTAATTAAATTAATTCATCAATAAAATTAATTCTTAGATAAAATTTCAATTCAGTAAAAAACGAATATTAAAAAAAGAAATTTTGCAGTTCTTTCATTTTTAAAAAAAGGTTTTAATTCTGATTTATGAAAATAATTTTAATTCAGATTTTCGGCAAAAGTTTTGAAGATGAAATCAAAAAAATTCAAAATTAATCAAAATAAAAAATTTTTGAATTAGAATAATTATTAAAATTTAAACTCATTTTCAAATATTCAGTCAAATAATTAATAAAATAATTGGATTTATATCAAAGTTGCAAAAAAAAGTCGATATTTTTCATTTTTATTAAATTTAATTAGTTAATAATAAATATTTTATTATGTAACTAGCAAAATTAAACGCGCGCAAGCGCGCCAAATTTAGTATTTAGTTTTCAATTTAAAATCAAATAAAATTTAATTATTCTCAAAAATTTAAATTCAGAATTAGAATTTTCAATAATTTGAATTTAAAAGCATCTAAAATTTAATTATTTCTAAAATTTTCCATCGAAAATTTTTTTTTTAAATTTAATAATTTCCATTATAACTCTAAGGAAATTCAATTATTTTTAACTATTTTAATAATATTCTTTGAAAATTCAACTATCTGAAGCCATTTTTCAATTAAAAATGATTTTCAAATTATTGTATTTTGTCCGCATTTTCTAATAAATTTTTAGTGAAATCATCTAAAATTTTAATTACAAAACACTTAAAGTTTCAATTAATTTCAAAAATCTCAATTTTAAATCTTTGAAAATTCAATTAAATTTAAAAAATGTTTTCCAAAAATTGTTTGATAAATTATTTTTATTTCTGTAAAATTTAATAATTGTTTGATAATTAATAATATCTTTTGAAATTTAATTATTTCTAAAAATTTCAACTTTAACCCTTCGAAAAGGATTATTATTAAAAAAAAATTTTTTATTTAAAAATCTGTAAAATATTTTTGTTAAAATAAAAAACAAATCCACTTTTTTTTGGAATATAAATCGACTAAAACGACTTTTTGTGTCTTTAAGTTGATTCGAGGCCTGTGTTTTTATAATTAATATTTAATAGGTATTCGTTGGCCCCTGGTACCTTAAAAATTAATTTTTAAAAATAAATTTTTTTCAAATTACTATCTTGTACAAAATTTCCTGGCGCATCTTTTTCTTATCATAAATTTTTTGTATTTGTATACAATTTTTGAATCGATATACAACTTTAAAAAAAATTTCGTTGGTAAACGTTGTGTACTTCAGCTTCGTGAATTGAATTTTTGAATTTGGAATTTTAAAGAAACTTATTTCGAAATTTGGAAACACAATTATACAACTTTGGCAAAAATGAGAAAAAGAATTGTCAAAATTTGACACGTCATAAGATTACTATTCAAAAAAACACATGAAATCAGAAAAGGCCAACTTCAAGTTAGGACAGAAGGACAGACCAAGCATTTTATTATTATATAATTAAATTAATTCATCAATAAATTTAATTTTTAAATAAAATTTCAATTCAGTAAAAAATATTAAAAAAAGAAAATTTTGCATTTCTTCCATTTTTAAAAAAGGTTTTAATTCTGATTTATGAAAATCATTTTAATTCAGATTTTCGGCAAAAGTTTTAAAGATGAAATAAAACAAAAAAAAAATTCAAAATTACAAATTTTTGAGTTAAAATAATTATCAAAATTTAAACTCATTTTTAAATATTCAGTCAAATAATTAATAAAATAATTGAAATTATATCAAAGTTGAAAAAAAAGTCGATATTTTTCATTTTTATTAAATTTAATTAGTTAATATAAATATTTTATTATGTAATTAAATATTTACATTATTTGAAGGAGTCTAGTTATTTTTTTACCATATTACAGAAATTTAATTCCAATTTTAAAACAAAAAAAATTCGATTCCAATCTAGAAAAAAAAGTCGATTAGTCGTATTTAAAAATAAATTAAAAAAAAAGTTTTTTACCTAAACCTATGAGCCTGACTGTAATTTTTATTCTTTTACAGGTTTACGCTTGGTGGAAATCGAAGAAACGTGAAAAATATCCAAGTAGTCTTTACGTGACAGTATCAGCAGTGGATCCACCAATAATTGAACCTGTTTATTATGAACAATTAACATTAAATGAATTATCCGATATTCACAGTGATATTCCAAAATCACCACAAAAAATTTCCGATGAAATAAGTCTTCCAAAATGGTCGAGGCTAACTGCTCAATCCTGTAAAATACCAAATAAATTATTATTTCAAAGTGAATTATTTGACAATGGCTCATTCTATTTAGCCTTCAGTAATGATGGCAAATTTTTAGCATGTACAGCGTCTGAAGAATATGAATTTCCCATTATTGTTTACAAGGTAGTGTTTAGAAAATAGTTTCTTTTTTCCAATTTAATAAATTAAAAGTAAATTTAAAATTTAAATGACAGTTAAATACGTGCTGATTAGAATATTTTATTTTAGGTGGATGAGAAAAAAATTAATGTCAAATTTAGTGGACATAAAAATTTTGTCTATTCATTAAATTGGTCGCAGGATGATCGTTATTTACTATCAGTGTCTTCAGATCAAACTGCTCGTTTATGGGACGTTAATGAAAAAATAGTTCAACACATTCAAGTTAGTCTTTTTTTATTTACAATAATATATATATATATATATATATATATATATAAATTAATAAATAAGAAATTTCGTTAGTAAATTTATTTGCATTCATTTCTTTAAGTTTGGAAAATTCTAATTTTTTAAACGCATAAGTAAGTTTTAAAAATAATTTTTTACAATTTTTATTTGACAGAATTTCATTTTCTAGAATTTACTCTTTTAGCTGAATTTTCATTTTTTCGAATTATTATAAAACTGAAATTCCATTTAACCGAATTTCTATATTTCAGAATTGTTGTTTAAACGAATTTTCATTTTACCGTGTTTTTTTTTTCATTGAATTTGACAAAATTATTATTTTTTCGAATTTTCATTCTGACAGAATAGTTAATTTAAAGAATTTTTACGTATTTTACAGAAATAATTTTTGAAAAAAATTTCTTTTATAACCGAATTTATGTTTTATATCATTTTTTATATCATTTATTCGAATAAATATTTTGTAGAAAAAATTAAACGACGTAAATTTTTAAATAAAAATATTCTCTGTCATATCTTATTTATTTGGTGAAATGAAAGTTCTGTAAAATAAAAATTCAGCGTTTTAAGAATTCTGTAAAATGTAATTTCGAAAAAATGAAAAAGAATTCTTTCTGTAAAATAAAAAGTGACTCTTCTGTCTAATGAAAATTCGAGAAAATAATAATAATTCCGTCTTTAAAAATATAATTTAAAAAAGAAAAAAATACTTTAAAAGTTTGAAACTTACTGGAGTAATAATAATAATAATCTAATGAAAAATTACAATTTACAGTTATTACCACATCCATCATATGTCTATTGTGGAAAATTTGATCCAGCCAATTCATCAATAGTAATAACGGGTTGTTATGATCATATTGCAAGAGTTTGGGCAATAAACAAAAATTCCGAAACCTATGAATTAATACAAGAATTAGAAGTTCATGAAGGTTTTGTTAATTCAATTTGTTTTCAAAAAGACGGAAGTTTATTGACAGCTGACAGTGTGGGTGTGATTATTCTTTGGATTATAAAAAAAAATCGTAAAGGACCATTAAAAAAAGAATGGCAAGTGGGAAAAAAAATTAAATTAGACGAAATCGAAGGAATACCAATTAATACAATTGTTCTACATCCACGTGGTTCGAGACTTCTTGTTCATTCGAGAAATAATGGTTTAAGATTATTGGATCTCGCAACTGGCGTTGTACTACAAAAATACGAAGGTCTTGAAAATAGAAGGTAAGAGGGAAATCTCCATAAAAAAAAAAATTATTGAATACAAAATTTTATTGAAAAAAAAATTTCATTAAAAAATAGTTTTATAACAAAAATTACTTTATTGAAAAAATATTTCATTAAAAAATAATTTTATAACAAAAATTACTTTATTGAAAAAAAATATTTCATTTTGAAAAAAGAATTTTTTTGGAATAAAAATAAATTTTATAAAAAAAAAAATTTAATAACAAATAAATCTGTTGAAAATAGAATACAAACGGCAGCCTGTATATCTCCATGTGCAACATTAGTTTTTTGTGGAGGTGAAGATGCAACACTTAATGTTTGGAATTTAGAAACTGGAAAACATTTAGCTAAATATTCAATTCGTGACAATTATAATACAGTATCGTGTGTCGATTATCATCCGTACGATCATGTTCTTGCTTTTTCGACTTTTGGTAATGCGGCTCCATTCAAACTTTTTATATTCGATAAAGATGCATTAGGCGAAGAAATTGGACTTCAACTTTTGATAAATACAAAATCAACAATTCTCACAAATCATGAGACTGCTGTTCATTCATTAGAAAATTCACGAACCAAAACATTGTGGAGTACATCGACAAAAAGAAGAAGCCTCGAGGATTCTATTATAAATCCACGAACATTCAATTCTGGTGAATCTTCATTTTTACCTAAATTTGGAGGATCCACAGGTAATTTAATAATTTTTTCTTTTTATACAAATGATTTATCACAAAAATTGATAATTTTTTTTGCCAATTTGTAAAAGTAAATAAATATATAAATTTACAAAAAAAAAAATTAGAAACAGTAGCTTTTAGTAGATAAGTGCAAAGCCTGATTATTAGATATTTGCTTTTTATTAAAATTGTTATTCAATTAATTAATTAATTAAATTAAATTGTTAAAACAGGTCAACTAATTGAAGATGAAGATGTCGATTATCGAAAAGTGAATTTAAAAATGAAACTTCAAAGATTTATGGAATCTGGTCCAAGTTTAAAAACAAGAAGTATGAATAGATTGAATAATATTATTGAGAAAATAGACAAAATTTTATTAAATGCCTCATCTGCAAAATCACCCGTTGATCTTGAACTTGCGGTAACGGATCAAAATCTATCATTAGTAACAACTAATCCAAAATATGAGCGAGATAAAAAAAATTTGAAGCCAGCAGAAATATTTAAGGATAGTGACGATACATTAAATTCAACATTTACTGATGAAGCAATAGAAATGCAAATTATTGCACGTGAGAAAAAACCTTGGACCGAAAGATCAAAGAGCGCTAAAGCTCTAAGATCACCAAGACGAATGGAGGAAGAATTATTAAAAACATTTTCTGACAGTGCTGTTATTTGTAGGGAAAAGAAATTTCAAAAGAAACATCGCGAAGAAGATGTGGTGAATTATTTTGAAAATTTCAATAAAACAGAAATGATTTCAATATATGAAAATCAGAGAAAAAATTTAACATCCGGTTCATCTGGTTCGGTGATTATTCATCAATATGGATTTCCTGATAAAGAACAACGTCCAGAGAGTCCAGACAGTGATGGAACGTATGTTGTTGAAAAAGGTGATTTAGAAAAAAATGACGACTTTCATTTTGGAAGTGGAAGTTCAATTAAAAGTAATGTCACATTTACTGTAGTTAGCGAAATTGCTTCTTCAAAACCTAGAAAGAAAAAGTCACAAGTGCAATAAAATTATGTTAATAATAAAATCATTAAATATTGTTGAAAAAAGAAAGTTTTGTTTCGAGAAGACGAAAAAAAAATAGTTATTTAATTTTTCAAGGAAATTTCATTTTTAAAATCAGTAGTTAAAATTAGAATCAACAGCAAATATAGAAACATATGTTACTCATTCCGCTTTCAAGTAGATATATATATATATACAAATGAATCGAGGGGTCGAGAACTCTAAATTCTACATATATTGTACAAAAAATTATAAAAGTCGTTGAAGTTCACAACGTGTAAAAAAAAATTTTTTTTTCACGTGGAAAATAATCTTGGCCAAAAAAATTTTTATTTTTTTCTATAAGGGTTTACAAAAAAATTTATCCCTTTATTAATGACAAAAAAAAATCTTAAAACTAAAAATTTCATTTAAAAATTATTGATAGAAAAAGGTTGTAAAAATGTTTTCAAACAAAAAAATTATAATTTGTATACCATCGCTCGGGGTAATTATACTCATAAAAAATCGATACATTTTTAATCAACTGGTTATTAAAATTCAGATTAAAAAAAATTAATTATTACTTTCTGTTCGAATTTAACAGCAATTCCATTTAACCGAATTTCAATATTACAAAATGGAACTTAAACAAATTTTCATTTTTTAGAAAATTTCCATTATAATTAAATAATTATAATATTAATTATAAATTATAAAATTAAATTTTCATTATAGACATAATATTCAGTTAAAAGAATTTTTATTCAACTTTAAATGGAATTTTTGTTAAATAATAATAATTGGAAAAAATAAAAATTCGACTAAAACTTGACTTTTAGTCAAATTGTACTTTTTTCTCTTTTCATTCAACTATTTTACAACAGTTCGGATTTTTTTTTTATTTTTCCTTATTTTTTTTTAAATCACACAAAAACATTTCCCACATTGAATTTATAAAGCATTTTGTGGCGTGGAATTTAATTAAATAATAATAATAATAATAATTTTTTATAATAATTTTATAAATTCAATGTGGGAAATGTTTTTGCGCGATTTAAAAAAAAATAATGAAAAATTTTAAAAAATCCGAACTGTTGTCAAATAGTTGAATGAAAAGAGAAAAAAGTACAATTTGACTAAAAGTCAAGTTTTAGTCGAATTTTTATTTTTTACAATTATTATTATTTAACAAAAATTCCATTTAAAGTTGAATAAACATTCTTTTAAATGAATATTCTGTCTAAAATGAAAATTTCTATTTAGCAGATAAATGAAAATTCTTTTAAATGAATATTCTGTCTAAAATAAAAATTTCTATTTAGCAGAATTTTAGAAAGTATATTTTACATTGAACCGAATTTTCATATCAAAGAATTTTTATTTAAAGAAATTATTAATATTATTTAATAGAATTTCAATTTTAACCGAATTTTTTTTTGTGACCGATTCTCAAGTTCACTGAATTTTAATTTTTTTAACCGAATTTTTATTTAACGAATTTTTTATGTAACATTACATTATTTAACTGAATTTATTTGAAATGAAAATTAATTGAAATAAAAATTCTGTTATTAACAGAATTTCTATTAAATAGTAATTTTAAAATATAAAAATTTGACTAAAATTAAATTTTAATATTAAATTCCCTCAAATGAAAATTCTAACAAATTAATATACAACTTATTTTGTCTTTTACAGTGTAAAATTCGACTAATTGGAATTTTTTACACTTATAATTAATTATTTATTCATTGTTATTAACAAACACAGTAACATTAATTTTTTTCTAAAAAAAAGTTTTCAAAAAAATTTTTTTTTTCAATTTTCTAAAATATTAAAAAAAATATCTCTCATTTGTGTACAAAGAATATCAGAATTTTCGACACCCTCACCAAGAAAAAAAAAAGAATGAATTCTGCATGATTCTCTAACATAACTTTTTTGAACTACAAATTTGATTTTTAAAAAATACCATTTTAATAAAAAAAAAAAAATGTGTATTTCTTTAATAATATTTTTAAATACAATAGAATTTACAAAAAAAGGAAAATCGATTGCTTCGAAGACTGATTTGATACAAGACTTATTAACTGTTTTCAATAGATTTAAGACAATTTGTAATTTTCGTCAAAAAAACGGAAAAACTGGAAAAAAATTTTTTTTTATTGTTCTTTGTTTCATTTTAAAAACAAGAACAGATGAATGAAAATTAAATTTTCTTCTTAACTTTGAAAACCAAAAACAATTTAACGAATCATAAGACTGATAATTTTAAGAAAATCTGAAAATTTTTAATTAAAATACAAAAAAATTTAATATAACATTTTTTTCCTATAAGATAAATTTCGTACATTTTTTTTTCAGAATATTTATACAATACATAAAATAAAAATTAATTAGTTTCAACTAAAACAGTTTTTAAATAATTTTTATTGGATTTTATAAGAAATTTATACTTCAAGTGAAAATAATGTTAGTTCAATTTATATTGAAAAAAAAATTGCACAAAATCTAATTTTAATATTAATTTGCAAGTAATAATTTTGTTATGCTCTTAATAAAAAAAAGGTAATAAATCATTGTTATTAATTCATTGAAATTATTTATTTCTCATGTCCTTTGCAAAAAGAAAAAAAATATCGTATAACATTCCTCATTCTCGATTACCATTTAATTTACAATATTTACAAAATAGAATTTTTTTGTTTACATTTATAATATTGATTCTATAAATTTTGAACATTATTTAATTTTTGAAACCATTCTGGCGTAGTGCCATTTTTCAGATAAGACATTACATCTGGCATGTATTGTGAAAGATTTTCATAAAATGGTTGCGATGATTCTGCGATTATGGCAATTATAAATTCAAATATAGTACGAGATAAAAGTAAATACAAATAATTTACAATTATTGCAGGAAAAAAGTATAAAATAACAAGAAAGCATATCACTAATTGAGTGACGTACATTTTTGAATTTAATTTTAATAATAGTTTTTCAATTTTTTTTTTCTCTAAAAATTTTCCAAGTCGTTCAATTGACAATTTTCTTCTTCAAATCTGTTTTCCGAAAGAAAGTACATAAATGTAAAAATAAATTTTCATTATTTTGAAAAAATTTAAAATTTTTCTTAATTATTTCATTTATTAATTTATTATTTTATCACTAACCAGATGTAAATTAATCCTGAACTTTCAAAACATTGTGAAAATAAAATTCTTTGTTAAAAGAATCACTAAATTTTTTAAACATTTCAATCTTTTTTTTTCTATTTTTATGGAATATTTTGTAAAAATTTTCTTATTAATACTTTTTAATTAATTAACACATTTTAAACTTAAAAATTTTGAATAGAAAATTTTTTTGTACTTATACGTTTCTCTTTTGACAAATATTTGTCACATTTTTAATTTATAAAAACAATTGAATAAATAAATGTGAAGATGTCGCTGAATTACAAAAATTTTTCTATAATAAAATAGAATTTTATTATTAATACAATGAAAATTAATTTCAATATTTTTTTTTATAATTTTATTTTATCAGCAAAATTTATTTATTAATAATTTTAATGACATTCGATGTAATAAAATACTCAGTTTGTTAACATTTATTTATTATTCAATTCGAAGCATATGAAAAATAATAACATATTAATTATATATAAATATTTTAATAAAAGTACAAAAAAAAAAAAATTAAAAACTGATATTATTATTATATCACACATAATATTCGTTTACAATTAATATATTTGCTTAACAATTCTATTTAAAGAAATAAATGTGTTTATTTAAAAAAAAAAATTGTTGTTAGAAAAAAAAAATACTTATAAAATTGATGGAGAATTTTGTGTAAAATCATCTGATGATTCGACGCGGGAGAAGCATGAGAATTATTCAGGGGTGCGTCAGTGTCAGTGTTCATTTTCGTCTTGCAAACACTCCACTTGTGTATTAGTTGTTAAAGATGCACATCAAAAGAAATTTGACATATTCCGTGAAATTCTGACAAATTGAAATTACAGTTTGTTAAAAATGTTTTTATAATTATGTGGAAGTAAATTTAATAAAAGTGAAAAATCAGTTTTTAAACAGTAATTTTTGCGAATGAAATTATTAAAATTTTAAATATAACCTCTTGCACAATGGTTTTACTTCGAAATTTTATTCTTCTTGCATTAATTTGTGGTATGTAATATATTAGAAATTATTTAAAAAAAAAAAAAATAATAAAAATAATATATTTGAATAGTTTTTTTTTGTATAATTACATGCGTCTTTGATATTGAAAGGTTTCCTAACCTCAAACGTCACCGATCAATAAACAAAATTTGTATATAGGACCGCACAATTTGTAGAATAATTAATATTTTTCTAATTTTTCAAATTTGTAGAAATTGAAAAATTTAAATATTTATCTTATTTAATACAAATTATAAATATGATTTTGGCATTTTTTTTTTACATTAAACAAGAATTAAAAAAATATTTTTTTTTTTGACAGTTGTATTTTGGAGCACAGCTGTCAATTTGATTATATTGTTACAAACATTTAGAAAATATTTATTTTTTTTTCATTTTAAAGTAAATTTAATGTTTTAGGTATTTTTTCGAGTATTACTGCATCACGAATCCTGGAGTTGAGCGATAGGTAAATATTTTACAACGAAAAAACAAAATTTTTTGACATTGTTGCGCGATTGACAATGCATGATAATAATAATAGGGATGACAGTGGACTTTTTTTTTAATTTTAGATAAAAAAAAAAACAGAAGATTTTGAAAATCAAATAACAACATTTCGAGTTTAATTTCAAAAAATTGTACTTTTTTTTCATTCAGCTATTTTATATAAATTCGATTTTTTTTTTATTTTTCCTTATTTTTCTTAAAACACACAAAAATATTTCCCATATTGAATTTTATAATGTATTTTGTGGCGTTAAATTTCTAATAAGAAAAAATTTTATAAAGTAGATTTCATATTAAATTGAATTTTCATATCAAAGAATTTTTATTTAATAAAATAATTAATATTATTTAACAGAATTTCAATTTAACCGAATTTTTTTTGTGGACGATTCTCTAGTTCACTGAATTTTACTTTTTTTTAAACGAATTTTACATTTAATGGAGTTTCTATTTAACCGAATTCATTTAAAATTAAAATTCATAAAAATTCTGTATTTAACAGAAATTTTATTTAATCGAATTTCTATTCTATCTTTATTTAACCGAAAATTTGTTAAAATAAAAATTCTTTATTGTACAAATTTGTATTTAACAAAATTCACGAAGCTGAAGTACGCAACGTTTATGATAAACGATTTTTAGCAAATAATTTTTTAAAATGAAAAATTGCATAATTTTTTGCCTAAAAAATATTTTTTTATAATTTGTTGATTAATGAAAACTACAAAAAATATTTTTTAGGCAAAAAATTACAGAATTTTTCATTTTGTAAAAAATTATTTCTTTAAAAATCGTTTATCATAAACGTTGCGTACTTCAGCTTCGTCAAAATTCTCATATAACAGAATTTTTGCTAAGTTGAATATAAAAATAAAAAAATTTTCATTTCATTAATTTTTTGATTTGTTCGAAATTTTATTTATATAAAAAAGTTAAAGTAATAAAAGTAACTTTGGTTTTAAAATTTACTCAGAAAATTCGTTTATAGCTCCAAAACCAACGCAAAACTTGATTAATAATTACAAAAATGTTTAATTTACTCTCTAAATTTGAATTAGTTAAAAATAACTAATTTTTAATAAAATCTTGATTGACTTTTTACTTCAGCAATTAGTAAAAAAAACAACTGATTATTAGTTAAGAAAAAACTAATTTTAAGTGTGAAAATAACTTAAAAAATAGTCAATTTGAACTAATTAAATTAGTTTTTAGAAATTTTAGTTATTTTAACATAACTTAAAAGTGAATTTAACTAATAATTAGTTGTTTTTAAAAAATTAGTAAAAATATTACTATTTAAATCAGTGACTGACTATTTTGCTATTAAATTTTAGTTATTTTTAACTAATTCAAATTTAGAGAGTAAATAATGAAAACCAATAAGGAATTCTTTTTTCATTCATAAAAAGTCTTATTTTAAACGATTATAATGTTCTTATTATAAATAAATATACTTTTTAACTATTTAAAATAAAAATATAGTTTTTTTATTTTAACAAAGTAATATTAAAATTAATTTATAAAATGTTTTTCTTTATTTCAATAAATTTATTGAATGATGACAAAATGTAATTAAATCAAATCAAATGTGTAGTTCAGACAATAATGAATATTAAAAAATTTGTTTGATTAATTGTTAATTGAAAAAAGGGGAGAATAATCATATGACTTAAAGAAAAAGAGAAAAAAAAGGGGAACAACTGTGATATTATATTTATTAATAAGAATATTTAAATTTTCTTTCATCCTAAATTAAATGTATATTTAATCAACAATTTTAAATTATTAGGTTCCTGGATATTCGTAAAGAAGGACAATGGTTACTTATGGTATGTTGTAATGAAAGAGATTTTAATTAAAAAATTAATAATCAATTAAAAATAAAAATATTTTCTATTTTTTTTTTTAGATGTACGCTCCTTGGTGTGCACATTGCAAAAGATTGGAACCAATTTGGTCTCATGTGGCTCAACATCTTTACGCCAGTCCAATTCGTGTTGGACGTGTGGATTGCACTCGATTTACTAATGTAGCTCAAACTTTCAAAATCAAAGGATTTCCAACAATTTTATTGTAAGTTTAAATAATTAAAAAAAAATTTTTATTATTAAGACCGAATTTTTTATGAATTTTATAGCTTCTTTTTTCTTGAAAATTATTCTAGTCTAATTTATAGAAATTCTTTATAATTCAGATTATCCACAAAATTTTGAAGATGAAATCAAAAAATTTTGTACTTTTTAAAAATTAAAATAAATTTTAAAAAAATAATTTTTTTAATATACACTTTATTAAATAATGCTGAGTCAAATATTTAAAAAAAAAATTATAAGTTAGAATAATACCCTACCTATTAAATATTAATTATAAAAACACAGGCCTTTTTGAAGGGTTAAAGTTGAAATTTTTAGAAATAATTAAATTTCAAAAGATATTTTTAATTTTCAAACAATTATTAAATTTTACAGAACTAAAAATAATTTATCAAACAATTTTTGGAAAACATTTTTTAAATTTAATTGAATTTTCAAAGATTTAGAATTGAGATTTTTGAAATTAATTGAAACTTTAAGTAGTTTTTAATTAAAATTTCAGATGATTTCACTAAAAATTTATTAGAAAATGCGGACAAAATACAATAATTTGAAAATCATTTTTAATTGAAAAATGGTTCAGATAGTTGAATTTTCAAAGAATATTATTAAAATAGTTAAAAATAATTGAATTTCCTTAGAGTTATAATTGAAATTCTTAAATTCAAAAAAAAAAATTTTCGATGGAAAATTTTAGATGCTTTTATATTCAAATTATTGAAAATTCAATTAATTTTGAATTCAAATTTTTGAGAATAATGAAATTTTATTTGATTTTAAATTTTGAAAATAATTGAATTTCAGTTCGTTTTGAATTGAAAATTTTGGGAAATAATTGAATTTTAATTGAAATTTTGGATAATAATTGAATTTAAGTTCATTTTTGATTGAAAATTTGGATAATTAATTTTGAGTAGAAATTGTAGAAAAAAAATTGAATTTTATTTCATTTTAAATTGAAAACTTGGTAAATAATTAAATTTTAAATTGAAAATTTTTGATAATTATTGGATTTTTAATTGATTTTGAATTAAAGTTTCGGGTAATAATTGAATTTTAGTTTATTTTGAATTTAAATTTATAAAAAATAATTCAATTTTATTGTGATATTTTTTTTTAAATTATAAACAATTGTTAAATTTCATAAAAATTTTAATTGAAAAATAATTTTGATATAATTGAATTTGTGATGTATTTCATTAAAATTATTAAAAATAATTAATTTAGTGAAGAATCATTTTAGTTCAAAATTTGTTAAATAATTGAATTGAAGAAGATCTGAAGAAGATCTACATTTTATACTAAAAAAATGTATTTTATTTACATTTTGCTAGTTTTTTTTAATAATATTTAATTAAATAATTGAAATAATCTTAAAAAATGTTTAATTTTAAAGAGATTTACAAAAAGTCTTCAAATGTCAATTTATAGAAAATCATTGAGTATTTTTTTTTTTAATAGAATATTTAAAAGAATTTTTGAATTAGAATAATTCTTAAAGTTTGAACCCTTTTTTTTTTTTTTAATTATTTTTTTAATGTCAAAAATTATTTAAAATTAAGTTTTTTTTTCAAATAATTATAATATTCATTATAATATTCGGTATATATTCACATTGTATACGGTACGATAAATTAAGAATATTTATTTTTTTTTAATAATAATAATAATATTTTCGAAAATTTTTTAATTGTTTTGTCACGAGTGTCTACTAATTTTACTGTCTAAATAAAATAATCGTCATAATTCTCAATATAGCTTAAAAGGAGAACAAGAATTCACTTATCATGGCGATAGATCGAGAGATGAAATTGTAAATTTTGCATTACGATTGAGTGGTCCACCAGTTCAGGAAATAACAAAAACACAAAGTTTTGAATTTCTAAAAAAAGATCGTGATTTATACTTTTTATATGTCGGTGAAAGATCCGGATCATTGTGGGTAAGATCATAAATTCACAAAAAATTTTTTTTTTAATTTAAATTAAAAATATAAATATTGTTTTCTAATCTATTAATATAGGAGCTTTATCACAAGACTGCCGATGTTTTCCAACCTCATGCTTTTTTTTATCAATCTCATCCAACAGTCGTAGATAAACATGCACCTGTAGAAAATACACCCGCCTTATTTGTATATAAAGAAAGCACTCATTACAATTTTACAGGTAAAAAAAAATAAATAAATAAATAAATATATTCTTTTCATTTTTGTTTCGATATGAAAAAAACGGAGAAATCTATTTTTTATAGGTCACAATGTAAGCAGCATTGATGTATTGAATGAAACTTTACATAAATGGGTGAATGCTGAAAGATTTCCTAGTTTTCCAAAAGTTACACGTGGCAATATAAATCAGCTATTTTTAACAAAAAAAAATTTAGTCCTCGCAGTTGTTGAAGAAAATCAACTGGAAGAAATGACTCCAGATATGATAGAATTTAGAGATATGATTGAATCGTTGATAAAATCGAAACGAGACAAATATCATGAGTAAGTTTAAATTTGCAAATTTTTTTTTTTTATATAAAAGTGAATTATTATTTTTTTTACAGACATTTTCAATTTGGTTGGATAGCCAATTTAGAACTAGTCAATAGTATAGCAATGATGGTTGTTCCTTTGCCAAATTTATTAGTGATAAATACAACAACAAATCATCATCATTTTCCAGAAGATGAAGCTGGAAAATTAACACCTCATGCAATAGAAATATTTCTCGAGCAAATTCACAGTGAAAATGTACCGGTAAGAAAATGAAGAAGAAAATGAACATTTTTTTACGAATGAAACGGAAATAATTTTTTTCTTTTTCTTTAGAAATACGGTGGAAATAGTTGGTTTGTTCATTTCTTTCGTTTTTGGTTTGAAACAAAAACTACTCTTATAGCAATGTGGAAAGGAAATCCAGTTTTAACAACAGTCATATTTGGTTTACCAGCTGGATTTTTATCTTTAATTTGCTATGGAATTTGCTGTCCCGATATTTTAGACGCTGATGATGAAGAAGAAGGTAATTATTTTTTAAATACAGCGGCGCATGATTTATCCCATAAAAATCATTAATTAGAATTTTTATTTTCAATCATTTTATAAGAGGTAATTATTTTTTTAACGAATTTTTATTTTTCGAATTTTCATTAAACAGAATTTCTTTTTAAACGAATTTTTACTTTACAGAATTTTTATGTACCGAATTTTTATTTCGCAGAATTTCTTTTTATTCAACTTTTTCAGTTGAATGAGAATTATGCAAAAATTAAAATTCTACTAAATAAAAAGTTGGATAAATGATAAATGAAAATTCGTCTAAAACATAATATTATATTTAATAAAATTCTTGAAAATTTCAACTAATAATTTTTATGGAATAATCATATTATATTTCGAGATTAAAAATAACTACAACATAAATTTTTGTTCTACAGAGGAGGAAGAAAAGAAACATATAAAGAAAGACTAAGAGATCTGACTTACAAAAAAAAAGGAAATAAAAAAAAGGAAAACGCTTATACCGTAGAGAATGTTTATCAATGATGAATTTAACTCTACACGTTATTTAACACCAAAAAAAAAAGAAAAAAAAAATTAAGTCATAGTCTAAAAAAATAAACATTCCATTGAAATGCTGTTTGTAACTTTGTAGATTAAAAACTTGTTTTATCTTCCTCGAATGTGAATACCTCTCAATGGAATTCAGGTGAGACAATACGCAAAAATGTGTTTCAGTGATATTGTAAATGAATATTTTAATTATTATATATATACATATAATATACGAAAAGTCAAACAAAAAAAGCAAAAGAGAAATTTGAAATATTAACTCTTAAAAAATAGATTCAATCAGGTGTGTATTTACTTTGTGAGTATTTTATAAATTGACTTAGGCGCGAATCAAAAAAAAAAATAAAAATTCAATATTTCGAAAATCTGACCTTTTTAGGATAAAATAAAAGAAATTAATAATTTATCCTAAAGGTCAAAATTTTCTCAAATTGTTTATACATTTTTTTCTTCTAATTTATATTAAAAATTTGCTAGTATTTGTGAAATTAAAAACTTAAATCATTGTTTTTGAAATATTTACTATCTTCAATAATTTTTAAAAGAAATTTTTGTTAAAAAAACATGAAAACCCAAGCAACATAGTTTAAAAACAATAAGTAGGGAATTTTTTTTTTTGCAGAAATCTGTTGTGTCTCTCGAAATGTATACTTATTGTTTTCCATAAAGAATAGAAAAAAAAATAAAAGAAATGAAACTTTCGCAAATACTTTGTTTCATTTTTTTTCACACTTTGTGCATAATCTTAAACCTGTATTATATAAGTTAAATTTGCTCTTCTGACAATATATATATATATATAAAACATTTTCTCTCTCTCTCTCTCTTCAGAATTAATAATAATGGAGGCGTATTTAAATTTCACTCTTATTTTAAAAATAAAAAATTAAGGCAATAATCTACCTGGAAATTACACGAAGCGTAGTATTAAAAATATGGTCAGTCTTTTCGCGAAATATGTTACAAATCGTCGTCTGAATCCAAAGCAGCTCTGCGCCTATCAAACTGAAATTTTACAATTGCATACAATTAATTTTAGAGATTTTTATTTTTTATAATAAAATACAATTGTTTTTTTTTTTTTTTTAATAACAGGGATCACATTGACATTTTTTTGTAAAAATAGGTGAGAAGGTGAATTATTTACCGAAAATAGATTACAAAAAGGTTATTAAAAAAATGATAATTAAAACAAATTAACGTGCATAATAACAAATTTGTATCTATCGATTCAAATCTTTATGAATTGGAATATTTCATCTATGATTCAAGTGTTTGGGAAAATGGAATTTTGAATAATTTGAAACTTGAATCAATAAAAATTTCGGATAAATTGAAATTCGGTAAATTTGAAACTTAAAACAATTAAAATTTGGATAATTTGAAACTTAAATCAATAAAAATTTGAATAAATTGAAGTTCTCAAGTAATTTGTAATTTAAATCAATAAAAATTTAGATAAATTGAAATTCGAATAATTTAAAACTAAAATCAATTAAACTTTAAAATATATTAAAATTTCGTTAATTTTAAGTATTGATCGTTTGAGTTGGCATTTAATTAAAAAATATTAATAACTTTATTTTGAGCAACAAACGTTTGAATTAATTGAAAGTTGGATCACTTGAAATTTGAATCGAATAAAATTTAATTAAATTGCAGGCCTCGGATCAACTTAAAGGCACAAAAAAAGTCGTTTTAGTCGATTTATATTCCAAAAAAAAGTGGATTTGTTTTTTATTTTAACAAAAATATTTTACAGATTTTTAAACAAAAATTTTTTTTTTAATAATCCTTTTCGAAGAGTTAAAGCTGACATTTTTAGAAATAATTAAATTTCAAAAGATATTGTTAATTTTCAAACAATTATTAAATTTTACAGAACTAAAAATAATTTATCAAACAATTTTTGGAAAACATTTTTTAAATGTAGGGTCAGTCGGGGTAAATCCGAACGGGGGGTAAATCCGAACGCTAATTATTTCAGCTTAATTAAAATTTTTAAAAATAAGTTCGATATGAGAATTTTTACCTCAGATCCTCTTGAAGAGATTCTAAGTATTATCCCATTTTTTGTTTGTTAATTAGCAACAGCATAAACAAAGATAACAAGTATTGCAAAAAAGATTGAAAATCAAAGATGACACTCTTTCAGTATTTTGTCTCGTATTTCAAGAAAAAGAAGCTAAAAATTCATTTTATTATTTATAATTGTTTGTTATGAATACTAGAACAGAAACTATTTTTCATTTTTGCCTTCTGTAAAATTTTATTAATAATATCAGACCGTTCGTATTTACCCCGGAAAATAGGAAACCCGGGGTAAATCCGAACGGTATTTTCAATAATTTTTTCTTATATCAGAGCCACACGAAATTGTTTTTATTTTATTACACTATTATTTTAACATTATAAAAGTACATAGAAAAAAGTTTTTCTTTCTATATGTATCCTCGTTAGTAATTAATAAGCAGAAACTTAATCTCTGTTCTCTCGAAGGAGTGTTTCAATTTTTTTGCCAAATAGTTTGTTGAAAAAAGTTTTTCAGGATCTTAATAAAATTTGGTATTCTACGGTTTTTGGGGTCGTTAATTACCAATTTGAAGTCAGTTTTTCAAAATTCAAAATGGCGGACGAGAATTAAAAAATTCATTGGATTCGCTCGAAAATTGTTACTCGGGGGGTTTCAGGGTTAGCAAATTTGATCATTTTTAAAAATAAGTTTTAGGAAAGTACGCCATTTTGAATTTAAAAAATTTGACTTTTATTTTTGTATTTACATTCAATCACTCCAAAATACTTTCTGTAGCAAGTTTTGCAAAAATCCGTTATGATTTGATAAAGTTATTGAAGGTTTCAATTGTGTAATGCATTTTAATTTTTAACCTGTTTGATTTTTGTATTTATATATGATGCATTATTACATAATAGGTTTATTATCGTATTTTTTTTGAGTTTTTATATAAGTTTAACAATTGCAATACTTTAAATTTATTTTCCCTAAGATTTTTCTGAAATACAGTGGCGTTCGTATTTACCCCGGTATTTTAGGAAAGTTGCAAAGTATCGAGGTAAATACGAACGCTAAGTTTCCTGCGATTGTAATTTATCAAAAATGTTTGCTACCCCATAAAATTGTTCTATGGAAGTAAAGTAACAACTTCATGCACCAGAATACCGGAAGTATTTTTTTTTTAAAGAAAAAACTTATGTTATTGTTGAAACTTACTAAAAGCGTTCGGATTTACCCCAGTTGACCCTAATTGAATTTTCAAAGATTTACAATTTTGATTTTTGAAATTAATTGAACTTCAAGTGATTTTTAATTAAATTTTTTTTAATAATTTCATTAAAAAAATTAGAAATTGCGGACAAAAAAAATAATTTGAAAACATTTTAAGTGAAAAATGGTTTAAGATAGTTGAATTTTCGAAGAATATTATAAATAATCATTAGAAATTATTGAATTTCAGGAGTTATAATTGAAATTATTAAATTTCAAAAAATTTTAGATGAAATATTTTAGAAATAATTAAATTTTAGAAGCTTTTGAAATTTTGTATAATAATTCAATTTTAGTTGATTTTTTATTGAAAATTTTGATAATAATTAATTTTGAATTGAAATTTTTCAGAATAATTGAATTTTAGTTGATTTTGAATTGAAAATTTTGAAAATAATTGAATTTTATTTGATTTTGAATTGAAAATTTTGAAAATGATTGAATTTTATTTGATTTTAAATTAATAAAATAAATAAATAAATAAATAAATAAATAAATTGATAATTTGGAAAATAATTAAATTTTAAAAGATTTTGAATTGAAAATTTTGAAAATAATTGAAGTTTCTTTGATTTTGAATTGAAATTTTGGGAAATAATTAAATTTTATTTATTTATTTATTTAACAAACATTTTAATTAAAATTTTGGATAATAATTTAATTTTAGTTGATTTTTGATTGAAAATTTTGATAATAATTTAATTTTGAATTGAAATTTTGGATAATTATTGAATTTTAATTGATTTTGAATTGAAATTTTGGGTAATAATTGAATTTTAGTTGATTTTGAATTGAAATTTTTTTCAATTCATTTTGAATTGATTTGTGATTTTGAATTAAAAATTTTTGGTAATTTTATTTGATATTTTTTTTTAATTATTAACAATTGTTAAATTTCATAAAAATTTTAATTGAAAAATAATTTGAAATAATTTAATTTCTGATGATTTTCATTAAAATTATTAAAAATAATTAATTTAGTGAAGAACTTTTGTTAAAAATTTGTTAAATAATTGAAATAAAGAAAATCTCAAGAAGATCTACATTTTATACTAAAAAAAATGTATTTTATTTAAATAATTTTTTAAAAAATGTATTTTATTCAAATAATTTTTTAAAAAATGTAAAAAAAAAGTCGAAAAAGTCGCATTTTATTAAAATAAGTCGAAAAAAGACGGAAATAATCGAAAAAGTCGTATAATCCGAGGCCTGAAATTGGAATTGAGATATGAATTAATTAAATTTTTAATTGATTATTAATTAGAAAATAGAGTGAATTTAAATTTTGATCTATTACAATTTCAATCAGTTAATATTTCAAATAATTTAAATTAAGATTTATTGGAATTTTCCTTAATAATTTTTGAATGCAAAGAAAATTTTTTTGTTAATTTCAAACTTAAGTAAATTGAATTATTTATAGAAAAGAAGAAAATGTATAATTTTGTGTTCTCTAAATTATAATAAGCTCAGGAATGTTTAGAAAAAAAACTACTTTTAGACTAATAAATTATTTTTCAATATTCTTGAGCTTAAATCAATGTTTTTTTAATTGAAAATTTAATTAATTTTTTAAATATTATATTTGCAAATTAATCGAATCATGAGAAAAGTGATAAAGATTTAAAAAGTAATAAATTATAAAAATACATGTACAATAGTTGGAAAAATGTTAAATTCTTGAAAAGAGGTTAAATAGGTGATAAAATTCTGTGATCCCTGAAATAAGTATTCTTTAAAGTAAAAATTTGTCTAACCTTGATAGTTGTTGTTTTTTTCGTTTGTTCACTAACACTTTCGAGAAGACCAATTAATTCTTGTTCACCAAGTTTACCGGGAAGTTGTCCTCGTTTTGCCATGTTTACAATCATTTCTTCAATCATTCTTCCCTTTTCTGGTTTACCAAGTGAAAGAGTATTTACTAAAAGATAATAAACAGTTGAGTAGGTATTAAGTTAAAATATTGTTTAATCCTAAAAATTTTCTGATAAAATTTAAATAAATCATACATCTAGCTCTTGCAGATTGATCGAGTACTTGCGATAGAATGACATTTTTCATATCTTCCAATTGTTGCCTTTTTTCTTCATTGGCTTGTTGATTTCCAGGTTCATTGCCCTTTAAAATAGTTATTGAAATACAGTATAGAAAATAACTTTCATTTTGACATCGCAACCAAAAAAGGGAAATAAATATAGCCTATCAACCTAACCTCAAAATTTAATTATATCTACATAGTAGTTAATAATTTCTCTATATAAACAAATATAAAGTATAAAAACTATAAATGTATAAATTAATAAGTAAAAAGTATAGTTAAAAAATTCGTCATTATGTCAAATTTCAAGTTAGAATACGGAAAAGTATTTTTTTTTTTACCAAGAAAGCCGGATATATTTGAAAGTAGTAGAAAATACATATTTTCTAAAATATTTACCTTAAATTGTGATTGTAATTGAGCCATACGTTGTTTACGAATAGCTTCTAATTCTGGATCTGCCATTTTTTATGTATTATTTATTACGTCTTTCGGATAAAAATTTTGAAAATAAAGTTGATAAATTCTTTTTTAACACAAATATAAATTACACATGCACAACTCACACATACACACACGAATTCTATAGATGGCAGGTCGGAAATAGCGGGAAAATTTTAAATTCTAAAAGATGGTATGGGTAAAATATTTTGTCATAGTATCCAACTCTTTTTGAAAAGATAAAAGAAATTGGAATTAAATTTAAAGGAATTGTAAAAGAATAATGTAGAGAATATCGCTCTTCTCCGTTTTTAGCATAATATTAAAGATAAGTGAAGTAAAAAATAATTTAATATTTTGACCTTGATAGAAAAGAGAAAAAAAAGAAAGTATGTAATATGGCGGATAAAGCGCAAATTAAAACAAGACAATTTTAACTATTTTTTTAAATACACTTTCGTATAAAATTGCCTTGTATACGGAGAAGAGCGAGATTCCTTATATTGTCTTTTATTATTTTGTTAAATTTCATCACGTTATTTTTACTCATTTAAGAGAAAGTTGAAATCTACGAAAACATATAAAACCTATAGAGCTGCCTATAGGATATATATTTCACGTGTTCCTTAATAAAGAATCAAAATATTTTGGGATCTTGTTTGCAGATTACAATCTATCTAATCATCAGCATTATTATGCTGTTGGATCCAGCCAATCACGTCGCATACTTCGATTCATAATTAGAGTTGACAAAAAAATAAACTGTCAGTCAATCTGTCAATATATATAGTTCAGGTAAGAAGTCAAAAATAAAAGAAAATATAGGTATTTTTTCATTCGTTTACAAGCATTTATAAATTAACCATAAAAAAACAATTGTTATTCCAAAAATAACACACTGATTGTGAATTATCTAGTTTTTATTTACATATAAAAAAAATTTAGATATCTATATAAAAATCTTTAGTTACAGAGAAAGAAATAACAATAAATATGTCAATAATAAAAACGAAAAAATTCTTATACAGTTGGATAATACCAAATATAATATGTGAATATTCATATCTACAAATTTTCTTCAGATGAGGTATATATACGCATATTCAATTTTTTTTTTTGTTCCAAAAATTATTTCGATAAAAATTATACCAAAATTGTTTATTTTTTATATAATATAATGGAACAAAATTTATCAAGCGATTCAATTTCAAAAAAAGGTTTTCTGATCAGTTTGAAATAAAAGTATATAAAAATTTATTCAAAATATTACAAATTATTGAATTTTTTGCTAAAAGTATTTTTATCGGTGAAATTTCAACTCATCGAAATTAATGTTGTTAAAGAGTGTCAATTTTTTTTCTGGCATTATTTTGGATCTAAAATTATTGTGAATTATCAAAATTTTTTGACTTATTTTCAAAATTTTATTTTTTGAAAATATTAAAATTTTTAAAAATCCATACTTATGATTGTTCAGAATCATGAAAAAAGCCTACAAAAAAATTACCGATAAAAAATAATAAAAATTGTAGAAGAAGTTGAATTTTTAAGGAATAATTGATCAAATTGAAACCAAACATAATTGGTTTAGTTTAGGGGTAACAATTTTTTTATTACAAATTTTTTTAGAACCTGAAATCATATTCCACTATAAAAAATAAAAAAAAGTTATTTTTAACAAATTTTACATTTTTTTTCATATTTTTCAAAAATTTTATTTTTGAAAAAATTGAATTTTTTCAAAATCCATACGATTGATTGTTCAGAATCTTGAAAAAAGTGTATTAAAAAATAAACAATGAAAAATAATAAAAATTGTGACAGAAGTTTAAATTTTTAATTATTGAAAATTTCGAGTTTTATTTTAAAAATTATTAATAAATTAATTGTTTATCAATTTCCCATAGTATATTACAGTTTTAAATACTCAATATTAACTGAAAAAAAAATGAAATTTCAGCGGTCCCTCCCCTTAATATTTAAGAAACTATTCATTGGACTTTACACGGAGAGAAAAATTAGGTGATAACTGCTTTGTTTCAAGTCGTTGGTCCAATTTTATTAAACAAGGCATTTGTAACTGGAGAGCACGGTAGATTTGACTTGGCTATCAAGTTAAGGCTATAATGTTCTCAAATAATACCGACAGACGGTTTGACCAATCAGCTTTTCTTGGCAGCGTGGCGCTATTCACACACGCATATTAATAGAATATTATATTTATTAATTTTTTCTAGGTTAGATTTGATTTTTAAAAAAATTTCAAATATTAACATTTTTTTGATGATTTAAAGGAAATAATAAGGTCCACAATATAGTTTTTAAGCAATTCTGAATCCAAAGGTTTTTCAAAATTAACTGAAAAATTATGTAAAAATAAAAAGAAACACTTTTTGAAGTTATGTTGTGTGTTGAATTTTCAGTTTTAGACACTTTTCTCGTTATACATATAATAAAAAGTTAGGACATTGCGTAGTCGTATTTCAACATTTAAAGCGTATATTAATTATTCACTTTAAAAAAAAGTTCTAAATTAGAGCTGATTTCGGTATTAAAATCGAACCAAATTACGGTTTAGTACAAAAATTGGTACTAAATTAGTACCTTTCTTTTTACAGTGTTTTTTACATTACTTTTGTGAACGCATTCATTAATAAGTATTTAATTATTTTGTCAGCAAACCATAACACACTTCGAATACGATAAATGACAAATTTGTAAGTTTCGAAGTGCAAAATTTTTATTTAAATATTTTACAAATAAATAAATTGGCATAATTTTTTTCTTGAATTCGCTATTGAAATTAACATATTGATATTACTTGTTACACGAATAACCTCAACTGTTTAAATGAATGGAAATATCACTTTTTAATGGCACATGTGGCACATTAATACTATTTGGGACCGCACTGTCAAAACTACCGTGCGACCAATTTTGCTTTAACTGTAGGCATCGTTACTTGAGTCACTCAAGTAGTTTTAACTTAAGTCTCCAGTCCACACAACCTAATTTTTCTCTCCGTGTAATTAAATTTAAAATATGTCATAACAATTTTCTTGAAATTAAAATTTCATTTAAAAATTTCATGAATAATTTAGGTACACACTAAACCAAAGTTTTTGATTTTTTTTTGACTAAAATTTTTAATAAAACTTAACAATATACCTATAATTTATTTATACCCACCTGGTCAGTCTATTATATTTCAACTAAAGTCATTGCGTACTATTTTTAGAAAATTCTTGTGTATTCGCAAGAATCATTTTTGATATCCGTACAATTCATTTTTGACAATTATTTAATAACAAATAAACCCTTCGATTTAATTTGATTAAATTATGATTTAAATTAAGTTGATTTTAATTATTGCTATGAATCTATGAATCTGAAAATCTAAACCATATTATATGGCAGTGTGAAATTTTTGATTTGCAAAGAAAGTTTGTTCTTTTAATGATAATTATGTTTATGTATGTAAATTAATGTTCAGTTGAAATAAACTTCTTTTGAAGTTTCACTTGCTAATAAATGAAAAAAAAAAAAAAAATTTGTAAATATACAAAAATTGTATTAAATAATTTTGTACGGATATAAAAAACAATTATTATGAATTATAAGATTTTTCCAAAAATAGTCCGTAAAGAGTTTAGGTGAAATATTAATTGATCCTGTAGTACTAAATTTTTGTTTATTCTGTTCAGAAAACCTTAATTTTTAGAAAAAAATTCTATCGCATGAAAAATTTTTATTTTTTCTTTGAAATTTATTTTTCAATAATTGAACTAGAACTGTCATACCAAGGAGGCATCCAATTTGGAGGTGTTTTATTTCTAGGCCTTCCTCTTGGCATTACAGAACTTAAACTATCAACAGTAAAATTGCTATCAGTTCTTCTTCTACGTGTTTCATTTGCATTATTAATATTGTTAATATTATTATTATTTATTTTAGGACTGTCATTAATGTCATGATCTAATACAACAAACGCTTGATTATTGTCACTGTAACGTCTTGAATCCTTAGCAAAACTTGGAGAATATGGCCTTTGACAATCATCAATATCATCAATATCGTGCGTCGTTGTGACATTTATCTTCTCGGAAGACGGTAGGGACGGTGATCTTTTTCGTCGATTAAAACCCTTTGGTTCTACATCGACATTACACACGTGAAGACGATATGTTGGACTTGGCGATCGATTTCGCATAATAGAATGATCTGCAACATCTATTGAGGGTCTTGGAACTAATGATGCTCTGGATCCTCTGAAATATTATCATTTAATTTCAAATTAAATTTATTAGTTAAATATTTTTTAAATTTGGATTATTTGATAAAATTTCAATAGATAGAATTTATTTTTTACTTTTAGCTTAATTTTTTTTTTTGAAATTATTTTTTGCCAGAATTTCCATTAAATCGATTTTCTATATTACAAAATTTTTATATTTAATCGAACATTTACTTTACAGAATTTTTATTTGAACGATTTTTCATTTTTTTTTTTTTTTCAATTAATTTTCGTCAGAAACATTATTGCGAGAATTTTAAAAATAACCTATCATAATTTTTGAATTATGAAAATGTTGAATGAAAATTCAAACAAAACAAAATTCTGACAAATGAATAATTGAACAAATAGAAATTTTATAAAGTAAATTTTTAGTTATATAAGAATTATTTAATATACAAAGTTAGTTTGTAAAAAGTAATTAAAAACTTTTAAATAATCATTAAGATGCTAGGCCTTGGATCGACTTTAAGGCACAAAAAAGTCATTTTAGTCAATTTATATTCGGAAAAAAGTCGAAAAAGAAGATTTTTTTAAATTTTAACAAAATTTAATTGGTTAATCAATATTTTACCTTAAAATAAATAATGTTATTAAATATTAAATTCATTTTATTAATTCTGTAATAAGAATAATTCTATAAAAACATTATTAAAAAATCATTAGAAATAATTAAATTACAAAAGATTTTGTTAATTTTCAGAGAATAATTAAATTTTAAAGAACTAAAAATAATTTATGTTTTGGAAAAAAAATGATTTCACATAGTTGAATTTTCCTAAAAATTGAATTTCAATCGAAATTTTGCAAAATAATTGAATTTTAGTTAATTTAAAAAAAAAATTATTGAATTTTAATTAAAAATTTTCAAAATAAATGAATTTCAATTTTTTGAAACTAATTGAATTTTAGTTTATATTGAATTGAAATTTTTGAAAACAATTGAATTTTAGTTTAATTTGAATTTATAATTTAGAAAATAATTGAATTTCAATTGAAAATTTTCAAAATAAATGAATTCAATGGAAATTTTTGTTAATAATTGAATTCTAGTTGATTATGAATTGTAATTTTTGAAAATAATTGAATTTTAGTTTATTAATTTTTATTTAATTTTTATTTTTATTGAAATTTTTAAAAACAATTGAATTTTAGTTGATTTTGAATTGAAATTTTTGAAAATAATTGAATTTTAGTTGCTTTTGAATTGAAATTTTTAGAATAATTGAATTTCAAAAAATTTTAGATGAAAAATTTTAGAAATAATTAAATTGAAATTTTTAAAAACAATTGAATTTTAGTTGATTTTGAATTGAAATTTTTGAAAATAATTGAATTTTATTTGCTTTTGAATTGAAATTTTTAGAATAATTGAATTTCAAAAAATTTTAGATGAAAAATTTTAGAAATAATTAAATTGAAATTTTTGAAAATATTTGAATTTCAAAAGATTGTGTTAAATTTCAGAAAATAATTATAATACCTACGAGAAATTTCTAATGATTTCTGTTGATAATGAATTTATTAGAAATCACATAAAAAAATTGAATTCCAAAAGTTTTTAATTGAAAAATTGCTTTCAGATAATTGAATTTTTTGAATAATATTATAAAAATCATTAAAAATAATTGAAATTTTTGCAAAGAATTAAGTTTCAAGAGATTTTGAATGAAAATTTTTTTGGTAATTTTATTTTCTAATTTTTTTTATATTATAAACAATTATTAAATTTCATAAAAAATTTAATTGAAAATAGTTTAAGATAATTGAATTTGTAAAGAATTTCATTAAAATTATTAAAAATAATTAGTTTATTGAAGAATTTTAGTTAAAAATTTGTTAAATAATTGAAATAAGTCGAAAAAGTCGCATTTTATTAAATTAAGTTGAAAAAAAGTTGTATTTTTGAAAAAAAAGTCGGAAAAAGTCGTATAATTCGAGGCCTGTCATTAAGATGCATATATAGGAATATTATAATTTTTTAAAAATAACGAAGCAAACCAGTTTGCATGATTTTTGCTTGAGTGACCCTATTATAATTTTTTTTGATATATTACCTTCTACTACCGGAAGGTGGTTTTCCTACAATGCTCTCTTCGTGAACTCGAGTGCTTAAAATTTGAAATGCATCCTGATCATCGGCAGCATTAATTCTTCCAAATTGCTCACTATTATTATTATTCACCCAATAATTATCTTTTTTTCTGGAAGCACTGAGACTACGTTCACGATGTCGATGCATTCGTGGCTCATTAAAAACATTAAGACTTGGCCTCGAACAATAAGCATTTTTATATTCAGGTTCAAGATCTAAATTTCCCTCTAAACGTAAATTTGCTGGCATTCTTAATGTTTCAACTCTTGGTATTTGACCATATGATATATATTGTGATCTGACCTCACTTGTTGGCTCAAGATCATGATGACGTTTTGGTTCGTGGAAGCTCATTCTGCTTGCATTTGCACTTGTCCGTCCGGAAGACAATATAACTGATGGTCTTAATGATAATGGTGGTTTACGATAAAGTGGTCGTTCACGTGATAAATCAAGATATATTGATTTATATTCTGGATCTTGATCGATTTTCGATGAGAATTTTATGTGCACGGGTGATGATGCTATTTTTGAACCATCTGCTCTTCCAATTTCATCTTCTGGCTTTAATAATTTTGGTCTCTCTCTTGGGAAGTCCTTGAAATATATTTTTAAATCAACAAATTAATGGTTTCCAAAATTTCACATGAAAGAAATGATATTGTATTCTTAAAAAGAAAGTATACCTTGTACGCAGCTTTATATTCAGGAATTTCTAGAGGTGGTCCCTTAAGATCTTCCAATTTTGACACTAACATTTTCATTTCTTCTTTTTTGTGTATTTTCTCCTCGTCTTTTTCACTGTCTCTCATTTTATTTTCCTTGTCTTCTAAATCTTTTACCAATTCTGCCATCAATTGAACATCTTTTGAACGGGGACTCATAAATTGTTGATTAGCTTCAGTTGATTGATAAAAATCACCACCTGCTCTTAGATTTGATTCTGGTTTTTTTAAACTTGGTCTCCCTGTGAATAATATCAATATTTTGAAAATTTAAATCTAAAAAAAGCCTAAAATTTTTTTAAAATGTCTTTAATTCGAATTTACATAACTTTTACATTAAAAAACAATTTTTGTTGGTCTAATATTTTTACTTAAAAATTTCGCTTTCAAATTTAAAAATTTCAATTTTTTATAACTTAAACGAAAAAATTTTTTTATGTTCTAATATTTTCAGAAATTTATTTCGATTACAGAAGAAGTAAAAAAAAAACAATTTTGAAAATGAATTATACCCGCAAAATCATATTCCTTAAACACTGCAGAATATTCAGGAAGAAATCTAGCTTCTCCCTCTAATTTCAAATGTGAAGTTTGTTTCAATAATTCCGGCCGTTTAACGCCAACAAATGGAATATAACTATCATGACATTCAGTCGTTGTTTCAAGATCTCCCTCAAGTTTTAAATGTGTTGGCAATCTAATAAGTTCAGGTCGACTGACATTAAGCCATTCAATGAATTTTTCACATTTTTCCGTCATTGTTTCCATATCACCTTCCATTTTCAATGATGTTGGTCTTCTCATTAATTCTGGTCTGTGAAAACCTTCGTGCGGTATGAATAATGAATTTTCAGTGTTTGTGTAAAAATTTTCTTCACGCGTTTTTTTCAGGGAACTGCAAAAAAAAATTACCGTGTTAACGGTGTTCCGTAATGGCAAGCAGTGGTTGTCTTTTAAAAATGAGATACATTTAATTTCAAAAATATTGTTCTTCCAATTCGGACAGAAATGGCAAAATCGGAAAAAATACCAGTTATCCTGAGTTTGTGTACTTTCATTTGCTTCCAAAAAATTAAAAATTTATTCACATATAAAACGACAGGAAGTAAAATAGGAAGAGAATAAACATTTGCGTAGTACTGAAATTTACCGTCTGGGGCAGCACCTGACGGCTACAAAAAAATTTCTTATTTTACTTTTTGACGTCGTTTATCGTAATGAATTTTCAATTTCTTGTGCGTAAATAAAAGTACAACATTTCAGGATAACTGCGGTATTTTTTTCGATTTTTTCGTTTTTATCCGAGTTGAGAGAAAAATCATTTTTAAATTAAATGCACCTACGAGGAGCCAAATTTTTAATGACAACCACTGCTTGCCATTACGGAACACCGTTAACAGAGGCTATTATACTCAACACCAATTTTTAATTAATAAAATATTTATATTGATTTGTTTAAACTTGAATTTAAATAAACACAAATTTTTTTAGCTAAAATGGAATTTTTGATTTTTTAACTTTCATTAATCCTTTAAATTTAAATAAAATCTATAACTTTATATACCTATACCAATCGATTCGTCTTCACGTAAGGAAGACGATTTTATGATATAGGGTCAGTTGGGGTAAATGGGGACAAGAGGTTTTATGGAGCTTAATTTACAGTTTTAAAATTAAGTTCAACGTGAATATTTTAACCTCAGATCACCTGCAAGAAGTTTTAAGTATTGTCAAGCTTTTATCTTGCCCTACCGAAAGAGTGGTACTGGAATGGTACTGAATTGGACTTGGCTTGAGTTCCACTTCAGTACCACTACCTGATAACCCATAAGAAGACATTTTTAAAGTACTTTAACAATAGTTTTAAAGGTATATAAGATCAACAAACCGTCTCTCGCGAAATACGTGTAAAACAGCAAAAAAAAACATAATAGTTTGTAGAAAATTTCTGTTAAGTTTGGAAATTATATTGCAATCCCTCCTTGAACAATAGACCCCTAGGTCCTTTGTTGAAGGATTAAAATTTTAACCCGAGTTTTATTGCTTAAAAAATTTGTAATTTTAATAACTCAACTTTAAAAAATATATATTCAGATTCGTTAATATTTCCAGATTATGAATATCTAAAATTTATCATAAAATAATTACATTTAAAAAAGTTATAATTTATCTCGTATACCTTAAGTTTGATAAAAAAATGGACATCATTTTTGAATTTAGCTGACAAAGGAAATATCATATGCATAATAATGTATGAAAATAATATAAATCCATGAAAAACAAATATAATATTGAAATAAATATAAAGTTTTAGTTTAAACATATTGAAAAAGCTAGTCGCTTTTCACTTTTATGAGGGTATTAACGGTAACTCGACCCTTTTCGCAGGTAAATTTCCCAGTTCCATTTCAGTACCAAAATGCACCAAATTAGTACTGAGTTGGTACTGAGCCCTCAGTTCCAATTTCCCAGTACCAATCCAGTACCACTCTTTCGGTAGGGTGACAATTGGCAGCAAGATAAAAAAAGTTATCGCTCAATGCATAAAAACTTGAAAATCAAAGTCAAACTGTTTCAGTATTTTGTCGAGCATTTGAAAAAAAACAGACTTAAAAATCATAGCAAATTTTTTTCTTATTCCTTATGACTCCTATAAAACAGAAATTGACTTAAATTTTTGATTTTTATCAATTTGGTTAATTTACAGCTTGTCATTATTAACCAAATTAACAAAAATCAAAAATTCAAGTGTATTTCTATTATGGGAGTCATAAGGAATAATAAAAAAATTTGCTATGATTTTTAAATTTGTTTTTTTTTCAAATGCGAGACAAAATACTGAAATAAAAAAATTTCAATTGGTTTAACTATTATATATCTACTACAAATTTTTTTCAAGTTTTATTATTTTTTCGTTAAGTTATGGTAAATGAGTAGAACAGCGAGATTCCTTGTACCTAACAAAATCATTTCTCCAAAATTTTAATCTGAAATTATTTTTTATTTCAGAGAAAGTTTCAAACCACAAAAAAACGTCCTTTTTCCCATATACTCATTTACCATAATTTAACGCAAAAATAATAAAAATAAAGCAATAAATAGTAAAATAATGTATTATATCATAGTTCATTCAGCGGCCAAAAGCTCGAATTGGCGCTGTTTACTGGAGCACTGACACACTCAAGCAACGTCTGTGTATGCGCCGCCATGTTTCTTTACATTTTCGTTTAAAAATGACACTTTTTAAACTTCATTTTTTAATAATTTAACGCAAAATTATGTATTTTTCGAAGAACAGCGAGATTCCTTGTACCCTAATCTATCATCCCTCAAAATTGTAGACAAAAATCTTTTCTCATTTTAGAGTGAAATGTATACTACCAAAACACATTTTCCTATACTTGGTCACGTGGGAGGTTCCCACATACCCTTAAAGGAAGAAACTTAAACAATTTGTGAAAAATACTCTCTAAATCTGAATCAGTAGAAATTTTACTAATTCAATCAGTATACTTTTCATTTTAACTGAAGTTTCAGTTATTTTTTGAAATTTACTAATATAATTAGTGAATATATAAGCAATAGAAAATAACTTATGTAAATCACTAATTTGTATATAACATAACCTTTAAATTATGAATAATCTTTTACGTCCGAGTAGTATTAAGTAAGATAAATAAAATAAACGAAGACATTCGGACCAAATGTTATAAATATATTTCTCCAACGTTTCGAAATCTGTACGTTTTCCTCTTCCGGGAGTCTATCAAATTACAATAATAAATTAAAAATTAATACTAACAAAAAGGAGTTCAGAAAATTAACAATAAAAAATTCTTACCAAAATAAATAAAATAATAAAAATTAAAAAAATAAAAATTTCAATCATACAGGTATTTCCAACAATTTTTACGCAAGTTTTTACGGTAATGGGATTGGTTCCTAAAAATTCAAGAATACCTACGGCTGCACCAGAATATGTCACATTTCCTTTCGTTTTTTCTTTGCTTTCTTCAAAAGAACCGTGCAGTATAGTACTGTTTTACAGGCCATAGATGCTGCTGCGACAGAATATGGTATTGGAAATTGCAAGCCGCAGAAAATTATGGGAGATTTTGAGAAGGCCATTATAAATGCTTGTGCAGATATATATCCTGAAACTGCATATTCTGGTTGTTTCTATCACTTCTGTCAATCCCTTTATCGGAAAATTCAGTCAGAACTTTTTCCTATTTCGGACTACCTCAGAGAATTTTACGTCACCGGGCGACCTGGTAGAGGTCGAAGAAGGGCTGTATCTCCAAGGTATCCAATAAACTTGTGGAACCAATATAAGTCGGCACGAGATGGACACCATAAGACGAATAACGCAAGTGAAGGATGGCACAATCGTTTCCGTCTACTTGTGGGAAAACACCATCCCGACTTATATTCGGCTTTAAAAGAATTCCAAAAAGAACAGGCGGATTCGGAAATTATGATAGCCGAACTTAGTTTGGGGCGTTCAGTAAAAACAGGTCCCAAAAAGAAATGGATTGAAGTCCAAAATCGCTTACGGTCCATTGTATTACAATATGAAGAATACAAAAATTCTGGCACTATTTCCTTATATTCAACATTATTGGCACACAACATTGCTCTATGATGGACTCCATTTATTTTGATAAATAAAGTTCCTTTTATTATTTAATATTATTATTTAACTGTCGGGACTTGTACTTTCGGGAACATGGTTGTCGGGAAATTGGATTCAGGAAAAGTAACTGTCGGGAAACAGGATTCGGGAAAAAGGACGGGATTTATTTATAAAATGAGGAAAAGTGTCCAGTGTTAGTAAAACAATTGAATATTTAAATAATATTCTTTTTATAAAAATTGACGAATTAGATGAAAGTGAATTAAAATATGATCAACCATCTAATTTAAAGAGAAAATGTTCAACATCCTTTTCTTTGTCAACAATCAATGCTGTCGACAGTAATGACAAAAATGATTCCAACGAAATTAATAAAAAATTCATGAGACAAATTACAATCGATAAAATTGTACAAAGAAATAATGAAAATAAAATTTGTTGGGGTTTCAGCAAGCTACAAACTCTTAAAACTCTTATATTTCTCCTTTTATTTCTAATATCCTCATCAGGTTATGGGCCCAGAACGCCGCAGTGAAATAAACAGTGACAATTTTAAGTGCTGTTAAGTTTAATTAATTTTTTGTTCAATTGTTCAGTGGCCACGTGCGCCCACGTGTTCAATAAAAGGAAAGCGTGCCTTTTTTTGTGAAATTAGTTTTCATCATGAATCCTTCACATTCGATGCGAATAGAAGTCTTGGGCAAAGAAAACTTTGATACTTGGAAGCTCCAAGTAAAAGCTCTCTTAGTTAAAAATGACGCCTGGGAATATGTAAGTAGAGAAATTACAAGACCTACGGAAGTGGAAGGAAACGAAGGTGCCGCAGCGGCATTGGCCTGGGACAAGGCCGACAGAAAAGCTCATTCTGATCTCACTTTAGCGATTCATCCTTCAGAGCTGAAACAAATTAAGCATTGTCAAACCTCTCATGATATTTGGGAAACATTACATGAGATATATCAGTCGAAAGGTCCTGCCAGGAAGGCAACTCTTTTAAAGAAATTAACTTTACACAAGATGGCCGAAGAAGATGACGTTCGGGAACATATTCGTGAATTTCTGGACGCAGTCGTGAAATGTTGATCAACAACAACAGCTTTAGCTGTTGAGAATAATATGATCATTCATCAAGTCGATAGAACTACTGCTTTTCTAAATGGTCACCTTGAAGAAGAAGTTTTTATGGAGATTCCTGAATTATTTCAAGAATTGTTACCTCAGATGGCAATAAAAGAAAATTTACAAAAAAAGGAAAATTT